CTACTTTTTTAACTACTTCACTCTCGGAGTGGTAAGTTGTGATTCCGCAGAGAAGTTGCAGTGGACAGTGCTCTGTGTACACATGCAGCTGTGACAGTGCTTGGCATCGGGGAACCAGCCCCAGCTCCCTCATGTCTTGACTTCTCTTTTGAGAGAAATAGGTGGGGGCTATGGGACTCAGTCGGGTTAAGATGTTTTGGGAACTTTGTTTTGCCGACCATGGGAGTCTTTTGGAGTAACAAAACAGACTAAAAAGCTTAAAGACAGCAGGAGTGTGCTTATTTATTTTTAGGGGATCACCCCAGACAGAGGCGTAACTATAGCCCAGTGCCCTGGGTCTTCTAAACTTTGAACCTTTTAGGGCTTGAGATTCAACAGCAACAAAGAAAGTGTAAGTTCCAGGGGCCTCCCTGGTGGCGCAGAGGTTAAAGTCTCAGCACTATTAACCAATCACCAGCCTCTGCAGCACAAGTTCAATCCCCGGCCAGGGAGCTAACCCACATGGTGCAGCAGACCTCTCCTGTCTTGCCCACTGCTCCCCTCAGCAGTGTATTTCAGTATATCTGCCTGTTCTGCTCCCCACTCTGTCTCTCTGATGAATTCTCTCAACCCCCATACCTCTAGCCTAGACCCAAGTTCTTATATGCATAAATAAATAAAATAAACCTTAAAAAAACAAAAAAAAAAAGTAGGTTCCAAAGAGAGAGAAAAGCAAGACCAGATCTGCCTGTGTGGGAAAGACCAAACTGGAACCAGGAGTAGTGGGGTAGTGGCAGTGGAATCATAAACTTAAAGAGGTGGTGGCAGGAGAGCTGGTACTTTTGTAAGCTGGACCTGTATTGGGTTCAAGGGTCAGTGATAATAGGTGTCTAGGAAGATGGGGCAAATGGACCAGCCCCAATAGCACATAGTGAAGCTGGTAGGAGAAGGATAGAATAAGGGATCACACTGGGGACGCAGGCCTGATTGCTAGCTGCTACAGAGAGCGCATAGTGGAAGCCAGAAGGGTCTGGCAGGTCATAGCATCTATCCTGAATACCAAGGGCCTTGAGCTACTCCGAGTCACTAGGTGGTTCCTGAGCCTTCTTGGTCAGGGACGAGTTCGCTGATATGTTTAAGTTCCCAAGCAGTGGGAGCTGTTCTACCCTGTGCCTGATAGGCCTACTGGTGCAAGGTTTGGATTTGAGGATGCCTGTAAGTTGTTGGTAACTCCTGACTGAAAATGTCTGGTTAAGGCTGCTTCCCGCAGCTGTCTCCTTGACTGTTGTTTGAGAGAAAGCTGTTTCCCGCCAGCATCCCCATTTAGAGGGGGTGTGTCCCTGAGTTGGACTTGTCCTTGAAAAGGCCCCTGCCCTGCCTCAGTCACTTGCGCTACTTGGTCATCCTTCTTGTCTATCCCAGGACATCCTCTTTGATGCAAATACACACAAAGTGAAGAAGTTTGTCCTACACACCAACTACCCTGGGCATTACAATTTTAATATGTGAGTATGCCTTTACCTGCCTCTCTGAGAAGTGAGCTTTGGGCTGAAAAATCTCCCAAGAAAGAGAACTTATGACTTTGGATGTTCAGGTATTTATCTATACCTGAATTCTTGCTAATTCAAGGGATCTAAACACTTACTGAGCTTTACTTCAGGGCTTTGGGCAGATGTGCGTGATTCTGTTTTTCCTGGGGTGCAGGGTTGAGCTGTAGGGATGATCTGGTCTTCCAGAGAAGCCTTTATCCATCTGCCTTCTCTCCCTAGTTACCACCGCTGTGAGTTCAAGATCCCACTAGCTATAAAGAAAGGTGAGTAGCGGATGTCCTCAAGATAAGGATGGGTTTGGAGTCTGTCTCATGGTGAGAAGGGACAGGGGTCCAAGCAGAGGTGGTGAATGTCAGGGCTTTGGAGCCTTACCCACCTGCTTCTGCCCAAAACTCGGCTTCTCTGGCTTGAACTTCTTACTCTGGGGCCTGCATTATTCTTGGTCTAAAGTCTCCTGTAGACCTATAGGAGGCTCTCAAGGTCTTTTTCTGTGACTCTGGAATTGCTGATCACTCGAGTGGAGTATCCTATCTATAGATCATCCAGGTGCTGCCAGCCCAGCTTTGACTGCTGCCCGCTGTGATTAGTGCAGCTCACACCTGACAGGCCTCCCTTCCTCCATCTACTTTCCCAGGAACTCCAGGGCAACCCGTCTGCCTACCCTCTTTACTCTAAGCCCAGCGCCAAGGGTGGCCAAATCTGAATTCTTCCTAGGGTTAGGGTCACAGGTGGGCTGAGTCATCTGCCTGAGCAGGTGTGGAGCTGAATCCAGACTGAGGCAACTTCCAACCACCCTGTGTTCTCTTTTCAGAAAATGCAGAGGGTCAGACAGAAACTTGCACAACCTACAGCAAGGTGAGCCTCTTTTCCCACCTGACACAACCTGAAAATAAGGTGGACATGAACCTGCCAGCAGTCTGGGACCCATGTCCTCTGGGCCAGTCTTTGGTCATAAGTGTGGTCAGGTACCTGCTAACCCCCTGCTGCCTCATCCCTCTTGCAGTGGGACAATATCCAGGAGCTCCTGGGCCACCCTGTGGAGAAGCCTGTTGTCCTGCACAGGTGAGTGACTGGGAGGTTGCTGTCACTGACCACCCCATCCTGCTCCTCACATCCCAGAAGCCTAGGGAAGCCGAGCAGTGGTTATTGCTTAGAAATTATAGACGTTTCTAAATATACTTCCCAGTCCGCTCCCCCTTCTCCGGGGTGGAGCGGAGCAGTAGGACTGGGGCGGCTGTTCTGCACCTCCCGGGGACAACTCCCCCACTGCTAGATGTGGGGACCCTCTCACTCTTAATTATTAGGAAGTGAGGGGATTTGGGTAACTGTCCTGGGCTCTTTTATCCCCCTGAAAGGCTCTACCTGCCAGTCAACATCCCGTTACCTAGTTGCCATGCCTCCTGGGGCGCTCTCCACTCTGGTCCCCTTGAACAGTAACATTCTGTGTCTCATTGGGCTGTGCAGGATTCAGAGCTGAGGAGGCCTGTGGCTGCATAGGCGCTCACGGGCCTGTGTGGGAAGCACACATGGACTACAGTCACAAGGGACCACTAGTCAGTAGCTCCCCTTCTAGACGGGGCTGGGTGCCCTACCTGGCCTGGCATATGTCTGCGCCTCTAACGCTGGTTTCCCCTGCCTCAGGTCCTCCTCCCCAAATAACACCAACCCGTTTGGCTCCACATTCTGCTTTGGTCTTCAGAGGATGATCTTTGAGGTAAACCCTGGGGCTGAGCTGTCAGTCATGGTAGCGATAGGCAAGTGATTCAAGAGACTGAGAAGGGTGAACAGTCCTGCTGGGCGGATTACTCCCAGCAGCCCTGTCTGCGGAGAACCTGGCCTGCCCACATTCAACAATGAGGTTTCAGAAGTTAGGTTGGGGAAATTTGGGGTTACAGAGGCTAAAGCCTCTCTATAAAATAGTGGAGTAATGGAGATCCCACATTTACATCTGAAAATGCAGATACTGAGAAGGGAACCACAGGGCACCCAGGGGTGTTGGGGGCCTTGGAATGCCATGAAAATGATCCTTCTGTGGGTGAGTGGCTATAAAGGTCCCCCCTGACTTGTAAACATAGTCTGTGCCCCTCATTTCTCATCTGGATGCTACACCTTCAGCAGGTCCCTTGCAGTTCCAGAAGAACTGGACAAATGGGTATGGGGAAGTTTTACATAACCCGAGAAGAACAGGAAGACTGTCCCTGGGGCAGAAGTGACCTCTAGCAGGGGTGGGGGAATGTTGAGGCATCACCCAGACCCATGTGCTAGTGTGTTGCACACGCAACCTCCAGCTCCCATGCACAGAACCCACCTCAGGCCCCTTCAGAGCCCAGTATTGACCCCAGAGGTGGTTTTAATGGGTCTGGCTGCCTGCTCTGCCTGTGTCACTTCTGCTCCTCCATGACTCACTGTCCTCTTCTCCCACCAGGTCATGCAGAATAACCACATTGCCTCGGTAACCCTGTATGGCCCCCCCAGGCCCGGTGCCCATCTGAGAACAGCGGAGCTTCCCTAGGGACATCACCACCCATGCCCCTTGTCCCCTGGAACTGTGTTGCGTTCTGCTCAGTGGGCCTCCAAGTGCCACCCTGTGGGTTTTCTTGGACACCTTGCCAGTGTTGAAGGGCTGCTGTGATGTTCTGAGGCGGGGCTCAGGCTGGGTGCTCTGCCTGTGAGGTGAGAGACCCAGATATTCCTCTGTCCATCCTCAGCCTGCTGGTGCCAACAGAGAATACAGACGCGAAGAGAAGCACAAACTCTGAGCCTTGATACCCGGACCCAAGAGCTTCCAAGTAACGTGTAAGGAGGCAGGGTTCTGTCTCCTTGGTCCCACACACATTGGGAAAATGTGGGGCTCTTTTCTGGCTGAGGACACAGGCACCCAGGAAGAGGACAAGGGCCTGCCTTTGGCGCAGCATTGCCACATGACCCTTAAGGCAAGCAGGTCGCATGTCCATGGTCCTCGGTTGCAACTTTGCACTACATCCACTTTAGTTACTTGATGAGCTGGCTGTGGCCACAGTGGCCCACCTGCCTTCCCTGTTTCTTGCACGCGCTCCCTGCCAGGCCCAGTAGGTACACCCAGATGGTTGAAACACGGCTTTCCACCATCCAGGTTCGTGCCCAGACCTGGTCTTTCCACCCCCCACCCCCATCCACCTTGGAGCCAGCCTTCAAGGTGGTCTCTGCCCCCACTCTGCCCGGCAGGGCTGCATGTTTCCATCCTGTTTGCCTCTTTTATTTAATGCCAAAGTTTTAGCCAAAGACATCTTCCTCCTTCTGTTGTGTCTCCATTGTGTTCTGCACTGTGGGCTGGCTCCCCTGCCCCCCCCCCCCGGCAGTGTCCCCTGGGCAGGCCCGTTCATGGCTCAAGGCCTTGGGGATCAAGGAGAGCTGGCTGCTCAGTCTCTTCATGGGTCTTACTAAGGAGAGTAGCATATGTGCTTTAAAAATATTAATCCTTTTGAAAAGAATTGAGAAGAGAAATGTATAATTTTATCCCATTTTTAATATTTTGGTCTAGCAACTTGTGATACATAGATGAAAATTTTGTGAGTTTTTCAAATGTGTGTACAGATTTTTGTAAATATGACTTTTGTAATTAACTCATGTACAGCCTCATCCTGTATAGTTTAACAATGAATGTGCAGGGGACCTGCCCTGGGCTCCGCGTGGTGACTGGGCCTACCGCTAGGCTTGTGTGGCGCCCCCGTGACTTTGTGACTAACTGGTGTCTTCCCATTCAGACTGTGGCCTGGCCAGAGACCCCCGCACAGCCCACTGTCAGGGACAGCCAGGACTGTTCCCATCCTCCTGGAATGGGGGAACCTTCCTCATCCCCTGCCCACGCCCCTCCAATAAAGACCTTTGCCCTCAGCAGCGGCTCACCATGTTCCGTTGCTGATATGTTTGTACTAAAGTGTCAGGTGTTGTTTTTTTTTGAGGAAGGGTGGTTGAAAAATATGGGAGATTTTACAACTGGAGTTACGTTAGGGGAAGAGATTCCGTGGTTCTTCTGAAGGGGGATTCTCACGGCCTCCCAGCAGGGGATTGGCATCCTTGTGTTTGGTGTAGGTGTGTGTGTGGTGGGGGGAGTTGGAGGTGGAAAGACTTTGGGAAGGACCATGCACTCATTTGCCCCTTTGCACCTCCAGCCCTGGTGTTCCTGCTAGGCCAGAGCCCAGGAGGGCCTGGCTCCTAGAAAGCAGATTTCAGGCCTAAAAATGTGGACAGGGCTGAAGATCCGATTTGGAGGGGCAGCTGGGAAGCAAAATGCTGCTTCAGATTGAGTTCTGGCGCAATGCCTGCCTGACCCCCTCCCTCACTCCCCTCTCCCACGGGGTTCAGCCTTGAGAACGACCTTCATAGTGCCCCCATCCTAGGGTTCCAGGAGTATGGCCAGATTCCATCAGCCCCTGCGCGAACAACCCCCGGACCCCTCAGGCCTGCTTGGTGGAGCCTGTCACGGCACCACCTATCTCAAAGGATTGCCGTTAGCGTAGTTCCAGACCTGCTCCCAGGTGTGTGCCAGCTCAGTCTCATTCCCTGGGATTCTGTGGGCAAATTGACTGGATCCTGAACTTGCCCCTTTCCGGGGTAGAAACAGTGAAATAAATCTGCCTGGGAAATCTGCCCCTTCGAACAGCAGCCACATCCTGGATGTGAATGAGCAGTGATCAGGGCCCCCACTGGAAGGGCCCAGCTGCCACGGGCCTCGGGTGTGCACAGGTGGGCCTGCGCTTCCCGTTCAGCAGGTGCCACATGAGCCAGATGTCGGCGGCGGAGAGCCCGTGCACCACAACCAGCTCACGGTAAAAGCAGGGGTCAAAGGTGCGGAGGTGCGGGGCGGCGGAAGGCTGGGGGATGCCAAAGGTCCGGAAAGCGGGGTGAGGCTCAGGCGCGAGCCGCAGGCGCTGCAGGCACATGCCCAAAAAGACGTCGTCTATGGGGAAGAGCTCCACCTGAGCGCAGGCGTCCGCCAGCCGGCGCAACGTGGTGCCCGAGAGCACGAAGCCGCCCCCGCCCGCGTAGGCCGGGTAGGCGGGCAGGCCGTACACGGCCTCGGGGATGTAGTACTTGCTGGCCCGCGCGCGGATCGGCCGCGCCTGCAGGATCACGTCGCCTGCGAGCAGGTCTTGCGCGGGGTCCCTCGGCGCCAGGAACTCCAGGAGGTTTCCCACGTGCACAAACACATCGGCGTCCCCCTTGAACACGAAGCTCACGTTGGGGCAATGCGCCGAGGCCCAGGCCAGAAAGTGGATCTCCTTGAGCGTCAGGTTGAAGAAAGTGTCGTCGAAGGCCCAGAGCAGGATGTCGGCGTAGACCCTGCTCTCGGCGCGCAGCAGGGACAGCCAGTGCGCCCGCGGGGCCCCTTCTCCCGCGCCCCCCGCGTCCGCGCCCGCCGCCCGGGGCAAGCCCAGCAGGAACACGCGGCGCACGAGCGCCGTCTGCACGCGCCCCTCGGCGCCCCACGTCTGGCGCACGGCCTGGCGCCGCTCGAAGTCGGCCGCCACCGACTTGACGGCGATGAGCAGCTCGGGGCGGCCCCCGCGCGCGCCGCGGCCGCGGCACTTGGCCGGCTGGTCGATGAGGAGCGGGAAGCGCCGCTGGTCCTTGGCGCGCAGGTAGCGGCCGAAGTCGAAGGGCCCCGCGGGCGTGGGCGGCTCCGGCGTGTCCCCTTCGTAGACGGGCGGGGCTGCGCCCGCGTCCGCGGCCTGGAACTCGCGGAGCCCGGCGCTGGGGCCCGGAGCCGGCCCCCGGGGCGCGCCCGTCGGGCGGACCGAGCCCTCGCGCTGCGCGTAGAGCAGGAGCCCCAGGGCGCCGCTGAGGAGCAGCGTGAGCAGCGCGTCCCCGCGGAGGCGCAGCCGCCGCCTCATGGCCCCGCGCGGGCGCCCGGCACCCCGGAGAGACTCGGCCAGGGGCTCGCGACGTGGAGGCAGCAGCCGTAGGGCCTCCCGCCCCGCCCTCCTCGAGAGGAAGGGGCCGGAGGCCGCAGCCGGTGCCAGCAGCTACCGGCCGGCGGTCCCCATCCGTGGCCTCCGACGCTGGTGCCTGCACCCCCCCGCCGGGGTGGGCGCCCTGCAAGGACAGTAAATGCCTCCTCGCGGCCAGCTCCCACCCCCTCGGCTCCGGCGCCGCTCCGTGCCCCAGGCGCCCTCCTCCGAGCCTTGGCGCATCCCCTGCCCGCCTTCCCCGCAGGCAGACCGAACCCCGGCTGGGCCACCCCACCCACCCCCTCGGCCCGCGGGTCCCGCCACTCACGCTCGGCCCTCGGGACGGCGCCGCCGCGGGCGTCACGGCCTCCGAGGCTCCGTGCAAGGTCCCAGCGACGGCCGCGGACCCGGCCAGGGCCAAATGCAGCGTTGGCAGGAAAGGGGAACGGGCTGCTGCCACGTGACCCTCCAGCTGTGCGTGCCCGGACATCTGGAGCCCAGCTCCGCCCAGGCCGCCGCGGCCATGTCTCCGGCGGAGATGAGTCTCAGCTGCATCCCCACAGGCAGCTCTGCTGCAGCCCGAGCAAGAGGTGGGTTCTAGGCTTAAGTGCAGTTTCGACTCCCCCAGTCGCACTTTTTTTGGGGGGGAGGGGACACAGCCGGAGCATTCCCCTCTCTGGTTAGTCTCCCCATTTTGGCTCCCTGGTGTGGAACAGCGTCTAAGCTTGCAGGGGGCCTGGGGTCTGCGGGTCCCAACCCCTGAGGCCCAGCAACCTCAGCGTGGGCCTGGCTGCTGTCCCAGCGCATGCAAGCAGCGCCTGTCCTAGCTCACTAGCTGCCTTGGCGCCAGCAGGCAGGGCCAGACCACCCCTGGACACATGGCTGCCTCTGCTCCTGGTGCTGCCAGCCCGCCCACCTCCCCCTGCAGCGCCTGCGCACACACGGACCACCAAGTCAGCCAGTTCTCACAACCCTAGCAGCAGTCCCTGGCCAGATGGGGACACTGCCCCTGGTCGTCTGGCTTACTCCAGGGCTCTTTCTTCTCTGCCTTCCGCCCATCCACCCACTGGGATACGCGCAGAGGTAACCCGGTCTGAGGTAACCCCGTCTGCTTTAAGTCACACACTTCAGTTGTCTCCCCAGAGGCAGTCCTGAGTCTCCCAGCCCCTGGAGCCTCCTGCAGGTGGAAATCACCGTGCTGGGTGACTGCGGGTTGGACTGTGCTGGCAGGGATTGGCTCACTTTGGGGAGACTCTGGAAGTAGACCCGCGAGGAAAGGGTTTGATCTGAGACTCAGGCAGGTAGAGGGGTGCTGTGGAGATTGAGGGCTCAACCTCCAGCCTAGCCAAAGTGAGCTCTCTTCCTGGAACTCCAACCTCCCAGGCAATGAGGCCTGGGGTAGACAGCCCTCCTGCTCACCCCCACCCCCGGGCGTCCAAGAACAGGCTCTAAGAACCAGCACTGTTACCCAGGACATGCTCTCTGCAGGCTAGAAGGCCTGCTCCTGACAACTTCTCACCAATGCTCTTAAAAAGCAAACTCTACCCTGAGCCTCACCCTCTCCTGTTCAGACTTCTCAGGAGGCCCCTGCTCTAGCTTTGCCCACTGCCTCCCACTCTTTTCTGCGTTGTGGCTTCAGGCTACAATCCCCCGCCATGTCCCATAGACAGCCCCACCTAGTAACCTGTTCCCTGATTCCAGCGGGCACGCTCAGTCTTGACCCAGCTGCGGTGGGATTCCCTGGCTTCCACACTGCCAGGTTGCCCTGCTCCTTCTCCAGTTGGTGGCCTTCAGGAAACCACCACCCACTCCCATGTGTTTGTTGGTGGATCTTTAGGCTTGAGCTCCTCCTGGTCTCAGAACTACAGGTCCGGCTGGCCTCCACTTTCCCCCTGGAAATCCTCCAGGAACATCTGGAGGATGCTCCCTCCTGTACCAGATGAGAACTTCACCTCCCCAGGACCCAATTCGGCAGCCAGCCCCATTCCCACCTAAATGGCAAAGGCTGAAACTCTGGGGGTTCTTCACCCCACTCCTCATCCAGTGTCACCAGGCCCATTGGCCTCCATCCTAGAGAGCTGTGTTCAGCCCTCTCACCACCTCTGATGCCACTGCCCCAGCCTGCCGAGCCCCTGGTCTCCATTCTTCCCAGACTCCCTGCATGAATTCCAGTGTCTGACAAATGCCTTACCAGACCCTGTGCTATCTGCCTCTCCCGCTCACCAACCAAACCCTGCAAATCCACCCACCTCTTTCTCTTCTAACACCTCTCCCTCCTACTTTCTGCCAGACCTCACCTGAGGCTTGCCGTGCAAAGAAAATTCACCCACTCCCCAGTCACACTTCCACCTTGCCCAGGAAGCCTGACCCCGAGCCTGAGGGAGGCCCCTACTCATTGCTTCCGACTTCTTATATTTTTCACATCAAAAACCATAATATTTTATTACTGTTGTTTAATGTCTGAGGTCCCACACCATCTGAACTGGGGGCAAATGCTTACGCCCAGCAGGTGCTTAATGAGAAATCTTCAATTATGCGAGGTAAGGGCTGGCAGGAGCCCCTCCCCTCAGGTGAGAGGGTGAGGCCAATATGCCACACGTCCCCTGGGTTCTCCGTCTCTATTAAAGTATCCGGGGCTGGCCCAGTGGAGCCCCCAGCAGATCCGGTGGGTGTCTGTCCGACTCCTGGGGAACATGAGCAACTGCCCAGGAGCTCCAGCAGATCAGGTAAGTGGGGGGTCAGTGTGGGCCCAGAGACTGGTGGATGGACAGGTCAGCAGTAGCAGCAGAAGGGACCCATGTTCCACCATCATACAGATGCTCCAAACGCCGGGCAACTGGCTGGCCACCCCGTCCTTTATACAGCCTAGGCCGGGCTGCCGTCCGGATCTGCCAGACCCAACAAGTCCTCCGCCAGGCTGGTGAGCTCGTTCTCCTCAAGCGCCTCCACCAGGCGCTGCAGCGTCGCTCGGCGGCCCTCGGCCTGGACGAAGCGCCGCAGCAGCTGGAAGGCCTGCTCGTACAGCCCGTCGCGCTCGTACTCGTAGGCCAGGGAGTCCAGCGCCGGGTCCCGCAGCGCGCGACAGCTGCGCTGCAGGGAGCGCCCCACCTTGCGCCATTTGAGGCCCACTGAGCTTGCGAACTTCTGCTGGTCCTGCAGGCTCAGCGGCCGGTTCACTGCGGGGGAGGGGGGGTGTGGGGGTGGAAGGCGGGGTGAGCTGAGGGGCCCAGAGCGCCGTTCCAGCCCCGCGACTCCCTAGACCCAGCTCCTCCCCAAGCCCCAGCCAAAGGGGACCTCGCGTCTGCCTCACCTATGGGCTGACCCTGGAACAGAAAAGTCTGGTCAGCGGGCGGTGGCAGCCGCTTCTCCTCCGACGGGGAGGGGGTCAGGGGCTTCGAGGGGGCGGGAGCGACCTGACCCCCCGAGACGCACGACAGCTTGCGAAGGGCATCTTCCAGCTCAAGGAGTTCCTCGTCCCGGAGCCGATCCGGCTAGGAAGGGGAGCGCGGTGTCGGTGCGGGGGGGTTCTGAGCTGCGGCTCCCCACCCCAGCCCACCCCAGCCCACCCCACCCTACCTCGCCCGGCCCCAGCCCCGCCGCACCTTCTGGCCAAAGATGCAATTCAGGCAGCGCTCCTCCTCGAGCAGCAAGGCGTCCAGCGTCTCGGCGCCCGCGCGCAGCTCCAGCCGCAGGGGCAGCGAGGGCAGCGCCAGCGCCTCCGCCAGGCACCGCTGCAGCGCGGCGCGCAGCGCCCCCTCGCGGTAGGCGCGGAGGAAGCGGCCGCAGGGCTGGCGCCCGCACAGCCGCACCTGCACGATCAGCTGCGCGTCGCTGCGGTGGATCTTGAGCATCTGCAGCACCTCCGGGCTCCCGCCGCTCTCTGCGGAGGCGAGCAGTCAGGCCCCGGCAGGGCCCGCATGGGGCCCTTCTCCAAGTGGTTGGAGGAACAGTGAAGCCCGTGGTTAGAAGCACCCCCATCCCCAGACCTGGGGCGCGGTGTTACCCCAGAACACCCAGTTGGGAAAGAAAGAAAACTGCCATGCAAAGAGCAACCATGAGGGCCTGGACCTATCACAAGAGGCCCCCCCATCCAAGACGGAGTGGGTGCCACTCTAGGCTCATTTCTGCAGCCCCAAGTGAGGGTGAGCTAAAGGGATGGGAAGAGACTGCGACAGAGGGGCCTGCACTGGGCGCCCCGCTAGGTAGGGGGCCAGCGGCGTAGGGGCGGGCCAGGAGGTATCAAATCTTTGGCCTCCACCAAGTGTGGCTCCTGCAGCCCCGGGAAGGAGAGGGGTTCTTGCTCTCTGGGACTGAGGCCGGATCCCCGATGGGCTTCAGCCTTCTGTGGTCTCTGCCCTGAGATGGGAAGGGAGACCGGAAAGGTAGGTACGGGGCGGGGTCTTGGGCAAGAGGTGCTGCAGTGAGAGGAATACAGGACACACGCTATTACTAGAAAGCAGCGGGTGGGCTGGTGAGGGGAACAGGAGACTCCAAGCAGGGGACGTTAGTGCATGCAGGTCTGGCAGGGCGCACGGCACAGACGCGGGAACATAGGTCTACCCCCAAGGCACGCATGCATGAGCAGAAGAGGCAAATGTCTCCCTCTCCCCTCCCCTTCAAAACTTCCCAAAATGGGTGGTTAAGCACAGCCCCGCAGAGTTGAAGAAGTGGGGCCTCAACCCCTGCGCCTGCTCACAGAAGGTCCCAGACCACCCTTCCTCTCCAAGTGCCTGCCCGCCCACGCACCTGCCAGTGCAGCCCGCAGAGCCCTGTACACAGCCACCTTCTGCTGGGGGTGAGCGTAGGCATCCGACAGGACCACCTTGTCCAGCGAGGACTCCACAAACAGGTATGCGCTGCCCACCAACTCCTCGTGCCCATTTGGCCCAGCTGCCATCTTGCCTCCTGGAGACGCAGACAGGTGTCCAGATCACCTCCAACCCAGTCCTGGAGACAACTGTCCAGCCCCAAGTGGCCCAGATGTCCCCTCCACAGCCAGTGCCCAGCTGGCCCTCCCCAACTAACTGGCACACGTGTGTGTGTAGTGGGGGGGTGAGTGTTCATCATCTCACAGGAAGCCCCTGGTGCTTCTGGCTCTGCACAGCCCCCTCAGCCCAGCCCAGCCCAGCCCAGCTCAGCATAGACTTGCAGTGAGGGTTGTACCCTCCACTGTCTTCTGGGAGAAAGAGTCCAGGGTCACCATGGCCAGAGTAGACAGGTAAGGTCCTGCAGTGGAGTCAGGGGAGTTCTGTCCTCTTCTCAGACCAGGGTGTCCCTCTTACTAAAGCTGAAAGGAAACATCTTCATCCTAGATGGCGCTCACGCCCCATAGCCAACAACACCCACGTCCTGCTGTGCTCTCAGCTTGAACTTGAGCCTGCAGGATCTGTGTGGGACCACAGCGCACCCCCCTTAGGTTTTCTCACCTTCATTCCTACTCTACCTCCTGCTTCACTTCACAGGGCACCTCTGGTTGCTGCCCCTAGATCCCCCCACAATCCTGACAGACCTGTGGGGCCTTCCCTCTGCTCCATCCATGTGCCTTTTGGGAGCGCTAACCTCACTTCTAGCTCCAGGCCGGCCAATGGAACAGCCTGGGTAATGTGCATATTCCATGCTCCTTCTGATCTGATTAGTTCAGAACTGGGAGGAGGACTCAGGCTGAGCCAATCAGCTTGGCTGGATCCATGTGAAAGAGGCATTAGTTTCCCTTTCCTTCGGCTGGGCTAGAAGGGAGATCTCCACAGCCACCACCAGGAAGGAGCCTGACGGAGAATGAAACCGACACAGAAAGCCTGGGGGTGGGGGCAAAATTCTGAACTTCTAAACCAGGGAACCACGGCACTGACCCCCACCCCCCCAGCTCAGTACTGGGACTGAGGCCGGATCCCCCAATCGGCTTCAGCCTTCTGTGGTCTCTGCCCTGAGATGGGAAGGGAGACCTGAAAGGTAGGTACGGGGTACTTAACTGTGTCATGAGGCAGCAGATGGGGAACTGACTGCCCTGCTTCTTCCTTCCACCACACGTGAGGCAGCACCCCACCCTTTTCCTAGAAACATGGGCTCAAGACCCCACCAGTCAAATTTCCTTACAGTCTAGCCTTTGTTATTAATATCTGGTGGTCTAGTAGGGGTGCTGAGCCCCCACTTGTGAGCACCCTGAATGTCATTGCTCTGGGCAGGACAGATGAGGTGGCCCCAACTGGCATCTACTTACATGAGGGACAGGGAACCCCAAGGGAGGGGGTGTCAGGAGCAGCCAAGATGGTGGCTGTGGGTATTGCTCGAAAGATCTCAAAGTAGAGGCTGCACTTCAGATCTGCCCCCAGGCCCTAACAGGAGTGCCAACGCCAAGACAAACCGCGCAAGGGCCTTCCCACATTTGGCAAGAGAAATGACACCTGGCGAAGGCCCTACTCTGGATCTGAGCACAGGGGACATGCCCGTTGAGCCCCCTCCCAGCACCTTCTCCTAGGAAAGACAGTACTTGTGCATACTTCACCTGCAACACTAGCATATCCTGTGAGGAAGAGGGGGGGATTTTAAAATTTTCATTGTTTCTACTTATGTAAAATAGTATTATTATGTAAAATAGTATTATGTAACGTAGTATTAAAAAGTCAAAATTAATTTGTTTTTCTTTCTTAAAAAGCAAGAGAAAACAGGGTGAGACTCTAGGTGGAGCAGGACCAAAGTGTTGGGGACACTACTAGGTGAATGTGGGAACCTCCACTTTGATCATATCTTCTTAGCCACCTCAGGGTGCTGACCCACGGATATGATTCTCTGCCTCTCCAAGGGGAAGAAGTGGGGGTGGCGGGAGACCTTCCAGGAGGCACTGATCTTGAGGACGGGTATGCTCCATCTCATTCACTAGGACTGGACAAAGCAAGAGGTCAGGGTCTCCCTGGTGGCGCGAGGGCTTAAGATGCAGCCTGTGAGGCTGTCTGCGGTGGCTGCAGCCTGAGTTGGATCCCCAGCCAGGGAGCTACCCACATGGCGCAGCAGACCTCTCCAGGCTCACCTGCTGTTCCCCTCAGCAGTGTATTTCAGCCAATCGACCTGTTCTGTTCCCCACTCTGTCTCTGGTGAATCCTCTCACCCCCCCACCCCACCTCTGGCGGGTACCGTGGTCTTGCATGCATAACTAAATAAATCTTTAAAAAAATAATAAAGGAAGAGGTCAAACATCTCGGCACAGCTGGAGGCCTAGAGGGTCCCATAGGAGGCGCGGGGTGGGGTGGGGGGATATGAGCTCGGCCCCCACATTCTGCACATTCCCTCTGGAAACTGCTTCCTTTGTGTCCTTCCGCCGAAGCCCCTCCTCGGGAAGCCCCGCGCCCCACCCACCCCGAGTCCGCCTATCCGGGCGCCCCGCCGTGTCCAGGGAATCCTTAGCTGGGTTGAGACTGGCAGGGACAAAGGGCACCGACTCAGGAAAGCACAACCCCCACCTAGGGCTAGCCTGGCGCAGCGCCCCATTAGCACAGGCTCCCCGCTCCCGGGCAGCCCCACCTCCCGCCGGGTGGGCGGGGACGGCTGGCAGGCGTGGCCCCTCCAGGGCCGAGGGCCAGCCAGCCCGGCGTCCAATTCTACGCGCCCCCTGGGCGCTTCCAAACTTTCGAGGGGCGCTGCCCAGCCTCCCACTATCCCACCCCGATGCTGGGGTTTCGCACGTGCGACTACTTGGGACGGACAAGGGGTCTCTGCTCACGGAGCGGCGCCCCGCCGTCTAACCCTGCAGGGCCCCGCCACCCTCAAAGCCCTTCGGGGGGCAAGGCATCCGCAGGGGGGGAGGGGTCCTCCCTCCTACCCCCCTTGGAAACAGCCCCAAGGCCTCCGCCGCCCGGCCCGACAGCCGGTGACAGCCGCCCCGCGCCCCGCGCCCCGCCCCCGCCCCCGCCGCCCGCCCGGCGCCCGAAGCCCGCCCGCTCCGCACTGACCTGGCCGCCCGGCCCGGCCGGATCCCCACGCGCGCCCGGCTCCGGGGGCCGCTCGGCTTCCGGGTGTGCGCGGGGCTCGGGGGCGGCGCCCCAGCCCGGGCCGCCCCGTCCTCGGGAGCCCCGCCCCGGCCCGCCCCGCCCCGCGCGCTCCGAGGCTCCCGCCGCCCCAAGGTCCCGCGCCCGGGTCACCCGCCGCTGGGCGACGCCCACCCGGGCCGCTGGGCAGGTAAGACGCCCGCGCCGGAGCCCCCGCGGGGGACGCCAGTTCTTAGGGGGCCCGAGAACACCCGGCGAGAGCGCCCCGCTTCTTCCGGGGGACGCGGACGCACAAGGAGGCCAGGATTTTCTGGTACCTTTTGGAGGAAGGTCCAGCTCGACCATCTGCTACTCGCGCACACTCGGTGCTGGTGGGACCCAGAGTTTGGCCGTGAGTAGCCGAACCCCAAGATACCCGAGGGGCACATGGCTGCAGGAGTCGTTGGCCTGGGACCTGGGGAAATGGAAAGCGGGCGATGGCTGCGTCCTCCAGTCTTCCAGGGCCTTAAAATAAAACTGGCAACTTGGAAAAGGAGGCACACTTTCCAAGGACGCCCCCGCGCTCCGGGGAGAGCTGCGTTCCGGGGGGTCTGCGCATTCCAGCTGCGCCTAGACCACCCCACGGGAGGCTTGGGCTGCTGGGGGTCAGGATCAGAAGGAGGTCCCAGGGCTCCTCAAACCCCAGAACCCCAAGCTTTTCTCCACCCGGCTGGCCGTTCGTTAGAACCACCCACGACGTCGCCCCTGCAAGTTGGAGGAAGGAGCCTCCCTCTCTGGGCGGGTTCGGCCGGGCGCCGCCCGCAGCCGCGCCTCCTGGTTGGCTGTGACGGTCCTGCCAATTCTGTCTTCTGTCTCGCGCCCCATTAACCCTACCCTCGCTTCTAGTGACTAGAAGAGTTTTTGTCAGCGCGGGACACCGGCGCTTCTTGCAATCAGATTCCTGGGCGCTGTCTTTCCAGAAGCCTGATTGGGTAGGTGGGGCCATGAAATCTGTACTGCGAACACCTGTCGGGCGGATTCCGCTGCTCTGCGTCATCTGAGAAGCTCCCATTTTAAAAGCTCCAGATGCGGGACTAAGCTCCAGATCAGGGTCTAAATCGGAAAGGAACAATTTCAGGGACTCCTGGGAATCTAGTCTGGGCTGCCCGGGAAGCTCTGCTGGGGGTGATGACAGGGAGCTGGAGGTTGCCTCCAGCCAGGGCCTGCGCAGGAGCCCTTCAGCTTTCCCCAGGAAGAGTTTACCAACCAGGAGGGGGAATCATAACATCCTCCAAAATTCGGGCGAGTGGTGTGAAACGCTGTGTCCTCCAGTCTTCAAGGGCCTTAAAATGAAACTGGCAACTTTTCTTTATCAACTTCGCCCATAGGTGGTGGTTGTGTTCCTTCTAGTATAGCGCAAGATGGATTTGCTTGACAAGTGAGAAAGCAACTTAAAGAGAATCAGAAACCCTCAGCATCCAGGGTCAACTTCATGGGTCTGAACAGGGCATCATCCATGGTTTACTAATTTGATGAATGAGTTTATTCATGTTCTGCTGTCATCGCCTTGACCTTAATCTTGTTTTGAACAGAGGCCTGTATTTCCATTTTGCACTGGGTTCTGCAAATTATGTAGCAGCTCCTGGGCCACAGGCATTTCTATTCACAGCCTCTGGTGTTTCCCCTCAACACCCTGGTCTTTCTGAGCCTAAGGACATATATCTCTCCAGGCATAGAGTTGCCACCTGGAGCAGTGGAGCCACCAGGTGCCGGGCCATGGCCGAGCCTGGAGAGCAGCTGCCAGAAGAGGTGCTAGCGGTCATCTTCAGCTACCTGTCCTTGCGGGACCGTGCTGCCGTGGCCAGAGTCTGCAGAGCCTGGGCTGCCGCTGCCACCTGCAGTACTGTGTGGCACCACACTAACATCAGGTGACTGGACCCTGACTGCCCCCCACCCTGCCCCAGTCTTGCAGCTCTCTCTCCTTCTCCTGCTCTGTGGAGTCAGGGGCTAGAGGGATGTGGTGACTCTCCCCATGTCAAAAAGCATACACCTTAGGGGCCTCCCTGGTGGCACAGGGGTTAAAGATGGCACTATCTGCCGCGGGCCAGCACAGCAGTAGACGATGAGGCCGTCTCAGGGTTGAGAGACTGCGCAGGGTGGTCAGGGATTCGGTTAAAGAAATGACAAACAGACACACTTCAAGAGAGAGTGTAAATCTGAGTGCGCCTTTATTAAGCTAGTGGTCAGTATATATATATGTTTTTTCTAAAGGCATAGGAACAGTGAACATCAAAGAGATCAGTTTGCTCATAGGCTTAGCTTAATTGACAGGGCAGTGATTTATGTCCGAAGTTACACCTGGACCTAGCTGCATTCCTAATTGGACAGGCTATAAATTCTTTCTACTGTTCTATATAATTATTTTCTAGTTGCACTAACTATCACTATTACCTACTCATTTTTACTCATAATTAATTGTCATGGGTGAATTTATTTTATAATGCAGTTAATATCATAGGTACTAAAGTCAAGCACATAATAGAAAGATTATTAAACTAACAATTCTATTATTACACAGTGTTTAGTAATGTTTCATTTGGATTAGCCTGTTTATTAAATTATGTATGTTTTTTAATTAGCAATCAATGACCAGAAAAAGGAAAGATTTTAGAGAGACAGTTGTAGCAGAATAAAGTTTGTGGGCCTTGAGAAAGCAAGATAAGGTTCCAGGTGGTCAGCATTTCTTTTAATCATCTTTGTGGCAGCTTCTGGTGGTCATTATCTCTTGGCAGGCATTCAGCTTCTCTGCATCTTAGGGAGTTTGCTGTTCTCCCCCTGCACGCATGGTTCCTTGCCCACGCCGGACCTCAGGGACCATGGCAACAGCCATTAGCCCTGAAGGTCACTGCAGGGGGAGGTGCAGCAACTATCAAGCTATTGCCAGCCACTGCAGCACTGATTCCAGGGAGCTGACCCCCATGGCGCAACAGACCTCTCCTGTCTTGTCCGCTGCTCCCCTCAGCAGTGTATTTCAGTCAATCTGCCTGTTCTGCTCCCCACTCTGTCTCTGGTGAATCCTCTCACCCCCCACACACCTCTGGCCTGTACCCCAGTTCTTATATACATAAATAAATAAATCTTTTTTTAAAAAAATACACACGGGCCTCCCCTGGTGGGGCAGTGGTTGAGTGCTGGGCTGCGAGGCTGCCCGCAGCCTCTGCGGCGCCGGTTCATTCCCCACCTGCCGGCTAGGATCCCACAAAAAAAATAAATAAATAAAGCATACACACTATAACATTTACTGACTGTCTATACATACCAACCATTTTTCTAAGTGCCTCACATGTATTAACTTATTTAACCCTCAAGAAAACCTTATGTTAGAGATAGGCAGTCGTACTATCTCCATTGCACAGATAGAAAATTTGGCAGAGAGAGTCCATCAGCTTCTGCAAGTCACTCAGCTAAGAAGTGGCCAAGGTGGAATGTGAACCTGGCGGTCCAGAAGCCCCACCCTGTCTCCTTGGACACTGCTAGAAAAGGCCCATTCCTGCAACACCATTAGCTCTCCCTGCCAGGGTTTCAGCTTGTGGCTGATGGACTTGTGGTCTCTGAACTCTTCTACAGGGAGAGGTTGGGGTCCCCTTCCTAGCACCAGTGGCTACTGTGGAGCAATTAGGCATGAGAGGCACAGAGAGATGTGTGGGGGCCAGGAAATGGGCCTGGTAGCTGGAACCTAGGCTGAAGGAGGGCAGAGGTTACTTTCCTGGTGGCAAGAAGGAGACTGATGGCTTTTCTTTGTTGCTCTAACCCCCAGCTGCAACAGTGAGGGAGAAAGCATGCTGCCACCGTCTCTGCTCCCCGGCTTGGCCCACATCCACAACCTACGACTGGAATTTGACTCTTCGAGGGAACCCAGCCGCAGGGCAGCCACGGAGTTGCTGATCACACTGGCGGCTCGTACCCGGGGGCTGCAAGGCCTGCATCTGCAGTGCCGAGGAGAGAAGCCACTCTTCGACGCCGGCCGCGACGTACTGGACGCCGTGCACGCCATCTGCCGGACTGCCCGTACTCTGCGCCACCTCAACCTGCGGTGCTTGCCTTTCACCCTGGACGATGCACTGGTGCTGCAGGTGGCACGCGGCTGCCCTGAGCTCCGCAGCCTTTTCCTGGACAACAATACTCTGGTGGGCAGCGTGGGGCCCAGCTCTGTGCTGAGGCTATTAGAGGCCTGCCCGCACCTGCGCGCCCTCGGCCTGCCCCTGGCCAGCCTGTCTCCGACCGCCCTCGAGGCACTGGCAGCGCCGGATCGCGCGCCTTTGGAGCGCTTGGCCCTGCGGTGCGCGTGCCCCGAGGACGCGCGCGCGCCCCCGCTGCCCGACGCCGCCTGGGCCGCCCTGCGCCGCCGCCACCCTGGACTGGCCGTGGAGCTGGAGCTGGAGCCGGCCCTGTCTGCCGAGAGTGTGGCGCGCGTCCTGCAGCCCGCCGTGCCGGTGGCCGAGCTGCGCCTCTGCCTCTCTGGGGACACTGTAGGCCCCTTGCGCTTCGCGGCGCAACACTATGCCGCCACCTTGCGCGTGCTCGAGGTGCGCGCCGCCGCCTCGGCCCCGCTGGACTCCGCCCTGGAGGCGCTGGCGGCGCGCTGCGCGGGCCTGCGCGAGGTGCACTGCTTCTGCGTGGTGCGCCCCTCGGTGCCGCGGGCTTTCCACGCGCACTGCCCGCGCCTGCGCAGCTACACGCTCAAGCTCACGCGGGAGCCTCATCCCTGGCGGCCCACTTTTGTGAAGTGATGGGGAAAACACGCCCCCATCACCGCAGACGTGTGGCCTCTGAGATCCTGAGTGGGGCGGCCAACTGCTGGCTCCTTCTTCACCGTGCAGTTGCTCCGTGTCCCTAAGGGAGTGAGGCGCTGGGGAGGCCTCGGGAACATCCCGGGGTCCTGAGTCCACTTGGTGCTCTGGGCATCTCGACCCCCCCCCCCCCGCTACTGGGGTCACCCTTCTCCAAACCCCACTCCGCCGCGCACTCTGCGATCTCCTCAGCCCCTGCGTGGGGGCAGGGGGTGTTGAAGGCAGGACACAGGCACAAGCCCGGTCTCAGGGGTTACGTGTGAAACAAATAAATCCTGCAGTATTTCTGCGTCCTGTGAAAGGCCTGGCTGGCTCCGAAAGCAAAGGGCGCGAAACGCACAAGGGCCGGAGCAGCGGTCTGGGCAGGAACCGGAGAGGTTGGAACCTCGAGGCCCCTGGTACTGAGTGTGGGTGCCGGTGCGGGTGGTCAAGGACAAGGCACTCTGCAACCTCGGGGTGACAACTCCCGGGGTGCTCGGTGGAAGGGCGCGGGCGTGTCCCCTCCCGCCTCCTGTCCGAGCGCCCTGGCGCGTCACTGCGCCCACAACCGTGCAGACCTCCCCCGACCACACCAGGTCGCGCATGCGTGCGCCCTCCCGAAGAGCAAGGAAGGAAACCCGGGGCCTAACCCGGGCGGAACCTGCTCGCAGGTCTCCCTCCCCACCCGGCCTCCGCGGGGTCTGCGGGCTGCAGCGCCGGGTCCGAGTCCCGCCCTCGGGCTCGCGGCCGCCGCCTGACCCGCGGGGGGCGGAGTGGGACGGGGCGGGCGGCCGACGCTGCACTTTCCCCGACTTTGGGAAGCGGCGGCTGCGGGCCCGCGCCGAGCCTGAGCAGCGCCGAGACCGCGCTATGCAGGAGGCACCGGCCGCGCGCCCGCGGAGTCGGGTCCCAGCTGCGCGCCCGCCCTCCTCGGCAAGCTGCGGGCGCTGGTGCGCGACCCGCGCACCGACCACCTGATCCGCTGGAGCCCGGTGAGGGCTGGGGCCCCTCCACTCCCTCAGGGGTCCCTGGGATCCCTCTTTGTCGGCGAGCGCCCACCCAAACCCCGCCTGGGACGGGGCTGTGGGTCCCTCCATCCAGCCGTCCAAAGGGAGTTTCCCTTGGCGCGGGTGTGCAAGGCGAGGCGGCCTTGACGCCTAGAGCCCGAGGAATCTTCGAGGTCTTTTAGTTCCCACCCCACCCTATCAGACGGGAAGACAGGCCAGAGGGGAGCCTCTGCTCGGGTTGGAGTAGGGGTTCACTACGGCTGCCTCCGAGTTTGCGTCTCCATATCTGGCCTCGTCGCACCTCCCCGTGAGCCGCCAGGCCCCAGAGCGAGCGGAGCGCGAGCGTGTGCACGACAAACCCGAGCGGGGGTGGCGGGTAGGGCAGGCGCCCTCACTCACTTTGCGGGGTCTCGCCGCACGGCGGGGGGCCGGCGGTGTTCTGGGCAGAGCGGGGCCAGTTTCCTCGTCAGCGACCAGAGCCGCTTCGCCAAGGACGTGCTGCCCCGGTACTTCAAGCGCAGCAACAGGGCAAGCTTCGAGCGGCAGCTCAACATGTGCGAGTCCCCAGGCCGGGGAGACGTGGGTCTCAGCGCCTTGGCGCGGCTGGGGCAACTCACGCCCGCATGCGCCCCCGACGGTTTGGGGAAGGTGGTGAGCCTCGCGCAGGGCGGCCTGCCGGGCCGGAGCGCGACCACGTGGAGTTCCAGCACCCGAGTGTTGTGCGTGGCCGAGAGCAGCTGCTGGAACGTGTGCGGCGCCAGGTGGGGGCCGCCTGTGGGAACCCCAAGCCCGGAGGGAGCTGGGGGCTCGGCGGGTCCTATTCCACACGCCCCCAGCGCAACGGCCCGTCGCCCCGTCTGCAGGTGCCCGCCCTGCGCAGCGACGACGGACGCTGGCGCCCCGAGGGCCTGGGCTGGCTGCGGGGCGAGGTGCAAGCGTTGAGGGGAGCGCAGGAGAGCGCCGAGGCCCCGCTGCGGGAGCTCAGGCAGAGCGCAGGAGGGTGGGGAGAGGGCAGGGCGGTCTGGCCGAGGAACCCCGCCTCCTACCGATCGGGCAGCCTCTTCCTCTCCTGAGCCTTGTTGCCTTGGAGCCTTGGAGCTCTGGAACTCTGTTCCCTGTGGAGAGAGAGTCTTCAGGGGGGTCGCAGCCTGCCATTCTGTGAGGTGACTGAGCCGACTGGCAGATGCCTCAGCACAACCCCCACCCCCCCATCCCTTCCCTCAGGCAGAATGAGATCTTATGGAGGGAGGTGGGGACCCTGCAGCAGCGCCACAGCCAACAGCATTGGGTCATGGGCAAGGTATTCCTCTCCCTGCACCCTGTCATCCCTCCCATGCCTGAGCACGCCTCTCCCCGCCAGTCCTCCAAACCCCCACCCCGCAAGTGCTTTGTCAGGGTGGGAGCAAGTCCAAAGTATGGTCAACCCTCTGCTTCCTCTTCAGCTGATCCAGTGGCTCTTGGGGCCACTTCAGGCCGGGCCCAGCAGCACAGGAGTTAGGAGAAAGCTGCGAGTGACAAAGTCAGGGAGACTCCTCACCCCACCCCCAGTCCCAGAATCTCTGCGGGAGACCCCTGCAGGAACACCCCTGCAGGAACACCTCAGAGACCTCAGTCTTTCACCTGCTCTGTAGTCTTCTTCACCCCAAGGCCACCTTCCCAACCTCCTTCTAGAACTTTCTCCCTTTCCCCAACTCTGCCACCAAGTATCCTCACTCCCAGAACCCTTTGTCCAGGGCCTTACCCTCAAATTTCCACCCCAGCAGCCCTTTCCCCCACCTCAAAACATTTCAGCAGCACAGAGCCTGGGACTCAAACTATGTCCCCTTTTCCACCCCCAAGGGCTTCCATCTCTTTGGGGGAGCCCCTTCTGCCTCCAGCATGTGACTGATGCCTGGCAACTGGCCTCAGATCTGCTGACTTGGCTGCCAGGGCCTGTGGGAGGGAGGGGCAGGCTGATGGGCGTGGGGGATGGACTGCCCTGCACCCTGCACAGGTCCCTGATGCTGGATGAGGGGAGTTCATGCCCAACACCCACCAAACTCAGCGCCTGCCCCCCTCCTGGTGCCCTCCTGCGGGACTCCTACTTTATACAGTTGATAGGTTTGGGTTTCTGCTCCCTTCCCTAGGGCACACCTGGGTTTATGGAAGAGCCTATTTCTTTTCCCTATTCCAGAAAAAGAAAACAGAAGCCAGTCCTTCACCCCTGCCAGATCCTGACTGAGTCCCTCCTCACACCTTCCCCCTCACACCTTGTCCCTGTGGGAACTGCTTGGGTCTGACCCTTCCTATGGCTCATGGTGAAAGTCTGGTCAAGATGAAAGTCTGATCTTAGCCTTCTACTTACAGCCCCTCCCAGAGACCAGCTTGGGCCTCAGCAGTCCTCACAGGGCAAGAAGTCCCATCATCTCTGACATCCTGCAAGACTCTCCATCTCCTGAAGGGACCAGGCTTTTTCCCTGCAGTGCTGGTAAGAGGTAAGAGAGTAAGAGGGACAGGGGCTGCCCCTGGGAGCCTCTGGGGGAGGTTCTGGCAGCCCAAGTGGCTGCAGAGGGTGGCAGAGGTCAGTGCCAGAGTTTGGTTGAAGCTTTTCTTTGGTGCAGGGAGAAGGGCCTGGCACTGCTCGAGGAAAAGCCAGCGAGCCCGGGGGGGGGGGAAGGCCAGGCCAGGCTGACCCTAGCCCCAAAGGAGTGTGACTTCTGCGCAACAGCCCCCCCACAGCTGTCTTTGGCAGTGGTGCAGGCCACCTTGGAAGGGAAAGAGCTTCAGCCCTGAGGAACCCAGGAATGCCCAGCAGCCTGAGCCAAGGAGTCCCAGGGAGGTCCCTGAGAGGTGAGCAGAGAGCCTGTTCTTGACTGTCAGCCCATGGGCCAAGCTTGCAGAAAGACCAGTATAAAGGAGCCCATGGAACATCCCGGCCTTGTCTGGCCCTTGATCTTATCTGATTTCTCCAGTTACTCTCAGGAGTACGTACCTTCACAGTCACCCCCAAAGTGGTACCACCTCTGTGGTAGGGCTCAGGAATCTGTATTTTTTTTTAAAGATTTATTTTATTTATTTATGCATAAAAGAACTGGAGTGTAGGCCAAAGGTATGGGATGTGAGAGGATTCACCAGGGACAGAGTGGCAAGCAGAACAGGCAGATCTACTGAAATATACTGTTGAGGGGAGCAGCAGGTGAGACAGGAGCTGTGCTATGTGGGTTAGCTTGGGGGGGGGAGGAATAGAACTCTTGCAGTAGCATGATAACTGAGACTAATCCCTGCAGCCACCTGGGAGGCCCAAATCTGCATTTTAAATGAGTTCATTGAGGTGACTGTAAAGCACACAATAGTTTAAGAACCACTAGTAGTGACCAGTTGCATAGGGAGGGGCCCCATCCCAAGATCCCACCCCCACTACCCAAACCTCAGGTCCAAGGTAGGAGGCAGGAGGCGCTCTCTGTGTGCCCCTCTCTGTAGGGGTCCCCCAGTGGTTTCTACATGTTATCAGATTTAGATCCTGGGGTATCCAGGTTGCTTGGAAACCTAATGGTGCGGGGAGTTTGAACACCACAGACCAACTGCAGTTCTCTGTGCATAGGGGGCCGCTGGGCCTGGAGAGGGGGGATCAGAGCCCAGAGAGTCTGCTACCTCCCACACTGCTTCGGGCTCCCCCTGAAAGTGTGGCGCCTGCAAGGCCCCTAGATGTGAGTACACCCTCAGTGGGCAGGGCCATGCAGTCTGGTGGGATTTAGTTGTCTGTAGAGCCTGGGCACCACTGACCTGGAGCTTCCCCAGGTGCTGGGCCCCAGCCTCCAAGGGCAAGAATGGACCTTGATGGACTTGGACATGGAGTTGCCCCTGGTAAGACGGGAGTCGGGAGGGGTGGAGGTTAGGGGTTGCTGAGCCAAGCCCTTTGGTCCATGGCTGTTCACTCTCAGCCAGAACCCTGGTTCTCCTGGGCTCTCCAGCCCTCCTCTCCAGCCGCTTCCTGGGGTTCTCTCATGCAATGCAGCCCTTGGTTCCAGAGACGGATGAGGAGACCGAGTTTGCAGTCAAGGGGTTGAATTCTCCTGGTAATGGTAGTGGGGGAGGCCCTGACTGGCCTGAGCTACCTTCACCAGGTAGGCTGCGGTGTTTGTGCCTGGAGGGAAAGCCCCTGAGCGCAGGCTGCCCTGCACACACTTGCTTAAATCACCGCTGGGTGAGAGCTGGGGAGGCTGAGAAAGGATATTGCATCCTAACTCACCGGAGGGCTCGGCTGGTGAGGCTCTCCTTCCCCAGAAGAAGGGAGGGAACCATTTCTTCTTCCTAGGGAAGGACTCCACACCTGGGACACCACCCGTGCTGGATCTCCAAGCAGCTTTGGGAGGCCCAGGCCTTTGGCCTGCCTGGAGCTTTAGCCATTTACAGCGCCCCTGAGAGCCGAGCTTCCCCCCTCGCCAGTCCCTCCCCCTGGGAAGGCCTCGGCTCTGAGGCCGGCCGCAGCACGCCCTTCTCGGCTCCCTGGCGCCCCCCGGAGGAGGCTGAGCGAAGTCCCGGCTACTGGCGGTCCCTCTCCATGGCCAAGCCCCGCGCACAAACTCATTTCCCCCCTGCGTCTCTGGTCTTTTCTCTGCCGCCCAGGGAGAGATCGCGGGTGCCGGGGGGAGGGACTTTACATTCGTACAAGCATCCAGATGCTGGAGCTTTAACGGAGGCACCGCTGGAGAGTGGCGGTGCTTGGGTAGCGCCTAGTTCTCCTGCTCCCGGCTGCACCCAGGGCCGGCGCGCAGCCAACGCAGCCTCCAGGAGGAGGGGGCTTCTGGGTCACAGTTCAGCAGTGCATCCACTTTGTGAACCCGGGTAAGCTGGTCTCCTCCGAGCCTCATCTGTGACAGCAAGAGGGGTCCACCACAGAATAGGGGCACAGCCCCCGGGCACTGCCAGGCTCGGAAGGGCACTGGGCACTTGGGGCGCAAGCCGAACTGCTCCTCCCTGACTCATCCGGCGCCCGGGGGCGGGGGGAGGGAGGAAAAGCGGGTTGCGCTCCCGACACCCGGCGGTGCGCGGCCCGGGTGGCCGGCTGCCCGAGCCCCGAAAAGAATGCCCCTCTCCCCCGCCCGCGCGCGGTTCCCGGCAGCCCCGGCCGCCCCGCCCCGCCCCGCCGCAGCTGCTGCCCCCCCACCCGCCCAGCCCTTTCTGCCTCGTCATCTCCTGCACCGCCGAGGCTCGGCCCGAGAGTGGGGCGGCCGGAGCGCGCGGACCCGGAGCCCCACCCCGCGCTGCGTGGGGAGGGGAGAGAAGCTGAGATTGGGCCGAAGCGGAGTCCCACCCGCGGCCGCCGAGCTCCGGAGAGGTCTGTGCGCCCCGCCCCCTCGCAGGACGCGGGATGAGCTGGAGGGGAGTTTAGAGCAGCCCCGAGCTCGCACCCCCAACCCTCGCTCCCCAGCAAAAAAGCCCGCGCAGCGAGGTGGGGAGCCACTGAGACCCCCCTACTCCACCTAGCACCTGGAGCCGGGGTGCTCCCGGGAGGATCTGCCTTGTGACCGTTGAAGGACTCCCCGCGACTTACCCTCGCTGTTCACCTCTGAGCTTTAAGAGTCTCAGAGGGAGGCCCTAGATCAGCGGGGTGGCTGCACCCCTGGACAGGGCAAAGGGCAGGACTTGGAATAATGGGAAGAGGAGGCGAACATGAAAATAACTGGGGAGGAGTGAGAGACAGAGACAGAGAGAGACAGAAGGAGTCAATCTGGTCTGTCCAGAGCATGTTCTGTCTCCCTTCCTGGCATCCCCGTGAATGGGAGCGGGCGGGGAGACTCTGGAAGCCTCGGCTGAGGAGGGCAGAGGCTGCACAGGTGCCTGACACGGTGGGGAGGGTGCATGCTGTTCACTGGGGGTAACAGGAGCAGGAACCAGTCAACATTGGTTGAGTCTTGGAGACCAGGTCCCCAGCATGGAGGGAAGAGTATCACAGGCTTAGGGAACAGCATGTACAAAAGTTAGGAAACACCAGGGCTGGACTTGGGGAGTTCTCCCAGCACTGAGGGGTGGAGGGATGTGGGGGAAAACCTGAATGCCTGGGGGTCATGGAAAGGGGTGGGAGGTACCTAGAGCAACGGGTTAGATAGCCTAATGGGCATTGGGGGGCAGGGGACAGGGGTGACATTCTGCTGGCCAGGAGACCTTAGAGTCCAAGCTGGAACAAGTCACATTCTAGTTCTGCCACTTGGTCTCGCTGAGTCTATCCCCTCAACTGTAAAAAGGGGACAATAAATCTTACCCCCAGAGAGTTGTCAAAGTCACTCTGCTGGAGAGGGAGGAGGTACTCAGGGAGATTGGCAGAGGGCATGAGATGAGGGTGGTGCTGTCCATCTGTGAGCTGATACTGAGAGAGGAGCAGTGCTCGGCACAGATGCAACAAGAAGGGAGAGAAGTCCTGCTCTCTGCTCAGTGGCCAGAGGGAAGGGCTGACGCTTCGATTTGGGCAGGAGGATTGAAGTGACCAGGAAGGCATGGCATGACACCAGGTAGCAGAGGGAGACCTGAGAGGTAGGATGGAGGCCAGGACCAAATCCGCTCTGCCAGACCTAGAGCCAACTGAGAAGGCAGAGGAGGGACGCCCCCAGGGAGGCCCTAGGAGGGTGCTGTGTGGACAAAGCCAAGGTCGGGGACAGAGGGACTGTTCCAGGGCCTGGTGCTCCTTACTGCTAGAGGGCTGGCCACCCAAAGGGGGATGGTCCTCAGTTGGTAAAGCAGATTAATTTCTACCAAACACCCACTGTTTGGTAGACAGTCAAAATGGGAGGCTCTGTGGAGCAAAACAGTCAAAGTTCTGTAAAGATTTATTAGTAGCTTTTAGGAGTTTGGGTCCTGGGTGCTTCAAGATAAAGCTAGACGTGGTTGTGAGTCATCCCCAGGGCAGAGGGGAGACAGCTGGATCTCAGGTGATATCAAATCTTGGTCAGAGCTAGCACTCAAGAATTCAGGTATCTGTGTTCAGGTATTAGGGAGCCAGGGTGGTGGCTTTGGTGAGGGGGTGTAGGGGCAGGGTACCTGTCCTGGAAAAATGGACCCCAGAGTTAGAATAAACGGTTTGGATTTCCTCCAGCACTTGAGAGGGAAGGCTCTTGGCTCTCTGTGTTCTGGGTGCAGAGGACTGCTGTGGCTTTGCTGGGTCGTGGCTGGAGGTGAAAAGCTAGACCCTAAGTGGTGAGGATCACAGACAGGGTGGGCAGAGAGACAGGAGAGGCCTTGTCTGCTCGCTGGGGGTGGGGCATCAGGGTTCATGTTCCTTCTTTCTGCCCGGTGAAGTGGGAAAAAAGTTTGGGACCAAGAAGTCAGTTTGGCTAAACTGCTTCCTAAACCGGTGGGGATCCGCAGGCGGTGCCGCCTCAAGAGGGTGGTCTGGGCTGGGGAGAGCCACCTCACAGTAGACCACGGCCTGAGAGGCGAGCTGACACTTAGGGACCCACGGAGAAGCCTGAGGAGACCAAAAAGAAGTGTCCGGAGGCACCGGAGGACGAGTCCGGTGCTGCGGGGCTGTCTGGCAGCGCGGGGGAGGTGACTTTAGGTCTCCACCGCGGTGTTCTCTGGGGCCCTGGGAGAGAAGCGGAGGGCGGAGCAGCTCCGGGCCCCCCCACCTCTCCCCTTGGCTCTCGCAGCCCCCGCCATGGGCAACGCGCAGGAGCGGCCGTCCGAGACCATCGACCGCGAGCGGAAACGCCTGGTGGAGACGCTGCAGGCCGACTCCGGGCTGCTGCTGGACGCGCTGCTGGCGCGCGGGGTGCTCACCGGGCCCGAGTACGAGGCGCTGGACGCGCTGCCCGATGCGGAGCGCAGGGTGCGCCGCCTGCTGGTGGTGGTGCAGGGCAAGGGCGAGGCCGCCTGCCAGGAGCTGCTGCGCTGCGCCCAGAGGACCGTGCGCGCGCCCGACCCGGCCTGGGACTGGCAGCACGTGGGCACCGGTGAGCGCGCGAGGGCCGGGTGGGACGAGCGGGGAGGGGCCTGGGAGGGCGCAGCTGCCTTCTCAGGAGATGGGCGCGCGGCGAGGGGTAAAGTGGGCCTCCCTCCTCCACTCCAGGCTACCGAGAACGCAGCTACGACCCTCCTTGCCCTGGCCACTGGGCGCCTGAGGCAGCTGGCTCAGGGGCCGCCTACCCCGGCCTGCCCAGAGCTACAAACTGCGACAAGGGCGAGGAGCCTGAGGACTCCGAGGCCACACAATCGGGGACCCTTGAGGAGCCTGAGCCGGAGCTGGAAGCTGAGGCCTCTAAAGGGGCTGAGCCAGAGCTGGAACCCCAAGTGGACCCAGAACCAGAGCTAGAGGCTGAACCGGAGCCCGAACCAGATCTGGAGCCGGAGCCTGAACCAGAACCGGACCCGGAGCCTGACTTCGAGGCTGGGGAGGAGTCTGAAGGTGTGAGGCTGCCCAAACATGGTGCCAGTTGGCAGGTGGGGTAGTGGCCTGGAAGGCAGGCAGCTCTTACCACCTCACTGACCCCTTTCCTCCCATCATCTCTAGATTCCTGATGCCAGAACGCTGACAGGCCCCTTCTGGTCCAAACTGGGTAAGACCTGGGTTCCTGCCACGTGGGTTCACATGCCACCACCGCGCTCCCTCTGCCCCAGTACTGCTGGACATTAATAAACTTGGGAGGGCCAGCTTGGGCTCCCTCTGAGATTGTCTCTTTGCCCAAGAACTAGGCTTTGGATCTGTGCCTCTGAGTCCCGAGGAGCTGGGCAGCCTGGTGTCCTGCCGCACAATCCTCAGCCTCATCCCGTCAGCAGCCCAAGCTGCACCCCTGGAGCCCACACAGCTAGGCCCCTTGTGGGACAAGACTCTGACCCCTGCTTTATAACCCGTTTCCCCTCACGAGCCGTTTAAGGACCAGTGTGGTCAGCAGCCCTGACTCCATGGAGGCTCCTGGAGTGCACCTCATCTCCTGGTGAGAGAGCAAGAGAAGGGGACTTCTCTCCACTTAGGGAAGGCTAGAGCCCACGGCCTCGGGAAGTGAGACTAGAAGAGAGGAAGGCGAAGGGATCTTGGGTAGACACAGACCTCACACGTCATTGTAACTGTTTTAATTGACTGGTTTTGGTTTCTCTGGACCGGGAGCTCAGTGAGGGTTCTGGCCGGTGTGTATACACATTCATTGACTAAATGAACAAGAACTTTTCAGCTGCACTTCCATTTCTGGGTTTTATAGATGGCTAAGGCCAAGGGTGGGAATGGGGTTGGGTCGACCATACACAGCTGAGTCTGAGGTGAAACTGGAAACCACCACCACCTCTGTACCTCTCTTAGTCCAGGAGGGGCTCAGGACTGGGAACAAGTAGGGGCCTGCCCCTCGGGCTTGATTGGCTGCAGCCAGGCTATGCCAACCTTTGCCAGAGACCAGCTGTGAGGGATGGGAAAGACAGGAGGCGTGGGGCTAGGGACAGGTGAGTGCGTCAGTTCAACTCACAAGGCCCAAGGACTCTGTGGGTTGGGGGTGGGGGATAAGAGTGGGGGTCCGAACAATCAGTGACTTTCAGGGGAGTCCTTTTCCTTCCACCAAACCTGCAGAAGTTGCTGCCTCCCAGCCTCAGGGAGCAGAGCACATAAATAGGGAATAAATACGTGACCAGTGGGAGCGGCAAAATGCTGCAAAGTGCACCCCAGCCCAGCTGGGTCTCTGCTATTAGCACACCTGCCCCTTAGATTTGTGAAAGCCAGGACCCCAGGCTCAGGCAATCACCCCAGGAGAAGGGAGTCTCCCCCACACCAGGACCCAGTGAGAGGTAGACAGCATGAAAGCTGAAGGAGCACCAAGGCGCCAGGTGGGGGAAGGGAGAAAACAGAATACACAGGCACCCGAAGCCATCTCATGCAAAAACAAGTCTCTACTCCCCAACCACCCCCCATTCCCGTCTGTTCCCAGCTTCTCTCCTGCCCCCAAGGTTTCCCCTCTGCTCAACAGAGAGCCCAAGGCAGGAGAGCAGACTCAGTTTGCCTGACAAGCTGCTATGGGGCCCCAAGGAGGATTCCAACCCTCTGATGTTGCTGCTCCTCCCTTCTGGGATACTCCTGCCTGCCCAGTCCCCCGAAGAAACACCCAGGCTGTGGAAGCGCAGAGCAGTTAGCTTCATGTTCTGGGGGTTGCTGTAGAGTCCTCTGCCTGGGGCCTCTGCCTGCAGCTCTCAACCAGCATCATCAGTCAGGCAGCAGGCGACCCAGCTCTGCCTCATCCAGCCGGTTGGTGGCCATGATGTGCTCCAGCTGCTGCCGGTAGCGTTCCAAGTCCTGCATGAAGTGCGGGACCCGAGTATTGTCCAGCACCCCAAGGGGCCGCAGGTGGTCTATATCCTCATAGGACACCTGCAGAGAGGAAGCTGGGCCTCAGGAGAAGTCTGGAAACCCAGGCTTTTAAGCAGCTGGTCCCAGCTCCCTGCCAATGGCTCATTGCCCTTTGCTCCTGGAACTCCTCCCGATCCACTCCCAAGACTCGGTCCTAGGTGTTTGCTCTTTCTCAGCACCTTTTTCATCTATGTCCTATCACCCCACTCCGCTTTCCAGCCACACTTCTCTCCCTCATGTCCAAGCCTGGGCATTCCGCTGCCTCCTAAGGCCTTTGGGTACTCCAGACTCCCCATATCCGATACTGAACTCCTGCCACCCTCCTGCTCAGGGTGGCTACTGAGTGAAGAGGGTTCCATGCTCCGAAGAGCTCTCCCAAGTTTCCCCCTCAATCTCCAACTGCACGACCACTGCTCAGTTCGGCCGGGCCACCATCAGTTCTGCAGGAGTGACTAGAAGGGTAACCCCTTCTCCAATCCACCTTCCAAAATGGCATCCAGAGAACATTCTGAAGCAAACATCTGTGCCACTTCTTTCCTTAAAGCGCCTCCAATTCCCCTTTGCCTCAAAGGAAGTCTGCATCTCTCAGCCTGGCACAGATGCACAGTGCCAAGGATCTGCCTCCTTCCCCTTCTTCCTGACTGCGCCCTTGGCCTGGAATGCTCAGCCTCCTTTGAGTTGCAGTAGCTGCACACACACCTGTGGGCTGAGTCACGCACCTACTTTTGGCTGCCAGGCCACCATCTCATCTGCTGTGCTCAGCTTAACCCCTGCTCCCCGCTCCCAAAGGCCTGGCACCCAGTCCTCACTGGAGCATTAATCACAGGGCCAGGGGACACTGCGTGAGGGGGGGAGCTGGCGAGGACCCCTGGCCCCTCACCTTGCCCAGCGAGGTCAGCAGCGGGAAATCGATGGTCTGGCGGTGCCGCAGAATGCGCACGATGCCATCCAGGTACACCTGGTCTTTGCTGAAGCAGCCTGTGGGCACCGAAGGGTCGAAGGGTCGTTAGTCCCTTATCTCCAAGCCGCACCCCACACTCTCCCTCCCTATCCCCCTGACTTTCCCGCCCACCGCACGGGCACCCACCAGGCAGCGAAGTGTCCGTCTGCCCGCGCTTGGCGCGCACGCAGTACTCCCAGCGCACGTGGGCATCCTCCACGTAGCGCGCCAGGTCCTGGAAGAGCTGGCGGAAGGACATGCACGCGGCGCGGTGGATGGTGTAGTAGAGCAGCGCGGCGCGCCACAGGAAGGGCTGCTTGCGGAACAGCACGCTGTGCAGGCTGGCCAGGCCCTCCTCGGTGGGGTTAGCGGGCCGAAGCCCGTACTGCAGCCGGCCCTCGGCGCTGTGCCACGGCTGCCGCGCGTTGTTCACGCCTCGCAGGTAGTGGGTGCCTGGCGGGGGGGCGGGGGACGGGCATGGGCCGGGAGTCCAGAGGGCTCCGCTCCAGCCGGCTGGACCTCTGCCAGTCACTCATGCGTCTTGGTGCGCCTGACCTCGGGCTCTCATACAAGGGCTCAGACCAACGCCACTCACCATCCCCCGGGCAGCCTGGTCGTGTCCAGGGACGCGGAGTCTCACATGCGAGAATCCCCGACGTGTGCAGGGTCACACACATACACACACCCCTCGCACACTCTGCCTCCCTGCCCCCCCCCCCATGCCCCTGTCATTCTGACAGTCATGCTGATGTCCCCAGTAAAAACCTTCTGCCTAGAGGAACAGGATTCTTGATGAAGAAGAACAGAAAAGAATCGTAATTAGCGTCCCCTGCTCCCCTTTCCAGCCTGGCCTTTCCCTCCCCAGCTCTGTATTGGCCTCCGCCAAGTCCCTTCTCAGGATCTGATCTTCCACCCACCCTGGAGGGCCTGGATGCTGGTAGGGCTAGTGGGACGCTCGGGGTTCTCCCTCAGGCCTGTGCAAGCCTCAGCAGCCTGTCCCCACTGTCAAGGGAAATCAGAGACAAGTGAGGGAGAAACAGATATCCCGAAGGAGGCGATGAGAGCGACCCAGAGAGCAGGCGAGCACGGGCTGGCCTACCTCTGTGAGCCAGAGGGAGGAGGTGGCTGCTCACGAAGGGCAATGGATCGTCCTCCAGGGGGTAGGGAAGAAAGAGAGGGGGTGGGGTTACCGGGGTCCCTTACTGCCCTGTCCCAATCCCTTCTCATCCCTGCCCGCCCGCCTGCCCACATGCTGACCTATCTCGTGGCGGAGCATGCCCTCCAGCCAGTACTGGCGGGCTCCGGTCAGGTTGATGGCCAGCGTGGGTCGACTGTTCTCCACCATCATCACTGCCTGGGACAGCAGGTCCTCACTCAGCTGCACCACAACCTGCAGGTAGTAGTGCCCTGCGCCGTAGCCACCAGCCTGAGGCCAGTGGGCAGCTGGATCCACTGATGCCACAGGCTGAACACCCAACCCTCACCACCTCTGCTCAGAGCCAGCTCCCACCTCACCCAGGCAGGGGCAGGGACAGGGACTCCCTGGGTTCACTAGCTGGCCAGCTGTGGAGCCGGGCCTAGCACCACCCAGGTCAATATGGCTTGGGGCATGCAGAAGAGGGCCTTGAAGTGGGGCATGCTCACCTCCCCGACGCAGCCTTCCTTCTGCATATATTTGCGCACAATGGACCAGATCTGGCACTTGGTCAGCAGCTGGCCCCCAGTCGCAGCCTCAAAGTGTTCATAGGTGCCAAATTTCTCCAGGACGGCCTCAATGATGCCAACTGCCTGCACACAGGGCCGCAGCGGCCGGTCAGGCCAGGCCTCCTGGATGGTCGGGGCCAGGGTGAGGTAGGCAGGCTGGACATACCTGGTGGATGAACTGTCCAGAGGCTTCACAGTACTTTTCCAGCACAGCCTTGGGCATGGGCTCCTGGTACTCGAACTGCGGGTTGTAGGTGTAATGGGACTGAAAGAACTTGTCCCGCTCGCGGTCCATGTTGGTTGGTCGCAGAGCCACCAACATGCAGGGGCTCTTGCTGGCACCACGGCCCACATCCTTTCGAGTCTTCGCAATGTGAGGCAGGGAGGCCGCAGGCCGCAGGGTGCCTCCACCTGGGTCCTGTCTCCGTCCAGGTAGGGCCAGGCCCTGGGTGCCACCCCCTCGCCGGCCAGTACTATTTACAGTGCTGGTGCTCTCACTGCGACGCATGTGGCCACGGTGCCCCAAGCGAAGTTCTGAGAAGGGCTGTGGCTTAGGCTGGGGCTGCAGAGCTGAGGGGACTGACAGAGCCAGAGGCAGAGCCAAAGACTGAGGCCAGGGGTACACCACTGTCCCATCTCGATCTGGGGGCTTGAGCCTATGGCCCAAGGACGAGGGACTGGCTGGTGGGCTGGGGGGTGTCTGTTCATACACCTGAGTCCCTGAGTCCAACACCATTCTGTCCTGAGGGTCGCATCCAGCCTGATAACTCCAACTCCCCACTCTGTAGATTTCTGGGGACACAGAAGGGCATGTGGAGAACATGAATGGGTGCAGCCTTAAGACCAGCAGTTCCTGTGCCCTACACTGCGCTGGCTGGGCTTTTGCTGGGCCCAGGGCCTGCCACAAGTCTGGGTAGTTGCTCCCTCACCCCCATGCTGCAGCCACTCCAGCAAGCAGGCTGGACTGGGGGAAAGCAGAAGGAAGTCTTACCCACCCACTTAGAGAGCGGAATCCCCTGAGCTCATGAGCTCTGACAGCAAGGACTGAGCCCCTACTCATGACTATAATCCTTGTTATCAACCCAGCCAAACTGGGAGCTGGATGACAAGGGGTGAGGGCGCCTGATTACCTTCTACCTATGGCGTTTGCTCAGTCCCTTCCCACCTGCCTCCACCCAACTCCTCCAGCCCATATGCCCTGAGTCAGTGTGAATGCCCGCATGCCCCTTGCTTATATCCCTCCACTTTTTCCTCTATTCAAATTCAAATCAGAACTAGCTTTTGGGGAGCAGAGGGACACTTGGAAAATCCAAGCCAGTCCCTGGTCTGCTCCTATCTGAGGCACCTTCCCAGTTGTCATCCAAGGTTGGTATCAGGGTGCTCCACCCCCACCCCCGACTCTGTATGAGGGCTCAGTGCAAACCAGTCTCTCTGCAGGGACTGGCTGAAGGTGCTGGCTCCTGAACAACCGGGCCTGCTCATGGACCCGATTCTCTTGTCTCCCACATCTCTTACATCGCCAGCCTCTTCCTCTCTACTGGATTCTTTCCAACAGCATAAACACATGCTGTTATTTTTTGTCTCAAAGCAAACCCTCACTTGACCCCACACTACTCCAACCCACTGCATCTCCCTCCAGCGGCATTTCATCGCAACACTACAAGTCATCTCTACTTCCTCTCCATTCCTTCCTTCCTGTTTTCTCTTAAATTTCACTCCAGTCAGACTTCCCATTGAAACTTATCTGCCCAAGGTCACCGACGATCATATACTGATCAGCAGCACATGACACAGAATCACTCCATCCTGGGAACACATTCTCCACTGGATTTCCCAATGCAGGGACACAATTCTCCTACCTCACTGGCATGTGTTCTGGTCTCCCCTGACAGTCATTCCTATCTTCCCTACCGCTCAATGGTGTGATGCCCCCAACTTGGACACTTCCATGGAAACCGCTCTCATTTTATCCATGTATGCTCCCTGCCTAGGTGCCTAGTAACCCCATCCTCTCGCGTGGTTTTAAGGACCTCAGCTCAGACTTCTTCCATAACTTTCAGACCAGGATTGCCAGTTCTCAATTCAACATCTTTCCTGGAACGTCTAAGAGGTATCTCAAGCTGAACATGTCTCCTGTCTGGATTTCTCCCCACCCTATGAAACTGCAGGGGCACTCTCCCTCCTCAGATTTCCACACAAATATGTTACTTGAAAAGCCTCCCTAACACACTCTGTGAAATAGTAAGGCTCGACTCTCCACACTATTGTTCACTGACCACCTCCTGAAGCACAGGATATTTCATTGTTATCTATTTTCTCCTTTCGAGTGTTCCCAGCTGTGACCCCATAGGCCAAAACAGTACCTGACCAAGAGCCCTGAAATCATTCCTTCCCTGAACCGTCTCCCCCTCTAGATCCGATCCCCTCTCCCCTCCACTGCCCTCCATGGGCCTAGTGAGCTGCGTGAAAGGAATTCAGGCCTCAGGCTTCACTCCCCTCAACGAGCTGTACACCTGTCTGTCCTCTTCACCCACTGGTCTCTGGGCTTCTCCCCGGACCACTCCCCTTCACCTCCCCTTCTTTCATTCGACCTACCTCTTTGCAATTACCAGAATGTGCCTGTTTCATTCACGTTTCAGGTCCTGCCAAGAACGCCCTCCCAATGTCTCCGTGGAGCACACTCCTAACCATTCTCCAGGGCTCGGTCTAGGCCTCACCTCCTCTGGGAAGCCTTCCTGCCATCCTGGAGGCTCCCAGTGCTTAGGCAGCTTCTTGACCGCCCGAGGCTGTTACAGTTGGAGCCTAGGTCGGTGCTTCGCCCTCCCCCCTCAGCATCCCCTGAACTCCCTAAGGGCAGGGGCGGCTCCGATTCACCCCATGTCCCGAGCACCCAGTACTAGATGCAGAATGAATGAAAGGCGGCCGGGGGAGGAGCCCAGGCCAAGGGCGGAGTCCGGTGACCAATGAGAGGGTGTGGCCTGCGCCAATAAGAAACTTCGGGAAAGGATAACGTGGAGGAAGAGCCAATAGGGGCCGGGGGACGACGGAGGGGCGTGGCCCGCAGCCAATCAGCGGCGCGGAACGGGACGAAGGGTGTGCCCAATGGAGGGCGGGGCCGGGGGACAATGGAGGTGGGGTTCCTGGGTGCAGCGTGCATTCTCGGCCTCCGGGGTGGGGGGAGTTCCGTCCCGAGTCGCGCCCCCACCTGTCCGCTCCTCTTCGCGCCGCCCTTCCCGCTCCTCGACAGCCGCCGCCGCGGCCCGGCCAGGGAGCGCCGACGCGGGGACGCAGCCCTCGGGCGCGCGCACGCTCGCGCGGAGGCGGGCGGACCGCGTCAAAGTCCGCGGCGGCGCGTGCCCGAACACAAAGCTGGGGGCGGGGCCAGGCCGGCAGAGGGGGCGGGGTCTGATGCGGGTCCGCCCAGAGGGCGGGGAGTCGTCCGGCCCCGCCCCTCCACCGGGAGGGCTCTAGGGCCGCGGGAGCCACCCGCGCGGGCGCTCCGCGGGGCAGGGCCACGAGGGGTGCAGCCCGCGTCGGCGGCGGAAGCCCGGGTAAGGGGGTGCAGCCTGGCTCTCGGCGCAGGAGCCGGGCCACCCGAGGCGTGCGCTGTGCAGGGGCCCTCCCCCCACCCTCGCCGGTGCTCCGATCGCTCCCCCTCCGCAGCACACACGCTTCAGGGACACGGGGCCTGGGCTTTATTCCGCGGCGGGGCGGCCGCGCGTCAGGCGCAGGGCCCCGAGGACAGGCAGGAGGACAGCGCGGGGGTAGGTGCCGGCACCAGGCTGAAGAGCGCGCGGCGCCCCGCGGGGGGCGAGGGGTGCGGGCCGGCCTGCAGGGAGCTGAGTGCCGCCAGGCGCTGCTCTCGAGAAACGTCCCCGCGCAGGTCCAAGAGGGCGGAGACGTGATCCTCGCTGTGGGGGCGACGCGGGGGCGCGTCAATCCCGCCCCACCGCTGCCGTGCCCCCCCACCCCTTCCGCGCCCCGCCTGCGCACCTCACGTCGGGAAACTGTTGCCGCAGGCCGGCCACCTCGAGGCCGAGCAGCGTGGGGTCGCGGAGGCTCAGCAGCTCCCGCAGGGCGAGCAGCACCGGCACGCACTGAATGCTCGCCTCCAAGCCCTGGGCACGTCGGGGGGGTCTCGCTGCAGCCCTAGATCCCCCCCCCCCGTGAGGGTCCCGCCCGTCCACTCGCCCTGGGAGCTCTCACCAAACCCTGGAAAAGATCCTGAAGCTGAGTTGCATCCTGCCGCAGGCGCTCCGCCGCCTGGGCGCGCTCGTCGGCGCAGCGGCACACGAGGCGGCCCTGCATCAGCGCGCGCAGGTACTGCAGCACCACGGCGCGCTCCACCTCCTCCAGCAGCAGCTTAGGGGAGAGCGGCAGGTGGGCCCAGAGGCCGGTCACGTCGGCACGCCCCTCTCCCCAGCCTTTCTCCCCAAACGCACCTGGGCCGCCGGGCTCCGTACGTGCGCAAAGTCCCTGCAGAAGCGCGCCGTCCGTGCGCACACATCGTCCAGCAGTTCCGAACTCGACAACCACCGGCGCGAAGGCAGAGCCACGAACAGAGGCTGCAGAGGGGAACAGGCAGGCAGGGAAGGGGCTTGCGGGACTGTCGGATCCGACATTCCCAGGGGGATCCCCCTGCACCCTCAGCCGGGCCTCCACCCTCATCCCCACCTGAAGCTCCCCCAGCAGCGCCTCCAACACCAGGCGGCAGATCCTCCTCTGCAACTCGTCCAGCGCCGCCTCCACCGGAGCCAAGGCCCCTGACGCCAGCCTGTCGAGCTGCAGGGCGGACACGGAGGAGCTGGACCCACCAAAAAAAAAAAAAAAATACGGCTTCAGGACCAAGGCCAAGGCCCGCCGGGCCCGCGCTTGTCCGGCCGCTCTTGCGCCACCTAGTGGCACACGTGTGTAGCGGCCGGGGCAGGTAGGGGCAGGTAGGGCGGCTCCCCGACCGCTCAGAAGGCGAGTGGTGGGGGAGCCTGGGGGAGCGTGGCGTGGGGGCTCAGCGCACCGGCCTCTAATTGGCGGTGTGACCTTGAGCGAGTCTTTTGTTTCTGTTTCCTCATCGGTAAGAGGAGAGAATCCCCGTCAGCAAGAAGTGAAAATTACCCGTTAGTGTGTCCTCTCTGCCCCAACCCCAAAGAACGTAAGACCCAAGAGGAAGGGAATTTTTTTTCTGATTTCTGTGCAGCTGTAGCCCTAGACATTACTTGGCCCAGAGCAGGACATTGGTAAATGCTGTTGAATGAAAGAATTCTCAGAATGCCCCATGGTTGCCCATAGAATAGTAATGAGAAAACAAGATTCAGAGAGGTAAGGCAACTTGCCACAGGTCACGCGGCTAGTAATTAGTGGGACTGGGATTGGAACCCCAGGTATGTGTCAATCGAAAGTTCCAATGACCTAGCGTGGGCTGGATCCACACCAAGGAGGTGTTCCGTCCAGGGTTAGTGGAAGTAGGGCTCTGTGGGGCCCTCCTGGTACCTGAGTGCTGATTGGTGGTTGAGAGCAGCCAGTAGGTAGGGCACATAATGAGGTGCCATTGCTTCCCCCCTGAGGTGACCTCGGGAGAATCTAATCAGAGCATCACTGAAGCTGCAAAGGGCAAAGGTAGTTCTTGTGTCTGCTCTTACTCTGATGCCCCATCGCCCCACTCCCTGGTGCTCCTGCCCCACCTCCAAGCTTCCCAAGGCCCTGTTTGAAAAGGCCCTTTCCCGCTGGCATGCCATTCACTCAAAGCCCCATTCATTCTGGCCGTCCCTAGAGCAGGGTCAGGGGCTAGGAGTGTGTCAGCGCCTTGACACACCTCCTCAGGAATGCGCCCAGTTCGAAGAGCGCCATGCCGTGCACCCGCCGCTGCAGTGACTCACTGACCAGACAGGTCACTCGAATGTTCTCTTCCAGGATCTACAAGCAGGGATGGGCAGCCATCAGCAAAGTCCCAGCCCTGCCGTCTCCCCCTCTCCCTATGGGCGCTGCCATGTGCCTCACCACTGCCCACACACACCTGCAGCACGATGGCGGGCATTGGTGAATGGTAGAAGCCAGTCAGGTCTGTGTCTGGCTCCTGCTCTCGGCCCCACTCAGCTACCTCCCCGTCCAGAGCCTTCTGCAGCCACTGGGCCACACTTGCCTGGGGGAGGGGGCGAGAGAGTGTAATAGGGCACATCCTGCTAGAGACACATAGACCTGGGGCTCTACAAAGCCCCACAGCTGGTGGGCAGAATTCTGGATCCATACCCCAACTGCTCACCTGGACTTTTGCCACATATGTTGCCTCCAGCTGCTCAATGTTCTCCAGGGTCAGGAGGGGCTCCAGCTGAGACACATCAGCCTCAGGCCCCAGTTCCAGACTCCCCATCATTTCTGGGCTGGAGATGGGTGGCCCAGTGTCACACTGAGCCCCCAGCCTCTGATCCGCCCACTACCCATTGCCCCATGGACACTGACCCCAGGTACACATTCAGTGCCCACTGCAGCAAGGTGAAGGCGTCGGCAGCTCCCAGCTCAGCGGGCCCTTCCAGGAGTTGCTGCAGGTGGCGGCGCAGGCCACTGTGCAGGGTGTGGGTCCACAGCCGGACCACTTTGTAGTGTGGTGGGCAGCAGGGTGCTATGAGTGCCTCGGCTGTGGCCAGCTCAGCTGGTATGGCCACCTGAAGAGTCTCCAGCCACCCTGCTAGGGCTCCTGGCCCAGGCAGCAGGGGTGTCCCAAAGTGGGCCCGCTCCAGGCCCTCCTGTAGTGCCCGCAGACAGCGCAGTCGCCAGTCCCGGGGGGCTTGCCCCTGAGAGGCTGTGCGCCCAGCCTCCACCTCTGCCACACGCACAGCAGCCACCAGCAAGGCTGGGTCCTGCCGTGCCAGCTGTCCTGCAGCCCCTGCAGCTGCCTCCACTGCCTGGCCCAGTGCCTCAGCCAAGGGTCCCAATCCCTCGAAGACTGGCAGCTCCAGACCTCCCAGAGGTGCCCAGGTCTCCTCTTGAAGTTGCTCCAGCTCCCGCAGGCTCACATAGGCCTCTAAGAGGCGCTGGCTATCAATCAAGGCCTGCGTGTGGGCCACTGCAGCTGGCACTAGGAAGGAGGAGAGGAGCTAGCCCTGGGCCGCAATCATCCCACCATGCTATGGGCTCAGCAGGGACGCCAAAGCCCTGGGGCTGGGGTAATGTGTAAAATACTTAAAAACCAATACAGTAGCGCATTGATAAATCTGAAAGGACCTAAGGAAGGTTCTAGAGGCCTGGTGGGCCAAGTGTAAAACTCTTGAGCTGAGGAAGCTGAGGAAGCCAGGGATCCTAGAGGAAAGGCATGGAGGCAATGGGGGAGGGGCATGCTAGGGGCCATTCACTGGCCCAGTTAGGGAAATATTTCAATATATTAACAGCCAGGGCGGGCAGTCACTTGACTATCAGTCCTGACTCAGACATCCCATGCTCAGGAACCCCAGAATGAGTGGATTTGAACCCTGCTTCCTATGCAACTGGACTCTGGGAGGTCCCTGGTGTGTCCCCCATGTCATCTTGCTGTAGTACCCCAGCCCGGTGAGCAGTGGGTTTGCTGTTGGCGGGCTGAGGCCCAGTACCCCTGCACACTCACCTGCCCGCAGCCGGGGCAGTAGCTGAGACAGGGCCTGCAGTTGCTTGTGCTGGGCAACTTGCTCCCGCAGGGGCTCCAGGGTCTGGGCAGCCTCAGCCATGTCCTGAAGCAACCCCCGGGCCTGGCCCAGGGTCTCCCGGACTCCCTGAACCGCCTCCAGGGCCCAGGCCAGCTGCCACACACCAGTCTTCACGCCCTCCAGGTATGACTGCACCACTGACTGGGGGAGGGAGGCAGCCAGTGAGGCCAGATCAGCCCCTGCAGCCCTCCCTCATGCTCCTGCCCCCCCCCCATGCCCACCTTGATCCGTGCTTCCAGGGAGCAGGTACGTTGCACCTCACGGCTTCGGTACTGGCCTAGCCTGGCCAGCTGCTCTGGCCGGTAGAAGATGCCTGATGCCCACTTGAGCGCAGCACCCCGGGCCAACTGCTCTGCCCTCTCCTGCTCTGGCCACTCAGATCCTGGGCAGGAAGAGCCTGGGCAGCAGAGACAGTCAGGCAGGGCCTGCAGGAAGCGGCCATCGAAGCTGCTTCCCTCCCTGCTCCTCAGCCTGTCCCCGAGGGCAGTGAACTCCTCTCCAGGCCCTGTGGAGCTCCAGCTAGACTTGGCAGCAGGACCCAACCCCACCATTCCCATCTTTCTTTTTTTTTTTTTTTCATTCCCATCTTTCTTGCCACCATCCCTCCCCCGGCCCACCAAGAGGGGCTCATACCAGGGGGAAGCTCAGGCTGCATGTTGTCCCTGGCCGCAGAGTCCATGGCCAGCCCTGGAGGAGCCGGAGCTGAGGTAGGTCTGGGTTGGAGCAGGCAGAGGGGATATTCCTTTGAGCCGCAGCCTTGGTCTAGGCCCTTCTGAAAAGCGGAGGGAGATTTTGGCCCAGCCCCTCAGGAAATGAGAGGGAGGCACCTGGGAAGCTTTCACCTTCTGATTTCTCAGTTTTGCCCATGCAGATGCCAAGTGAGGCAGAGCAGGCACAGGCCTCCACTGGGTCCCCTTCCTGCTCTGAGTTGCAAAGGACAGTTTGGTATGGAACTCACCAGGCTTGACCAGGCTTTCGGTTCTCCCTCCCCCGCAGCCTTGGCCTTGAGGCTGGCCCTCTCCCCCAGCCTCCTGGCAGCAGAGCTCGTACTCCCTCCAGAGCTCTGTCCTACACCTCCTCTTCCCAAGGAAGCCTCTGTCCCACCTTGTGCCCAGGACCCCTTCCTCTCTGCAGTGCCTCTCCCTCCCTAAGGCCACAGGCAGAAAGGAAGGAAGCTGAGTCTCTGGCGCTTTATTCCCAACAGGAAAGGACTTCTGCACTGTGGGATGGGGTGGGGGGAGGGCTGAGCGCCACTTCCTTAGGGGGAGGGGGTGTGTTCCCTGTGGTCATTGAGTCTTGACCAGCCCACCCAGGACCTCTTGGCGCTCAGGATGGCCCCAACCCAGGGTGGAAAGTGGGATGTGCAGACATGAATGCAGACAGTAACAGCAAGGTATGCAGATGGGGCTGAGGGCCCCTCAGAGGAGGGTGTGCCCCTCTGCAGGGAAGGGAGACCACGGGCTGCATGAACAAGTCTGTGAATGGTAATGTTGGGAGACGTGTCAAAGGGCTCTGAAACTTATTTATCTGGAGAGCTGGGCAGGAAGCACACAGAAGGGACTACAGAGTAGTAATAAAGTGACAGACTTGGATACAACATCTGAACCCACACTTCAGGATGAAGGCACTGGCTCCCCTAGCTGCCAGGAGTGCAGGATGAGTCTCTCTGTCAGTGTTGGGGAACAAAGTGCTGGTATCTTTGCCTGTATGTGGCATGCTTTGGAAGGGTCACCCCAGTTTCAGAGCTCCTAGTAGGATGGGCAGGGCTTCTGTTGTAACTGCATGGCAGTTTAACACCCACCCACCAACCCCCCTGCCCCCGGCCCAACTCCCTTGTAAGTGTGCATCCTCAATAAACTTCCTGCAGACTGATCGCCATCTCAAAGCCTGTTTCTCTGAGAACTTTACCTAAAAAAAAAAAAAAAAAGCAATAAACAATGACAATGTTAAATATAAAATAATACCAAACACATAATCCTTCCTACATGCCAGGAATTGCTCTCAGCCTTTTGTATACATTTCATTAAACATGATTATATAGGCTGAGGTGGTTATTTTATCTTAAAGATTTTTTTATTTATGCATACAAGAACTGGGGCATAGGCCAGAGATGCGGGGGGCGGGGGGGGGGGGAGAGGATTCACCAGAGACAGAGTGGGGAGCAGAACAGGCGGATCCACTGAAATACACTGGTGAGGGGAGCAGCCGGTGAGACAGGAGAGGTCTGCTGCAGCATGTGGGCAGCTCCCTGGCCATGGCAACTCCCTGGCCAGCTAGGGATCGAACTCGTGCAGCAGAGGCTGCGGATAGCTTCACAGTGCTGTACTTAACCCCTTGCCCCACCAGGGAGGCCCTGAGGTGGTCCCTGGTCCCCTTCCCTGCTCCCAGCCTTGTGTCCACCCTGCAGTGGGCAGAGGCCGTGAAATAACCACCTCATGGCCTCTGCCCACGGCAGCGTGGAGACAAGGCTGGGAGCAGGGAAGGGCAGACAAGTGCACAGAGCAGATGTAGTCATTGCTTGCTTTGGCGAGAAGCGAGGGACGTGAATAGGGTGGGTGACGCCAAGGCATGGGGCGGCCTCCAGGACAGGGCTGGGGGAATACACTGTATTCATCAGGCAGAGCGGTCTCTGCTCTGAGATGGGGGCTGGGGCAGAGTTGGGGGCAGGAGTCGAGGCCGGCAGGCCAGCTGGGAAGGCTCTGGAGGCTCCTGCTCTCTGCCGGGGCCGCCCAGCGACTTCCTCAGTCTCCCCCGCGCGGCGTCGCAGGAAGCCCCGGGCTGTTTTCGTCGTCTTCGGCAGTTGGACATTTGCTAATCGTCCCCGGAAGTTTTGCGGCCGTACACGCAGAGAGGAATTGCGCCACGTTCCCTGGGAGGGGAGGGGCGGAAGCGGAAGTAGCGATGCTGGCGCCGGCTCCCGGGCGGTCAGGAACGGAAGCGGAAGTGGCCGCGGCGCCGGCCTGGCCTGGCCTGGCTGAGGGGAGGCGGCGGGCGGGCGCGATGGCGGAGGCCGGGCCACAGGCGCCGCCGCCCCCGGGCACCCCAAGCCGGCACGAGAAAAGCTTGGGGCTTCTCACCACCAAGTTTGTGTCGCTTCTGCAAGAGGCCAAGGACGGCGTGCTTGACCTCAAGCTGGTGCGGCCCGGGCTAAGGGGCGACAGTGGGGGATGGTGGACCAGGCCTGGGCCGGTAGCGGGAACTCCCGGGGCGGCCCAGCCGAGCCCTCAGAGAGCAGACCGCCCTCCGTGTACTTCCTCACAGGACAGAGGCCAGGAACTGTTTCATTCATTCGGCCGACGCCATTGGTCGTCAGCCTGGGCCAGGCTCAGGGCTGCAGGTGCAGGTCCTCGTGGCCTTCCCCGGCTGGTGTGGGGAGGAGAGAGTCAGAGCATCACCTCGGGCTGCGACAGGCCTGTGCCCGCTCCGTAGTCCTGAGCCGCTGTGCTGCCTGGGAGGAACGTTGAAGTCAGGCTCTCCTCCTTTACAGGCTAATTCTCAGGGTAGCTGGGGTAACTCCAAGAGGGAGCCTCAGTATTCTCCGCTCTGTTCTGTCTGCCAGGCAGCTGACACTCTAGCTGTGCGTCAGAAGCGGCGGATATATGACATTACCAACGTGCTGGAAGGTATTGGGCTGATCGAGAAGAAATCCAAGAACAGCATCCAGTGGAAGTGAGTGGGGGTGCCTGGAGGGTCAGACAATCTCCTATCCAGAAGTTTCAGGGGTGTGGGGTGGGGACTGGAGGAGCGAGCAGGGGCTGTGGGAACCAGAGTTCCAGGTAGCCCTTTTCAGCCCCATTCCCTGGGCTCAGGGGCGTGGGGCCTGGTTGCAATACCCGGGAGATTGCGGACAAGCTGATTGAGCTCAAGGCAGAGATCGAGGAGCTGCAGCAGCGGGAGCGAGAACTGGACCAGCACAAGGTGTGGGTGCAGCAGAGCATCCGGAATGTCACAGAGGACGTGCAGAACAGCTGATATCCTCCTGGTGGTCCCTGCTCCTGGGAGTGGGTGAGGGGCCCTCTGGTCCAGCTGGCTTTACTCTGTGGTGCCCCAGCCTCTGTTCTTCTTGGGAGGATAGTCCTGCTTCTCCTGGCCAGGTCCCCGCCTTGGTGCCCTCCCCAGAACTCCTTCCCCACTGGTCTTGGCCTGCACCTCTCCCCCCAGACTCCAGGACTTTCTCTGAGGGCATGTATGTCAGACCTTTGCTAAAGAGCTGGGCCTGTGGTCTGCCCTCTGTCACCATATGCAGGCTACCAGCAGTTCTCCTTAACCCCCACACCTTGGCCTACGTGACTCACGAGGACATCTGCAGATGCTTTGCAGGTGAGCAGAGCTTGGGTAGGGGGCGGGGGTTGGGGGGCGGGCTGAGCTGATTCACAGCCCTTAAGCAGTGGGCTCAGTGCCCAAGGAGAGTTCCATCTCTGCAGGGGGTTCCTGGGGCCCGTTCCAGGCAGGGTAAGTCCTGGGTTTGAGGGTCACTGGGACCCTGTGGAAGCAGACCATATTGAGGGGTTTTAAGAATCCTAGGGTGGATTCCTGGGCCAGCTCCCATCTGCATTGTACCTTGGATTTGGATTATCAAGTGTGACAGGCATAAGGGGGGAGTGTGTGTGTGTGTTTTCATGCACTCTTACATGCAGAGACAATGCCCTTTTATGTCCTGTAGTGAGTTTCCATTGTGGATGCAGGAACTTCCTTTTCTGTCTTGCATCCTAGACTGTCTTGATCAGAGCACCTGTACCTAGGGAGCAGCTCCATCAAGGCATGGGGTGCCCATGGCCAACAATCCTTTGCTATACATGTTTAAACCCAGATTTTCAGGTTACATACTCCCGGGCTCTTGGGAGGAGAAAAGCTTTAGTTCTCTGCCCCAACCACTGTGGGGGTTGGGGGAGACCTACTGTCCAGTTTATCAGAGATTAACTTTTTGCAGGGATAGGCACCCTCCTCCCCCCATTCCCAGCTCAGATTGAGCCCCTGGGCCCTGACCTATCCTTGTCTTTTTAGGAGACACCCTCCTGGCCATCCGTGCCCCGTCGGGCACCAGCCTAGAGGTGCCCATCCCAGAGGTGGGTGCTCAACCCAAGCAGGCGAGGTTGATTGAGGGCGGGTACTGGCTGTGGAGCCTGATAAGTCCTGGGTGGGGCAGGTAGGGGGAGGCCTGGGGTTTGGGGTTATCTCAGAGAACGGGCCGCCTGGGTGGGAGAGGACACGGACCATGTCCCAGGGCCAAGTCTGCTACCAGTTCTACCTGCCCCCACCTCTTCCCCCATCTTCAGGGCCTTAATGGGCAGAAGAAGTACCAGATTCATCTTAAGAGTGTGAGTGGCCCCATTGAGGTTCTGCTGGTGAACAAGGAGGCATGGAGCTCGCCGCCTGTGGCAGTACCTGTGCCGCCACCCGAAGACCTGCTTCAGGGGCCGCCTGCTGTGTCCACCCCTCCACCTCTGCCCAAGCCTGCCCTGGCCCGCCCCCAGGACGCCTCACGCCCAAGCAGTCCCCAGGCGACCACCTCTACCCCTGTCCCTGGTAGCACTGAAGCCCAGGGGGTGGCCTGTCCAGCAGTTGAGGTCACAGGTGAGGCACAGTGGGTAGCTGGTGATGGGGTGATTTGTGGGGCCCAAGAGGCAGTACTTTGGGGTTGTGGAATGTCATTCTCAGAGTTGGAAAGGACTTGGGCCTTCTGGCCTTCAGCTGGCCTCCCCTTGCTGTGGGAGCGAATGCGCCCTTTTTACCAGGGAAGCTCTGACTGTGAAGGGGCATCTGGGTGGCACTTTTTCCCCAGATCCACCTGGGTTTTGCTTGCCCTCTCGGGATGTGGTCACAGCTGCCATGTTGTCTATGAATCTTCCTCTTATGTGCCACATGCCTGTCTTCCTCAGTGACTTATTTCAAGATTACCACTTCAGGGGTGACTGGCAATGCCTAACTCCTTGGGCCTGGGAACCAGGACTGTGGTCACCCTGGCCGTGGTTTCTAGCACCGCCAACTTCAGCATCCTACTTCCTGCCTCTGACTGACTGGTTTGGGGGTGGCTTGTCCAGCAGTTGAGGTCACAGGTGAGTGACCTTACCTGTGGTTGCAGTGAGTGGCAGCCCTGGAACCGATCGCAAGGACAGTGGTGAGCTCAGCTCACTCCCACTAGGCCCAACAGCACTGGACACACGGCCACTGCAGTCCTCTGCCCTGCTGGACAGTAGCAGCAGCAGCAGCAGCAGCAGCAATAGCAGTTCATCTGGACCCAACCCTTCTACCTCCTTTGAGCCCATCAAGGCGGACCCCACAGGTGGTGAGTACTGTTTTTCTGTGGGAGATGATCTAGCTTCAGCCCAGTCCTAGGTCAGAAATATATTTAGGGCTGGAATCTGGCATTCCTGGCACCTCACCAGAGCTGGCCAGCCCACTCTCCTTGGCCCACAAGTACTGCTGAATTTCTTTTCACTCAGTGACACTACATCCTGTGTCTTCCTGTCTTCTCTGTCCTCTGTTCTTTTTGGGAAAGTTATATCCACTCTATGTCTTGATCTAGTTGCTGTTCAGGTTGCAGCAGTCAGGACTCCTATAACCTCCTCTCTCTCCATCATGCACACACTACACCAGTGCTGATTTTGATAGTTACCCACCCTGGTTGCCAGCTCCAGCGGGTTCTAGATGGTTTGCTGTGGTACTCTCATGTTTCATATTGATGCACTTGGCTCCTCTCACTTGCTTCTCCTCCTAACGCTCTTAAACACTGACATTTGCAGGCCTGTTCCATTCCACGCATGTGGAACACCCCATTTTTGGGACGGTGATTCCCCCTGTTCTCTGTCATGCCTAGGTCTTTGCCTGAACTCCATGTCCTGGGTCCATGTACCTTCCTCTGCATGTCCGGTGCACTTGATTCCTGTGTGTTCTCAACTGAACTTGTTTCCTCTTGAAACTTGCTTTCCCTCCACGCATACCCTGTGATTGACCCCAGTCACCCAGCCCGACACCTGGATGTCACTCCAGGTCCATCTCCCTCCCCCTCCGTACCGCCCCCAGCAGCTAAGTGAGTTCTGTCCCAGGGAGCGCCTGTTGATGGTATCTGCAACACGCAGATCACTCCTGGCCACCTCTGTTCTAAGTCCGCCTCTTTACCTTGCTGGCCAGGATCTGTGTGAAGGGAAAGCTTGACTGCCTTTTCTGTGTACCAAGAAGCCTCCCTAATGCCCACTGGTTAAAACCAGAGCCCCTAAACATGCCATCTGAAAGCCCTCATGACCCAGCCCCCAGTTTCCTCTCCAGCCTCATTTTCCTCTGTTTCCCATAACCCTCCTTCAGGTGAGCACCACCTGTGCAGCACTGGCCCCTGTTCTGGTGTCTGCTGTCTCCTCTGCCAGGTGACCCTGCCTGGGGTCTCAGCCTGGCACTGAGGGTAGGGATGGCTGGGCCCTTCTCCATCTAACAGGCGCGTCTGCTGCGCCCAGACAGAGTGGGGCCAGCAGCATCTCTGAGCCGGGACATCTGCCCTAGTCGCCCGAGAGTGACTTTGTGCCCCTGGGCTCAGCGCTGAGTTGTTTGGGTCTGGCAGGGGAGACCGACCTCCAGAGCCAAGCAGTACCACCTTGACGGGGGGTAGAGCCTACTTCTCAGCTGTGGGGAGCTCCTGGGGGGTGGAACAGGATCTGTGGGGGGTGAGGGTAGAGTGGGACCAGGCTGGACCTCTGCTCTTGAGCACGGGATTCTTGTCTTTCAGTTCTGGAACTCCCCAAAGAACTGTCAGAAATCTTCGATCCTACACGAGGTGAGGCTGCCTTCCTCCCTGGGGCTCGGGGAGCTCATTGGGTCGTCCTCTTGCTCTCCTGAGGAGCTGATCAGTGTGTGGGGTGGCCCCCTTCACGGGCTCTGGTAGGTGGAGAGGGGAGCCAGAATGTAACTGAGCTCTCTCCCTCCCCAGAGTGCATGAGTTCAGAGCTGCTGGAGGAGCTGATGTCCTCAGAAGGTGGGTGGCCCAGGAAGGTGGAGGATGCATTTGGGCAGGGGGTTGGGTGGCTGTTGGGTGGCACCTTGGCCTAGGGTCTCAGCCTGGTGCTCTCTGCAGTGTTTGCCCCCCTCCTCCGCCTCTCTCCGCCCCCTGGAGACCACGATTACATCTACAACCTGGATGAGAGTGAAGGTGTCTGTGACCTCTTTGATGTGCCTGTCCTCAACCTCTGACAGGGACATGCCCTGCGTGACTGGGACACAGACTGTCTGACCTGGGGGCTGCCGGGGGGCCTCCCCACAACCCCCCTACACAACTTGAGAGCCACAACTCATGGCTTCCCCAGCACCCCCTCCCCTCCCCCACACAGTTTAGGCCACAGCCACCACTCCTGCGCCAGCAGCTGTGTGCTGCCAGAGCAGGGGCCAGGGGCTCAGCCCCTCCACTGTGGAGCCAAGCGTTTGCCTCTCCTTGCTGGACCTTCCCCCCTCGCGTCCTTTGTGAGCCCTCCCGGAGCCCAGGCTCAGCTGCCACCCAGTGGCGAGGAATTAGTACCCCCCACACACACCCCATAGGGCAGCTTGTCCAGCGTCACTGCCCTGCCTGCCAGCCCCTCTCCCTGCAGAGGGAAGTGGTGGGGAGCTTCTTCACTTCTCCCCACACACGCCCTACAGCTTCTCCTGGACCTCTCACCCCACTTCTGAGCCCCGAGAACCTGGGGCGGGGTGGGGAGGGGTGGCTGACAGGAGAGAGAGACCTCTCTAGCGAGGAGCCTGGGTGGGAGAGTCTCTGCGGCCTGGCCCAACCTCCTGCTGCCCCGACCCTCCCTTGTTTATTCATTTCTCCTTTAGAGCCATTTGCAGAGATTTAGAGAAAGATTTGCAGTAATGTGGATTCCTATATAAAGATTATTTTTATACTTTTTGCAACAAAAGGAAATTGTAATATTTGTACAGCGTCCAAGTGAATAAAGACCATGCCGAAGGCTGTCTGATCTGGTTCTTTGGGCCGGGGGCAGGCGGCCCTGCCCTGGGCGGACGCGGGATTGGTGGGGGGCCTGGGTGGGTCACCTGGCTGCGCCCGGAAAGGAGGCCGTGCGGGTGGCCTGCCTTCCCCGCCCCCACCTGCCGCACCTTGGGGCGGGGCGGGCCCGGCGCCTCTGTGGGGCGGGGCGGGCGCCCGTCCTACCCTCCCGCCCCGGGACTCCAACCCGGAACTCGCCGCTTTCCCCTGGGAAGGCCGCGGCGCCCCGGGAGCAGGAGGCCGGGCCGTGCGTGCCGGCCACCGCGCGCAGGCTGCGGAGGGGGGCCCCGCGTCCCCAGGGCTCCCGGGCCAGGTGTGCCCTCGGGGGAGGCTGCGCCGGCTGAGACGCGCGGGCGCTCCCGCCTCGGCTGGGCCATGGCGCCCCCGCGGAACGTGGTGAAGATCGCCGTGCAGATGCGTGACGCCCTCCCGCAGCTCATCCAGCTGGACCAGGTCGCCCGGCCCGCCCGGCCCCCGTCCCCCCTCCCCCCCCCCCCCCCCCCCGCGCACCTCCGGGTCGCCCCCTGCCCCTCGGAGCCCACCCGCCCCTTCCCCGGGTCCTCCCGCGTCCCCGCGCCGGGGCCCCTGAGTGAGCTGCACTTGCAGGCGAAGCCCCTGGGCGCCGTGCTGAAGGAGCTGTGCGACGCGTGAGTGCCGGCCACGGGGCGGGCGGGGCGTCGGGGAGGGGCGCCCCCCGCCTGCCTCACCGCCCCCGCGGCCCACAGGTGGAGCCTGGCTCACCCCGAGCGCTATGCCCTGCAGTTTGCCGATGGGCACCGGAGATACATCACCGAGAACGTGAGTCCCGCCGACGCTCGGGCCCTGCGTTCCCCTCCGTGACCCCTTCTGCAGCCCCGGGCCCCGAGTCCTCAGACTCGTCACCCCCGGTCCGGAGCGGGATCTTCCCAGCCCCGAACGGACGACGGCAACTAGCCGGTCCCCAGCGCCCGTCCTGACTTCTGTCCTCTCTGCCGTCTCCTCCAGAACCGCAACGAGATCAAGAATGGCAGCATCCTGTGCCTCAGCACTGCCCCAGTAATGCCCTCCCGCCCCCACCCTCCCTCCCGCCCCGCTGGGCCGCCTGCCCACCTTCCCAGCCCGCGGCCCTGCCCCCAGTGCCCCACCTAGCGGAAGGCCGAGTCCCACACCCCTGCCCCGGTCCTTGGCTCCTCCGCCCAGCCTCACCTGCGCCCGTGCTCCCGCCCCGCCAGGAACTGGAGGCTGAGCAGTTGTTGGGCGGGCTGCTGAGTCGGGAAGGGCGCCGGGAAGCCCTGCGGCACCTCGCGCTGCTGGCCCCAGACATCACCTTCGCCCGGGAGGTCATCAGCCGCGATGGGCTTCAGAGACTAGGCACGATCATCGAGGACGGGGACGAGTGAGCGTGGGGCTGTGGTGGGTGGGGGACCTCGTGGGGCTGGGGGGCCTGGTGCGGCCCGACTCAGCCCCAGCTCTCCCCCCAGCCTAGGGGAGATGCTGTCTCTCGCACTGAGGGCCTTCTTGGAGCTCATGGAGCATGGCGTGGTGTCCTGGGAGACACTCAGCATCCCCTTTGTTAAGAAGGTGGGTGGGCCCGGCCTCCCCGGTGGCCCAAGGTGTTAAGTCTCAGCACTATGAAGCTGTCCGCAGTCACTGCAGCACGAGTTCGATCCCCAGCCAGGGAGCTACCCACATGGCGCAGCAGACCTCTCCTGTCTCACCCGCTGCTCCCCTCAGCAGTGTATTTCAGTAGATCTGCCTGCTCTGCTCCCCATTCTGTCTCTGGTGAATCCTCCCTCCCTGCCCCCCCCAATCCCCCCCTACCTCTGGCCTACACTCCAGCTCTTGTACGCATAAGTAAATAAAACAAATCTTTGAGGGAAAAAAAAAAAGGTGGGTGGGCTTTTCTGCAGGTGGGGGCAGTGTCAGGATCTGGCCTGCCATGGCGGCGAGGTTGTGAAAACCCTCCCCCTCGTACAGGTAGTAGGCTACGTGAACATGAACCTGATGGACCCATCGGTGCAGCCCTTGTCTCTCAGGCTGCTGGAGAGTGTGACTTTAAGCAGCCCTGCCCTGGGCCAGCTGGTCAAGAGCGAGGTGCCACTGGATAGGCTGCTGGTGCATCTCCAGGTGTAAGTGACTGTGTGTGGGGTACACACGAGGGGGAGGGGGACAGACCCGGACCCTGGATGGCTGGCCGAGCCCTGTTCTTGCCCCAGGATGAACCAGCAGCTGCAGACCAAGGCCATGGCCCTGCTGACGGCCATGCTGCAGGGGGCCAGCCCTGCTGAACGTAAGGTGGGCGTGCACACGGTGGGGATGAAGGGCAGTTGCTACGCGGCACCCTAGGCTGCAGGGCAGGGACTCACGTACGGCGAAATCACCCACGCTCCTTTCCCACCCGCCTCAGCATATGCTTGACTACCTGTGGCAGAGGAACCTGCGCCAGTACATCTATAAGGTAGGAAGGACTGGGCCAGGTGGGCCCCCCCCCCCACACACACACACACACTGCGCCCACGCTCACGGTGCCTGGCTCCCGCAGAACATCATCCACAGCGCATCCCCGCTGGGCGACGAGATGGCGCACCACTTGTACGTGCTGCAGGCCCTCACGCTGGGGCTGCTGGAGCCGCGCATGCGGACGCCCCTGGACCCCTACAGCCAGGTGGGTGCCTTTGGGGCGCGCAAGCCTGGGGATGACTGGAACTTGGCCTTGAGTCTGTGATCTTGACACGCTGCTCACCCATGACCGCAGGAGCAGCGGGAGCAGCTGCAGGCCCTCCGCCAGGCCGCCTTTGAGTCGGAGGGGGAGCCCGTGGGTGCCGGGCTGGGAGCCGACCGCCGCCGTTCCCTTTGTGCCCGCGAGTTCCGAAAACTGGGCTTCTCCGTGAGTGACCCCTTCGCAGCTTCCCGGCCCTGCCAGCCCCCCAGGGCTGCTGTTGTCCCAGGGGGCCGGGGCTCTTCCTGAGCAGCCTGTCCCCCTTCTCCCAGAACAGCAACCCTGGGCAGGACCTAGAGCGCGTGCCCCCCGGCCTGCTGGCTCTGGACAACATGCTCTACTTCTCCAAACACGCGCCCAGCGCCTACAGCCGGGTCAGTGCCGGGGCGGGCTACGGCAGGAGGCCCCCCCAGGCCGAGTCCCAGGGACTGAGCTGTGACTCCCTGCCCCCATTCTCTACCCCCACCACGCCAGTTCGTGTTGGAGAACAGCAGCCGCGAGGACAAGCACGAGTGTCCTTTCGCCCGGAGCAGCATACAGCTGACCGTGCTGCTGTGTGAGCTGCTCCGTGTCGGGGAGCCCTGTGAGTGCGCTGGGCATGGCGTGTCTAGAAACGGGGGGCGGAAGGGCAGAGAGGGCCAGGGGCTGCGTACACTTCCTCCCTGAGCTCCTCCTGCCCCCCTGCTCCAGGCTCCGAAACAGCCCAGGACTTTTCGCCCATGTTCTTCGGCCAAGACCACAGCTTCCATGAGCTCTTCTGTGTGAGCATCCAGCTGCTGAACAAGACCTGGAAGGAGATGCGGGCCACGCAGGAGGACTTCGACAAGGTGGCGGGTGGGAGCTGGGAGAGCTGGGCCGGGACCAGCCGCTGCAGGGAGGGGTCCAGAACGCAGGCCCCGGGCTGAGCTCGGTCCCGGGTCCTAGGTCATGCAGGTGGTGCGGGAGCAGCTGGCACGCACACTGGCCCTGAAGCCCAGCTCCCTGGAGCTCTTCCGCACCAAGGTGAACGCGCTCACCTACGGGGAGGTGCTGCGGCTGCGGCAGACGGAGCGGCTGCACCAGGAGGGCACGCTGGCCCCTCCCATACTGTGAGTCCTGGGGACGGGTCCAAGTCCTAGCCCCACCCCGCGCCTTGCCGCGGGTCAGCGCTGGTCAGCGAGCCCCCTTGCTCTACCCAGGGAGCTGCGGGAGAAGCTGAAGCCGGAGCTCATGGGCCTGATCCGCCAGCAGCGGTTGCTTCGCCTCTGCGAGGGGACGCTCTTCCGCAAGATCAGCAGCCGGCGGCGCCAGGGTTGTTGAGTGGGGGGGGGCGTGGGGGGGAGGGCAGCTGGGGGATTCGGGCCCCTCTCATCTCGCCTTCCCGCTTCCCCTTTCTGCCCACAGACAAGCTGTGGTTCTGCTGCCTGTCCCCCAACCACAAGGTGCTGAATTTTGGAGATGTGGAGGAGGGCACCGGCCCACCGGCCCCGGAGAGTCTGCCCGAGCAGGGTAAGAGGCGGGGCACAGGGCAGTCACCTGCTCTCCCTAGACTACCCCGGGCCCCAGGATGGCCTCGGGCCCAGTAACTGGCCCTGCGTTCCCCCTGCAGTCCCCGTGGCCGACCTCAGGGCACTGCTGACAGGCAAGGACTGCCCCCACGTCCGGGAGAAGGGCTCCGGGAAGCAGAACAAGGTGAGGACAGGGGGGCACAGAGGCTCCTTCCCGCCGGCCCTGCCCTGCCCCCGCTCAGTGTTGCCAACCCCTTGCCTCCCCCAGGACCTCTGTGAGTTAGCCTTCTCGGTCAGCTACGACCACGGCGAGGAGGAGGCGTACCTCAACTTCATTGCCCCCTCCAAACGGGAGGTGAGTGTCGGGGCAGGCCGAGCGGAACTGGCAGATGGGCAGGGGAGAGGTGGGCTGGCCCTCACGGCGCCGGCTTCGTCCCCAGTTCCACCTGTGGACAGACGGGCTGAGCGCCCTGCTGGGCAGTCCTATGGGCAGCGAGCAGACGCGGCTAGACCTGGAGCAGCTCCTGACCATGGAGACCAAGCTGCGCCTCCTGGAGCTGGAGAACGTGCCCATCCCTGAGCAGCCACCCCCCATTCCCCCCCCACCCACCAACTTCAACTTCTGCTATGACTGCAGCGTCACTGAGCCTTGACAGTAAGGGGGGGCCAGGGGCCAGAGCTGCTGCCACTGTGGCGGCCATGAAGGGGAGAGGGTGAAGTGCCAACACTGACCAACAGGCTGCAGCAGAAATAAAGTGTGCTTGGCTCTCAGGTCTGTGTCAGCCAGCTCTGCACTCTGTGGCCACAAACTTGGCTGCTGAGTGAGAGGGGGCATCAGGTGCGGCCGCGTTTAGGGCCACACACTTGGCACGACAGTGGAGGGGTTGGTGTTTTGAAGGAGGGTCGAGATGGGCTGGCCCTGTTGTCCTTCACCAAGATAAGCCCTCAGCCTCCCTCAGTGCTGGGCTGCAGAGGGGATGGCCTGTGGTCTCGTGGCACCTGCCCAGAGTGGGCTAGGACCGCCAGTCAGGCGAGGAAGAAATGTCAGGGCAGGAGGCACTACCCAGCAGACACCAGCCTGCACACTCACAGGGGCCCAGTCTGGCAGTCATGTTTCCAGGAGGCCTCTGACTGCCAGGGCTCAGGGCTCAGCGCTCAGCTGCTTGGCCCTGCATCTGTAGGGCTGGAGGCTCTCTGGGTGAGAGGCATGAAGGGAGTCCTGCTGAGCTGGCCTGCTTTGTGCTGAAGCTCAAACTCAAGATTCCGAAAAGATCTCTTCTCTGCTGCATGGAGGATGGGACTGATTTTGACAAGAGGGGGTTCAGTGCAGAAAGGCCTGCATTTGGATTAAAATCCAAAGCAGGAGCATGGAGGGAGCAGGACTGCAGATGGGCCAGAGTCCCTGGGCACCCCCAGGCTGGGGCGGGCTGAGAGAGGACTCCAGGCCTCTGGAGCCTCCCACCATATGGGGAAGCAGCTTAGACCTGCTGGGGGTGCCAGTGGGGGTGCTACCTATGTGGCTCTGGTGTTCCTACCACATTGTGCCTGGGCTCAGCCAGATTGCTTGACTTAGGTGGGAAAGGGAGGGGCCCTTCAGTCTGAGAACTTCAGATAAGGAGATAACATCTAGACTTTTAATCTTGTTTGGGTTTACAACAAAGCCTGGATCTGCTGCTAAGACTCCTTGGGGAACGAGGTGGGGTGTAGGCTGGTATGAGAAGTGGGCAGCCCACCTCTGGGCCAGGGCCTTACCAAGAGAGCAGGAACTGGCTTTTCCAGGGGCTTGTGGCAGCGATCGATAGCTGGAACAAGGCTCCCCCTGGGCTGTGGGCAGACCGCAGGAAGCCCCCTGGGCTGCCCTAGGTTACTTCCAACCCCAGTCCTAGAAGAGGGGTTGATAACTTGGAGTATGGAGTAGAGGGAGGCAGGGGTTATGGAGTCAAACTCCAGGGTAAGGGGCCAAGGCTGGGACTAGGAGGAGGCCACAGGGCTCATGACTGACCTGGCCTCAGAGTGTAAGAGTCAGGTCAGCCCCTCCCACGAAGCGGGACTGGACGCAGGTCACCTGGGGCAGCTGGGCCTGAAAGCGTCTGACTGCAGCAATACTGATCCCAGGGCACATGGCCACATCTAGCTCCCGGAGCTGCTTGCACGCCTGCCCAATGGTATCCAGCGTTCTGTGGGGAGGCCACTGGATGAGCAGGAGACCCCAGGGGGCCCCCAGCCCAACCCGTAATGGGGCATCCCTGCACACACTCACTGCTCCGTGAGCTGACTGCAGCTGGACAGGTTGAGGTGCTGCAGTCTTGGCCAGGAGCCGGCGGCCTGGGCCCAGCCCTCGTCACTGAGGAGGTTGCAGTGACTCAGTGCCAAGCGCTCCAGGCTGGAGCAGCCCCTGGCCACAGCCACCAAGCCCTTGTCTGTGAAAGCTGGCAGCAGGCTCAGTGAGAGCTTCCTCAGCTGGGTGAACTGCAGCACCTGTAAGGAGGGGTGAGGGTATAGTCTGGCACTGGGGCCCAGAACCAGCGGCCCTCCCAGGTCCCCCACCTCCAGCCAAAGGACCAGCCAGAGGCATCAGAACCAATGAGAAAGGAACTCTAAGGAACTATTTCTAAGCAAAACAGCTTGGCCTGGACCCTGGCTCCAACCTCAGGATCCTCAGCCTCCCCAGTGCCACACCTTGGCCAAGCTGGCATCGGTCAGCTTGCTGCAGGCTGTGAGGTCCAACTCCTGCAGGTCCCGCAGCATGAGCAGGGAGGGGCCCTTTGGCTGGGGAGAAGGGTCCTCAGTGCCAGAGGCGTGACGCTCCAGCTCTTGGTGTGGCTGTGGGAAGAAGCCAGTTCCTCAGGTGCCCCCTGAGTTTGGCCCTTAAATGCTCGTAGAGACTCAGGAGGGAAGGAACTGAGCCCTACCCACCATGACCTTGGGGCTCCCGCACCTGAAGCCCTTGCGCAGACTCCTTCCTTGGCTCCTCCAGCCCCAGAAGCCCCCAGTCACGGAGCTCCTTGCACCAGGCCAGGCGCAGAACTGACAAGTGGGTGAGGTAGGTACAGATGGCCTGCACAGTCCGGTTGGTGAGGGCCACACAGGAGGATAAGTCTAGCACCCTGAGGCTTGGGCCCAGTGCTGGCACGAGAGCGAGCACTGAGGCATCCTAGGAAGGGAGTGGAGGGAGCAATGGAGAGGTGCTGTGCGCGTGCCACCAGGTTCACAGGGGTCACTCGGAAGGTCCTTCCCAAGGTTCCAACCCCGCAAGCAAGAGGAAGTTACTAGAGGTCTGTGGAGGGACGCAACATGCTCCCTGTGCTGGTGAAAGGGTGGGGTGGACTGGGGGTGCTGCAGGGGTGGGAGAGTTTATTGGAGGACAAAGGCCTAGACTGGCTGGGCAGGAAGGACGCAGGTGGAAATTTCTAAAGTATCTGCCCCACCTCTGCTCCCAGAGCCCACTGCAGGGGTGACCACAGGTTACTGGACCAGGGGTGGGCATCGCATCTGACCCTAGCTGAGCCAACCAGATATGCTCCCTCTAGAATCTGAGGTAGAACATGCGGTCACAGTGGGGGCTGCCACCTGGCAGGAGCAGTCGGGTGTGGGGCGCAGCAGCTAAGGGCAGTGCAGAGCAGGCTGGTTTGTAAAGATGCAGACACAGGGCCTCCCCGGTGGCGCAGCGGTTGAGCGCTGGGTTGCGAAGCTGCCCGCAGCCTCTGCGGCGCCGGTTCGATCCCCGGGTGCTTCCTGGCCACCAGAGGAGGGTCCCACATGGCGCGCAGACCTCTCCTGCCACCCGCTGCTCCCCTCAGCAGTGTACGTCGGTCCTTCTGCCTGCTCTGCTCCCCGCTCTGGCTCTGGTGAATTCTCTCACCCTCCCGCGCTTCTGACTGTACCCAGTGCATGTATAAACAAAACAAACAAACAAATAAAATAAATAAATAAAAACATGCCTCTATAAAAAAAAAAAAAAGATGCAGACACACATGGGGCCTGAGAGCAGCTGAGACACGTGGTAGTGAAGGTGGAGTTGAGCAGGGAAAGACCTGTGGCAACAGGTTGAGACGATTTTCAGCTTGGAAAAGGCCTGGTCAGGTTGACGGGAAAATCTATTAAAGAGAGGGCAACTGGCATTGCCACTGTGGGGACTATTAGAGGGGACTCGCGTCTGCAGAGTGATGACCTTGCTGCTCCCATGTCGCCTGACCTCCCTGGGGTCCTGACCCAGCACCTTCTGTGTGCCTCATGCTCCTTCCCCAAAGGGCTGCGTTCTGTCACTCACCAGCCTTCCCTGCCTGCAGAACACTCGCCCTCAGTACCCCTCCCCAACCTCTAGGGGTCACGGAAAACTCAGCATGTGAGATGTGTGAGATGTGTGGACCTCCCTCTACAGTGGCCTGCGGGGAGCACTCCTGCGGGGAGGAGCACCTGTGGGGAGCACTCCTGCGGGGTGGAGCGCTGGCAGCAGCACTGTTTGCCTTTCTCTTCCAGGTTGTCCCACGGCCAGTTCTAAAGGCTAGTCCTTGGCCACAACACTGGGCAGTTCCTCCCGGTGCCACACGTCCAGTTCCCCCAGCTCCCCGTCCTGCGCAGGAAGGAGGCGGATGGTGGGCTCACCTTGAGTGAGGAACAGTAGGCCAGGCTGAGGGAGACCAGTGGGGGCGGAGCTCCAGGAATCAAGCCCAGTGCCTGGGCCAGTTCCTGCCCGCTGACCAGGCAGCACTCGGCCATGTTGAGACTCTGCAGCTCCCGCAGGCCCCCCAGGGCAATGCATCCCATGTCTGTAAGCCGCTGCAGCTTCCTCAGGTTCAGGTGCTGCAGGTGCTGCAGGCCCCGGCACACGGCCAAGAGGGCCCCGTCAGATAGTTCTGAGCAGCCGCTGAGGTCCAGAGAGGTAAGGCCTGGCTGCTGGCGGCAAAGGGAGGCTACGGCCTCTGTGGAAAGCTCCCGGCAGCTGTGCAGGCTCAGCTCCTGCAGCTGCAGCCCAGTCACCTGGCCCAGGGCCTGCAGGGCCTCTGGAGGCAAACCAGTGCCACTCAGGTCCAGAGACTGCAGCCTCCTGGCCCGCTCCTTCACAAATCGTAGCAGATTGCAGAAGGAGAGCTGGGAGGGGAAGGAATCCTGGGGGCTAATGGAGCCCCTGGTTGGGCCTGACTCAAAGGCTAGGTGGCAATAGGCCAAGGAGAGGCGCTCCAGGCTGGGGGCACAGCTGCTGAGTCGGTTGAAGCTCGGGTCAGCCAGGTACCGCAGGCCAGCCAATTTGAGCTCACGGAGGCCGCTCAATGCCCGGTGGACCTGCTGGGCCGTCTCAGGCTGAGCCAGCAGCGTGCCTGATGTGAAGAGGCTGTTGCAGCCACTGAGGTCCAGGATACGCAGGGCTGGGCAGCTCAGGACCAGGGTCACGAAGGAGGCCTCTGTGGGGCTGCCCCCACCAAGGCACAAACTGTGCAGGTGCGGGCCCAGGTGGGAGGCAACAGATTGCAGCACCTGGTGCGAGGTAGGTGAGCTGTCCAGGTTGGTCAGGCTGATGCAGGAGACACCCCTGAGGCCCAGGCGCTGGATGGCCGGAATGGAGGCAGAGGACACCGGGATGTTGTACTGCACATTTGTCTAAGGGGTAGCAGCAGGTCTGGGGTGAGCTCTCTGGCCTCAGCGGGCACTGGGCTTTGTGTCTGGTGGCAAGTTGCTAGCCAGAGGCTGAGGGCAGAGCAGGTCAGGAAAGGCCCCTGCTACTATGGGAAGCTACAGTGATTTGTGGGGTCAGGTGTGGCTGAAGGAGGCACCCGCGAGAAGTGGGCACTGGGAGGACAAGTCCCGCTGGGGTCTAAGGAGAGGACTATGAGGGAGGGCAAGGAGGTTGGTGATGGACAGGACTGGATGCCTACAGGAGGGGACAGAGAGGGGCGCTGGCATGCGGGGCACTGGAAGGGTGGAGGAGGAGGCCCAGTGAAACCCTTAGGAGGACACAGAATGCAGGACCCCAAACTTTGGGACTTTCAGGAGGCCCTGAGACCCACGGGCTCCGCCGACTCGAGGGCACAGAGGTTGGTGTTAGCCAAGCTGCCACCTTCCCCAGGGGCTGGAGTGGAGAGGAGAGAGGCAGGCGTCACTCACCACAAGCCCCTGCGGCCCAGATGCCAGAGTTCTGGGGCGGGCAGTGAGGCTAGGTGCCCGGTGGCCTCGGTGTCTCAGCCACATGAATGTTTGCAAAAATGGGTTGTAAGTAAAAAACACAGGTGTGTGTGTGTGTGTGTGCGCGCGCGCGTGCACATGCCAGTAGAGGCTCCAGAGGCCCCAGAGTACATGATGTTCTTGTGACCCCTGAGGTTCATCTCTAGGGGGTCCATCTACCTGTCGGGAGAAGAGAGGAAGAAGCTTCCCACTTCATGTTGGCAGAAGCAAACAGAAGGAATGTCAGAGATGCCAAGGAAGGAGAGCTGCCCGCTGTAGAGGGACAGGGCTGTGAGAGTGGGCAGCACACAGCTCCAGTGGGGTGGGCCCATGAGGCCAGCTCAGGGCTGGGTTGTGGGAATAGCCTGGCTTGGGTAGGAATTCAGGGTGAGGGGAGGGGGTTAGTTTTCCTAGAACCTCCTCTGATTTTGACGCCAGAGGGGTGCCAAAGGGGAGTTGGCACAGGTGTGTGTAGAGCAGGTCTGCGGCAGGGGAGGAAGAAGAGGGCTTGGTATCTAAACTCCTTGCCCCATTATACCACCTCTGATGGGTGCCCGAGTGGCAGGCAAGCGGTTCTCAAAGAAGGCTCTTGTTTTAAGGTATCAGCCCGATCCTGCCGCTGGATGGCCGCCCTCTGAAAACCTGGCCTGTCAGTGATCACCGGAACTGATGCCCCTCCTTGTGCCCCACAGAACTTCATGCAAAGGGAATCCATTAGAAAGGCAGACATGACACATGACATGCCCTGCTGCGAGACCTAGCCCCAGGAGCCTCCCAGGAAGCCACACGCAACTTGTCCCCAGCTGCGGACAGCCCCAGCTTCTGCCACAGAGACAAGAGGCCACCTACGGCTGTCAGCACAGGAAGGAGCATGGTAAGAGACAGGGATGGCTCCTCGCTGCTTCCACAGGAATCGGCTCTAGACCCCATTCTTAGAACACGGTCATTGTGGATGAAAGGCGGCACCTCCACCGCTCCCCTCGTGGTCACTGAGGTCATGAGAGCACCCGAGGGCCTGCACACCTCAGATGTAAGGAGAGCTGGGGAACAGCCCATGTGTGGGGGTGGGGAGGGTGGTAAGATGGGGGGGAATGGAAAGTGCGCGCCTGCATGACGATGAGCCAGTCTGAGAAGGGCAGAGTGACCTGCTGCCAGAGGCCAGAGGTGCTGCGTGGTGAGGCAGCTCCCACCCCCACCGGCTACTTGCCACCCCGGGAGGCCCCAGCTCCAGCAGCCTGCAGTCACCCCTCTTTCCCTTCCTTCTTGAGCCTTGGCAGGGGGGATGTCCTCCCCTTGCATTGCCTCGCAATGGACAAAGCAGACAACAGCCGAAAGAGGGCCCTGGCCGTCAGCTTAGGGGCCACGTCCAAGGCTGGCTGGTGGCAGCAAAAGTCACCCAGTCAAAGGGCAGGGCCCAGCCTAAGGGATTTCCAACTGTGGGTGGTGGTGAGATTTGAGACTGTCTCCCTGTTCCCCCACCATTTTTCTTGGTGGGGCGGGCGCAGCCTCTAAGCCATCACCCAGCTGGTCTACTCTGGACTCAAGAACAGGAGCTGAGGACTAGCCTTTTAGGAGTATCTATCGTCTCTGGGGGGCAGAGCAGCAGGCAGAAGAGGCAGGACTCCTGGATGCTGGTGTCTGGCCCCAGTGTAGGAAACTTTTTCTTTCCCAGGCGTATGGAGAAGTTTCTAGAAACCCAAGGGAGCACTGCAAGGCTATCTGCTCCACTTCACCTGCCCCATCCACAGAGGGGTCAACTAGCACTCTAGTCTCCCTGGCTCTCAGGAGAACAACAAAACCATTTGGAAAATGTCCTAAACCTGCCACAAAGGCGCATGTTCCGTGCCTATGAGCGGGCAGGAAATTGTGCCCTCTCAGGTCCAACGCTGAGACTGCAGGCTTTGAGCAGCCATCCGACATGTCAGCCCTGCTGTCTTTACTGCAGGCACCTAAAGCTGACACACCTCTGTTCCGGAAGGCCGTGGGGACAGGCACGCCCTAATACCCGGGGCTTGTCTCTCTAGAAGGGAGTTACGCTTGGTGATGGCTTCCAGCGGCTGCGGCGGGCTGAGGAGCATCCTCAGCAAGGGAGGTGACCCACATGGCGCAGCAGACCTCTCCTGTCTCCCCACTGCTCCCCTCAGCAGTGTGTTTCAGTCGATCCGCCTGCTCTGCTCCCCACTCTGTCTCTGGTGAATCCTCTCACCCCTCACCTCTGGCCTGCACCCCAGCTCTTGTATGCAAAAATAAGTAAATCTTTAAAAAAAAAAAAAGATCAGGGCAGCGCAGGCCCTCCCTCCCTTTTCCCTGCTCACGCCTTCCAGCCGACTCCTGGCAGGACCCATCCTAACCTCATCCCCGCTCCTGCTTTCTGGTTCAAGGTGACCCCATCCTCCTGCCCTACTGAGCCTGTGCCCCACCTTCTCCCTGAACCTGGCAGTCGCTGCCTCTCCACTGCCCCTTCCTCACAGACCACAAACACCTGAGTCTTAAACAACAAAAGGTCCCCCTTGAGCCTGCTCCCCCTCGCACCTCTCCTCGCGCTCCCCTTCCCTCTCCAGGCCTGCTTTGTGCGCTGCCCACCTGCCTGGCCCCCTGTTCACCCCTTGCTTCCCATGGACCCCTGAACCACGGGCCCAAAGAACCCCTCCCCTCACCGCCCTCCCACAGGTGTCCCCTCTGCCGTGTTTCTACCATGGACGGCCCGTCTCCCCCTGGTGCCTTCTCCCATGGGGGTTCTGCCTCCACCCTCCTACCTTCTAGCCTCTTTCAGGATCGCCAAAGATGAGTGGGTTACCCTCCATGTTTGTCCCACTCCACCACCCACAGCCACCTCCACACCCCTGTGCCCCTCACCCCTCCCTGGCAGACCACACCTCATCCTGTTCCAACTCTATCTGTGGACCGTGTTTTTTCCAGAACAGTAGACCCCACGCCAGTGACCTGCTGGCCCTCCCTCCAGACACAGATGCAAGCTGACCAGACCTGAATTCACTGTCTTACCCCCTCAACTCTGCCCCTCCTCCTAGAGTCTCAGGGCCCTCTACCAGTCAGAAATCTGGGAATCCTAGACTCCTCCCGCAGCCCCACCTCCTCATCAACCAAGGCCCTTCTAGTCCATCTCCCTATGATATTCTAAACTGTCCCTGCTGCCACCTCTCTGCACCTGCTTTGGAGCAGGTCCCTTCATTGTCTCAGAAATACGTCACAGCAGTCTCCTTATTGGAGTCCTGGCCTCTAGCCCCCCCTGGCTCCAGTCTATCCTGCATTGTCCATGCAGCTCTGAGATGGTTCTACAGGGGCAGAGGCTGAGCTGGCTATGGCAGCCCCCAACTATCTCTCTGCCCCCACTTTCCCATGCTTGCCCACCCCCACACCCCCTCTCTGCTGTGGGAACGCAGACTTCTGGCCCTTGTCTCATGCTGCCACGCCTGCTCAGCCACTTTACCGTCTGGTGGTGTTTCACCCTTCACCTCCGCCTGTTAGTCTAGTTAGCAAGTGTTTATTCCTCTCGAGAGTCAGCACGAGCACCCTTCTCCCGGCCTCTTCTGAAGCTGTTCTCCGCATCCCCATCGCCCTACCAGACTGGGCTCCGAACTCAGTGCACGTGCTGCCTTCCTCATGCCTTGTGCTGCCTCTCACGACCAACTCTGAGTGCTGGAACCCCCGGCCCTGCACCCCCAGCTCAGCACACCTCAAGGCCCCTCAGGCACCACCAGCGGAAGGAGGCCTTTCTCTGTGTCTCCGGTGTACTGGCCATTTTCCTCCGCCCTGTATTTCACACCTTGGATGAGGCCCTGGCCTCTGCATCTCTTCTCACCCCCCTGAGACAAACTGGTTCCAAATTCACCAAGAGGCCATCAGCCTTGAGGAACCTCCACACTGCTATCCCCACCCCTCCACTCCCTGGGGGAGGTGGCAGCCCCTCCATCCTATGTAACCCAGCCGTGTAGGCTGACGCCTGTCTCTGCCACCGCCTCAGGCGGCACCCAGCCACCATTCTTGGAATCTCTTCTTCCCATACCCACCCCTTCGCTGGTGACTCCCATCAGCGTATCGGACACATTTGAGTTTTCTCCCAATTAAAATCCTTTTGTCAAGTCCACCTCAACCACCTATTAATTTCTCTCGTGGGGACATTTCTTGCAAATGAGGCCACCCTCTACATCTCCTTTCTGCTCTCATTCACTCCTCAACCCACCTGGCTTTTTCCCCAGATGCCAAATGTTGCCGAAGCCACTGGAAACCGGGGAAATCGAGCATCATGGACGCTATATTTTCTATTTTCTAGATGTGGTTAAAGTATTGAACCACTCAATACTTTAAATGCTGTCTGGCTTTGACTTCTGGGCCTTCTCTGCTCGGCTCCCTCTGCAGATGCATCCTCCTTCCTCTCCATGATGCCCTCCCTTGGGGGCTGCCCTCCCCGGGGTGTGCTCTGTAGCTGCTGTGTCTATGGCTCTTCAGGCTCCTCATGGGGGGGTGTTACTTAGATTCCTGCCTTCAATTACTCCCATTCTTTAATGACACCCAATCTATATTTATTATCCAGACCCTTCTCTTGAAGTCCTCGCCCAGAAATGCAGCTCTCAGCATCTATGTCTTACACTTCAAATTTTCAACAAGTCCAAACCAAGTTCCTTTAGACAACGACACTAGATAGATAACGCAACAAAGGGCCAACTTACACACACACACACACACACACACACACACACACATAATATGTGACAGGAGGATTCCAACCCAGCAGGGAAGGGGGAGATTACACATAATGGTATTTTTGCCATTTGAAACTAATCAGTTTCATTTCTTATCTTGTAGCGTAAATCAAAAGAAAGTCCACCAATTTAAAAAAAATACAAAAATAAAAAAAAAATACAAAAAATCAAACCATTAAATAGAAGAAACAATTTTGAACCTAAAGATGTTCTTAAAAAGCATAGTCTATTTAAAAAAAAGAAAAATTTCAGTATATATTTATCAAATCTCTGAGGAAGCAAGGGACCTCTACATTCAAAAAACAATGAGAAGATGGAAGAAAAGGATTTTGAGAATCAACAGCAGAAATTTAACCTCTGTAGCTCATAAACAAATGCATACCTACAAATCAAATTAAAAGGCAAACACACTAGACATATATTCAACAAACGTGTAAATAATTATTCTCTTTAATGTATAAAAAGTTCATACATGTGGATATGAAAAGTACTAAGACCCCAATAGTTAAATAGATAAAGAACACAAATAAACAAGAGGGAAATGTAAATGAACTCATGAGAAAAACTGTTCAACCTCAGTAATATCAAAGAAGTCAGAATTAAAACAAAGAGCTATTACTGCTTGTCTTTCAAAGGAGCACAGATGTCTGCATTTACCTGCTAGCTGGGCTGTCTCCCTACCCTCCGGCTCACCCTCTCCTGTCCGTGCTGCACTGCAGTTCTAAGACACAAATCACACCGTGTCACTCCCCTGCCTTAATATTCTTCTAAAAGCTACATGACAGGAATCGGGAGCAAGTCCCAGCAATGCCGACTGGCACATCTGCCAATGCTGCTCCCTCTCATACGCATCTAAGTTCCATACGGAAGCGACATGACCATTTCCAGAATGATTTCATACCTTGGGGCCTTCACCCGGGCTGTTACCAGTCCTGAAAGAACAACCTGCATCCTCACCCTATTCCTTCAGGAAGCCTTTCCTGATGCTCCAGTCTCCTCTGGATGTCCTTCTCCAATTGTCATCACATCCCTTCATTCCACTGTCACAGCACTGAGCACACATCATGATCACTCACATACTTCTGTTCCTCCTTCACTGGAGTCAGCTCCTCGCGAGAGGGGAGTGTGTCTTATTCATCTAGAGCCCCAACTGCACCCAGAGCTGAGTATGTATGAATGTAATGGTGTATGAATGTGTACGCATGAATGGTGGCTGGTCAAAGTATGGTCAAGCTGAAGTGGGAGGCAGCTGGAATGGGCCTGGGGAAGGTGGCCACCTTACCTCCCGAAGGGCATTCTGGAATGCACAGTACCAAGCCCGACTCACGAGGGAGGCCTCTTTCTGATCTGACAGAGGCAGGAAGCTCAGAATATATGTGAGCATCTGAGGGAAAAAGACAGGGCGTTGGGGGCTATTAGAGTTGCAGTAGGGGGCCGGGGGGGGGGGCTTTGGAACCTTCTCCAGCAGATAGCACAGTAGGTCCGAGGGGACTGGAGCATTGGCTTCGAGTTCACCTGGGACCCTAAGCTTCATAGAGTCTTCGCTTCCCCTCTCCAATCTCCAGGGAGCTGTACTGTGAACAAATCTTTTCTGAGGCCTGTCTAGATGCAAATTTGTACTGACTGATACAAATCAAATTTCCAGTCTGGTAAAAAAAAAATGGCCTGAGTGTCAGGACCAGATCGACCAGTTCACATCCTTATTCTCTCAAATCACCTCTCTGAGCCTTGTTTGCCTTATCTGTAAAATGGCCACTGCAGTGAGGTTTAAATGGGTTATTGTGAGAATTAAAATACGTAGTAAAGTGTGTTGCATAGGCTCTAGAACACAGCCACGAGGTGTTCATGCTCTGATCTCTTTGGGAAGCAACACCCCTTCCTTCTGCCCTCACAGGTCAGGCTCGGAGACCTTCCTCTTTTCCCATCTTCTCCACTGCCAACTTGACTTCCGAGCTGGCTGTGAAGACAGAAACCTAGCAAGATTAGTCTGGGAGACTTATGCCCTCATTCCACCTATGCTCTATGAGGTTGTGGATGGTGAGGCTGGGAGCCCTATATGGGACTGTGTGGCTACAAATTGTCTGATATTAACTATCGGGGGTGTCTCAGCACATCCCTGATAAAAAGATGTTCAGGGTTCCCTGGAATCCTCAGGATAGTCTCTACTCCTGGGTCAGTATTGCCAAGCCTCCATAGCTCACTGGATTCCTCACCCTAGAGTTTCCCCCATCCAGTTTCCCCACTATCCTACAAACACAGCATGTCCCTTTCTTTTTGCCTATGTGGGCTTTTTTTCCCTGGATAGCTCTTACTTAAGCTTGACCTCACCAGATCATTCTGATCTTTTCTTTCTTTCCCTGATCTCTAGCACAAAGGAGCTCAGCCAATACTTACTGGACCAAATTAAAGTTGGACAGTCCTCTACCTCTATTTTCACCAACAATTTGCTCAGGGAAGGGATGAGGGGGTAAAGCAGATGATTACTGAGAGGAGAATGGGGAGAATGGCATTCTGGGAGACTAGGGATGGGGACTAGAACTGACTGAACTCCCCATTCCCAGGAGGAGTTAGGGAAGCCTATCTAAGCCTAAGATAGTGGCCATGTTGTCTTCTGAGGCTCTGCAGTCAACCTGAGGAGCAAAGGGCAAAGGGAAAAAACCTGCTCTCACTGAAGGGAGGGAGCATAATTCTTTAACCTGAGAGGAGGGAGGTGAAGAGGAGGGAGGTGAAAAGGGGAGTGGCTTTTTTTAGAAGGACCAGGGGAGGCAGTGATAATGATGGTGTGGCTAGTCTATGAACTCCATCCCAAGGGACTACTACAGATATTACTGATCATCCCTGGGATTTATGGGGATGAAGTGGATCTCTTCTGGGGTCAAGGAGACAAGGAATGCCATCATCTGGAGCTTAAGAGGGTGAAAGCAGTCCTACATCTTGCTAAGGGGAAGCTGTGCCATTCCAGGGCCACAGGGGAAAGGGTGGCCTGTCTCCGGTAGGCAGCGGGAAGTGGCTGTCAACTCTGAGTGCAAGAGGGATGGGGGAGGCCATGCCAAGAGGATAAAATCAGTTATGTCTCTCAAGCTAATGGTGGCAGGGAGGTCTTGTCCAGGATAAGGAAAAGGAACATCTCATGGGGCGAAGGAGGTAGGGACGGCCATCACTAGCGGACAAGGGAGTGAGAGCAGGTCTGTCCTTGGTGAAGGAGCTCAGCGACCACGTACGGAATTGATGGGGAGGGGACAGCTATTTCTCCGGGAGAAGAGAATGGAACGACAATCCCAACGGGCCAGTGGGGATAGATGAGTTACCCTTCCGGGGCGATATGATGGAGATGACACCTTGCAGACCTGAGGGGGAGGGGCGGCCATCTCTAGAGTAGGCGGGTAGGCAGAAGGCCGGTGCTCGCTGACGTGACGGAGTAGGCATCTCCTGGGACCGATGGGGTAGAAGAGGATGGTACCCCAAGCTAACGGGACGAAGTGGCCCAAAGGCGGGACCGTTACCCAAGCTCGCAGGTCCTGGGATCTCCCGGGCGGGTCGTTTCCGCCTGGTGGACGGGGCCGGACAAGCTGTCTGATGGTCCCTCCCCACAGCCTGGGACCCTGAGAGCGGGGTCTGTCCCGAGTTAGGCCTGAGGGCAGCCTCCTCTCACCTCCAGGGGCAGCGACTCCGCCATCGCATCCCTGCCGCCTCAGCCCCCGCGCAAGTCTTTCTGGGAAGTGTAGTCCTAGCGACTCTTGGGGCGGGGCTTGTGAAGGAAGTGCCCCCACTTCCGTCTCAGTTGCTGACGATTTAGGTCTGCACCGGAAGTGCCTGTGCTGCCGATGTGGTACCTACTGATTGCGGTTTCGGTCGCCCTCCCTTGTTTTCCTGGCTGGGTATTTGCGTCGCACCATGGCGGTAAGGAGACTGGTAGGGTAGGGTCCGCATCGGCAAAGCGCTCCCGCCCCCGGAGCTGGGAGACTGAAAATAGGAAGGACTTCAAGAGAAGCGGATCGGCTAGAGGGGGGCGCCATGCAGTAACCGGACCGTATTAGAGCGAGGTGGGGAGTAAAAGGGTGCAGGACCATGCCAGAACTGGTGCTGGAGGGGCTGATTGTCACAACCCGACAGTACCAGACGTTGCTAAAAATGAGGGACCTGAGGGCGTAGGCGTGAGACCCGATATGCATTGTTGTAGCAGAGGCTGGAGAGGAGCACCTTGTAACTCCACTTAGGAATTCCCCCATGTAAAAGTCGTCAGCTGGACCTTACTAGGGTAGCAGAACCCTACCAGTGAAGCAGGAGATATCAAACTACTGTTTGTGGGCTTGTTCCCGGGCGAATAGAAGGCTATCGTAGCTGGTGGTCCTGGAAGGACGGTTAGCCCTAAATAGGATACACTGGAGCAAGGATTAACATCCTAAGGTTTGTACAGCTTTGAACACTATGAGGACGTGACTTAGGTGTAGATGAAATTCTGTAACTAACCATACTGGTGGGAGGAGTGAGGAGGACCCTGGCTGAGAAGGGTTCTGACAGCATCTAACCATTCCTTTGCAGCCTAAGGGAAAAGTGGGCACAAGAGGGAAGAAGCAGATATTTGAAGAGAACAGAGAGACCCTGAAATTCTACCTGCGGATCATACTGGGGGCCAATGTAAGTGCTTGCCTCCTTGCTCCGGTGCCCACCCAAGGTCCCACAATCCTCAGCTCTGTTTGGGGAGTGGGGGTGGTGAAGGCAGTTTGATATGGTGTCAATCAAGTCTCAAGAAAATCAACTCCAGTTAAGAAATGATCCTGGTGGGCCTCCCCAGTGGCGCAATGGTTGAGCGCTGGGCTGTGAAGCCCTGCAGTGCGGGTTTGATCCCCGGCCACCAGGCAAGGGTCCCACATGGCGCACAGACTTCTCCTGCTGCCCGCTGCTCCCCTCAGCAGTGTAATTCGTCAGTCTGCCTGTTCTGCTCTCCTCTCTGACTCTGGTGAATTCTCTCACCCTCCTGCGCTTCTGACTGTACCCAGTACTTGTATAAATAAATAAATAAATCTTTAAAAAAAAAAAAAAGAAATGATCCTGGCATAAGTGCCAAGTGATAAAAACAAAACAAAACCAGAAGTGAAGGTGAGAGTACTAGATGGACTTGAATTCTTCCCATCCTGAATACACCCAGACCTCTTTCCTGGGCTGACATGTCAACAGGAATCTGGGCATTCAGGACTAAGTGAGTAGACCCTTTCTCCCCCTAGCTAGCCATATAAAACACAACCTATTTCCTTTCACAGCTTGACCTCACTGTTGGTCAAAGTTGAGACCCAAGGTTTAAGTGTAGTTTTTGATCCCATTTTGATCCTGTGTCTACTTACAGGCCATTTACTGTCTTGTGACCTTGGTCTTCTTCTACTCATCTGCCTCATTTTGGGCCTGGGTAAGTGTCCTTAGCCTGGGAATTCAGTGTCTCTATTGAGTCAATGACTGGCTTTTGATACTTGTATTCTTGCTCTGCAGATGGCCCTAGCCTTTAGTCTGGCAGTATATGGGGCCAGCTACCACTCTATGAACTCGATGGCACGGGCAACCTTCTCAGAGGATGGGGCCTTGATGGATGGTGGCATGGACCTCAACATGGAGCAGGGCATGGCAGAGTGAGTGTCCCCCACCGCCAGCCCAGGTGAGCGGCCCCAGGGCTGGGGTGCCAGGGCCCAGATAGCGCAGATAGTTACCTGCAACTCAGAGGGTGGAAGGGGCCCATCTACTATCTTTGGCCCTTGCAGCCTCCCTTCTATCCACAGGCATCTTAAGGATGTGATCCTACTGACAGCCATCGTGCAGGTGCTCAGCTGCTTCTCCCTCTACGCCTGGTGCATATGGCTTCTGGTGTGTGCGGTGTGGGGCTCTCAAGAAGGAGCTGGGGCATCTAACCCTCCTCCTCTTTTATTTTCTGCACCTGGCTTCAGGTTATCTTTTCTTTCCTAGGCTCCAGGCCGGGCCCTTTACCTCCTATGGGTGAATGTGCTGGGCCCCTGGTTCACAGCAGACAGTGGCGCTCCAGCACCAGAGCACAATGAGAAACGGCAGCGCCGACAGGAGCGGCGGCAGATGAAGAGGTTATAGGCACTGACTTTGTGGCCACAGGTTGCTGGGCCCTGGGTGGCTCTATCAGGTGTCACGGCCCTCATGCCAGGAGCAATGAGGGCCTAGTCCGGGGGTAAAAGCAGTCCGAGGGTAGGATTGTTTAATAAATGACTTAGAATGTGGCTGATGGTTTTGTGGGCAATAACAAGGGGTGGGTGAGGCAAGAGCCGGTCGTTTGTATTTTCCTCCTATTACAGACCCCACGTGTTGGGTACCTTGAGAGAGGAAAAAGACTCTTGGATTGTCAGGAAATACTTTATTCCATGCACTGACACATGCACACACATGTGCATAGGCACACGTACACACACACACACACAGATAGGCATACACAAGTAATACTGCTCAAAGTACTGGCCACTGAGTGGCCCTGGAGTTGAGAAGAGGCCCAGAATTCTGCTCTGGTCTCTGCTCACTCTACAGTCTTTTTCATTGCAGGCGGGGCCCATATTGGTGTCCCGGAGGGAGCACCTTCACACCTCCAGGCCGGGACCCTTACTCAGTCCTAGTGCCTGCACCAGATCCTCTCCGAGTCCACTCTTCAATGTCCGTCTCACTGCAAGGACAGAGCAGGGTTGGAGGGAGTCGATGGGGTGAAAGTGGGCACTGGGAGTGTGGGGAGTACTTACAAGACTTGCGGTTGCCACGGGATCGCTTCCGTTCCCGAGCAGCTAAGGCACGAGGATTGCTCTTGGTCACTGACTGCACCAGCAGATCCATGATCTCATCAGAAGTGTCACTGGGTGAACTGGAGCCTGGGGGTTCTTCTGGGGGTGCAGTGGAGGGCTCCACCGCAGTGGGCATGGTTGGGGAACTGCTCTGGACCATGCCTAAGGGAGGCCAGATAGGAAGGTCAGGCCAAGGTGGTGCCTTGAGCTCTTTGCCCCCAGTAGACACAGGTCCCACCTCTGCTACGGCGGGCGTGTGTAGGGTCCTCAGGCCTGCTAGTCAGCAGGCTCTTCATGCTGGCGTGACTGTCGGCATCACCTCGGCCTGGCCCGCTGCCCACTGCCACTGGGACAGATGGGTTGCAGGGAGCTTCCCCAGCCACACTTGAGAACTTCTCTGTCTAGAAAGGGGAGAGAGGTGAGCTGGGGGTATGGGAAGCTGGCAGGATGGGAGGGGATGGGAGTCAGGCCCACCTCGGTGATCATGCGTCCCCGGGTCTTGTTGCGCTCCCGGTACGTGGCGCGCTTCTTTTGCTGCTGCAGCACCCGTTCCCGGCAAGTGCGGTACTCCAGTGCGAACTCGCGCAGCGTGTGGCAGAACTGCATGACGCGCACTTCACGGGCTGCCTGTGCCGTGTAACCCAGGTAGAGCAGGAAGGCGTGGAACCTGGGGGTCAGAGGTGGTGAATCCTACTAGTGGTTTGAGGAACAGGAGTGGGCTCTGGCCTCTCTGTGGCCCATGCCCCCACCTGTTGCAGACACGGCGGTGTACCACCCTCAGCATGGCAACCCGGCGGGCACACTGGCCCAGGAAGTGGATAAGGCGAGTGCGCAGGGCTGGGGCCAGTTCATGCTTGGCCAGGCCCCGCAAACTCTCCTCCGCTGCCCTGCTTCGGCATTCCAGTTGCCCCAGGTTCTCATTCAGCTCCTCGAAGTCCACCTGGAAAAGCAGGGTGTGTATGGCCTCCCACCTAAGGTTGTGAGGGCTGGCCGGCCTAGGCCCTGGGACACAGATGGCTGAGACCCACCCCCTCCCTCCAAAAACTCAGTCTGATGTGAAACAGAGAAGTGCCCTTGGGGGAGTGGCAACAACTTAGGTTTCTTGTGGGAAGCAGTGACTGAACAGACCCAAAGAGTGTAGGTGGGGCCCAGCTAATAGAGGAAAGAGTTTTTGGCTTTTTTTTTTTTGCAGAGGACATAGCCCGTCAAACACCTGTAGCCCTAGCAAGCCCTGGCGCAGCAACCCAGCAGCCCGAAGCGGGAGAAGCCAGGCCCAGAATCAGTACTCCTCACTCCTTGGCCAGCCTCGGCCCAGCCTCTGGCTGATGCTCACCTTAGCACAGCGGGTCAGAGCAGGGATTTCTGAGTAGAGGTCGGAGGAATCGGGCCGGGCCTGGAGCACCAAGGAGCAGAGATGGTGCAGCAGTGACTGCCGGCGCACTGTGTCCTTTACCTCTGACACCTTCTCCAGGTAGCTCAGCTCAAAGCCGCTGCTCTGAAAGGACCCTGTTTGAGCCTGGGCCTGGTCAGCTCCAGAGTCCTGGCCTCCAGCCCTCATGTTGTCTCACCTGGGAGCCATTGAGGAAATTGCCCACAGCTAGCAGCGTGGCCAGGATGCAGCGGAAGGTGGCATTTTGCACCAGCTGTTCCATGCCCACTTTCAGGTCAAACAGCGGCTCTGCGATTTCCTAATGTGGGAGGTCAGAGACTCTCAGACCTTGTGGTCTCATGCTCAGCCCCCCACTGTCTATCCCATCCTGTGACCCAGGTACCCGCTCCATGCCGTCATAATCCAGTTTGAAGGCCCAGAGTTGCAGGCGGGCAGCCAAGCCCCCGATGGAGGCGAGGGTCATCAGGAAATTCTCAGCTGGGCCCAGGGGGATGTCAGGATTGGCCAGCTGGGCCTCTTCAATCTTCTGCCTCTCCTCCTCCGTCGGCATCATGGTCAAAAGCTTCTGAGGATGCAGCCACCACCCCATAGGCTGCTCAGTGCTGGCCTTAGGCCTCAGGCAAGGGTCTGGATTTCTCCCTATGTCATCTGGGGGAGCCCCAGGGTCTAGGGAGTGTTCTGCAGAAATGCCAAGCCCATGCCCACCAAGAAGGGACAGGAAATGCCCACTGGCCAAAGGAAAAGGTCAGGCCTCCCACCTCCCTCCCACATTGCTAGGAGGCTATCCCCACCTCAATGCCATCCTTGCTGACAGCAAACTCATCAAAGTTGAGCAGGGCAGCCTTGATGACGTGTACAGGTGGCAGTGTGGTTAGGCCAATGTTGATGGCATTGCTGCGCTTGGGGTCCAGCACTACAGTCATGGTCCGGCGGCCCTCGCCAGCTTTCTTTGAGGTTGGGGGGAGGGCAGTGTAAGACTGGGAAAGGGACTAGCTGGGCCAACAGTCCAAGGTGGTACTCCCGGGCCCTAACTGGAAGTAGGCAGTTGTGGGGCTCACCCCATAAACGGATACTTGGCATATGCAATGCCTTGGGATGAACTCAGATTAATAGGGCCCTATTATTCCCTTGTTGAGAGACCTTAGCCAAGTTCTTACTGCTTTCTATGTTTTTGCATGTGGGAAATGAGGGGCTGGCCACTGTGGTTCAATCCCTTGAGCTGACTCCCCCCCTCTCCACTGGGATTACCTTGTAGATGAGGGTGGGATTACCTACCTTGGAAGGCAGCACATCCTTGGCGCGGGACTCAAACAGGTGTTCTAGACGGGCTGTGTCCACTGAGACAGGTTCCAGCGAGGCCCACAGGGTAGGGCAGGGCCCAAAGCGGCTCCCAGAGCCTCCATGGCCCCCAGCCAGTTTTAGCTCTCGCCAGAAGAGTTTTACTGTCTTCCTCTTGATGGGAAGGGCTAGGCTGTCAGGTGCTGAGGGGGGAGGAGGGACAGCTGGGGGTGGAGGTGGTGGGAATGGGCCTTTGATGGATGGAGGAGGTAGGGGTGGAGGGGGTAGGGGTGGAGGGGGTAGGGGTGGTGGAGGTGGGGGGCCTCCAGAGAGTAGGGGCAGTGGGGGTGGTGGAGGTGGGATTCCTGTGTCAGCCTCCACAGCCTCTATGTTCAGCATGTCCTGGTCTTCATCCTCCCCCAGATCTGAGAAGTCCAGGTCCCCAATGCAGAGCTTGGATACAAGGGTAGGGAGCTCCTGGGTAGGGAGTTCCTTGGGGCTTGGTGGGACTAGTGGCTCCTTGGGCTCCGGCTCAAGACTCCGCTGGGCCCGGAGCAGGACTCGGGAGACAGGGCTCTGGGATGTTTTGGGTACAGAGGCCAGCTCAGGGGAGCCCCATAATTCCCGGGTATCTAGGAAAAGGAAAGCAATTGTCAGCATCATGCCATCTGCAGGCAGCAAGGCAACATGGGTAGATTGTGCTCGCCCACCTACTCACCTGGGTGCCCATCAGTCTCATCAGGTATGGCCCCAGCCAGTGCCTCCGCCCGGCCCTGAGCCAGCGCAGCCTGCTTCTCTGTTTCTGCCGCTGCCACATTCTCCAGGAACCGAGCTCTGGAGAGAAGCAATTGTCAGTGAGGTTTCCTAACATGGTACAGCCCAGGGTGGTGAACATGCCTTGCTGGGCCCCCAGGCTCTGCCCCAAGTTGCAGGCACACAAACACACAGGGAATATAGTCCATGCGCTGAGCAGACCCAGGTCCTGCCCCCCAAGGCCAGCTCCTGTTGAGTCTCCCCATTGGGCGGGGTCACTACCAACCAAATGTTCCCAGATCAACACAGGGAGAAGTTCTATTCAACGTCAAACTTGCAACCCTGCTGCTGCTCATGGTCACTGTACTGATTCCAGACAAGGACACTTATGCAGGGGGAGAAGCCAGCTGACCCAGCGGGCACACCAGAATGTCGCTCCCTCAGCGTGTTTGGAAGCTTCTGGGAGCTATGGCCTGTACTCAGAAGAGGGCCTGGCAAACAACAGGCGCTCAGCTGACGCTGAAGTAAGTCATGTGATCCAGTCTCTTTTGTGGTCTCCCCAGCCTCAGTCCCTGTCCTTCCCTCAGCCCTAGATTGTTCCTCTACCCTCACTCCACACAGTGCCCTAGGCCTCCTCCCTGCCCTATTCCTGAACTGAGGATGTGGGAAAATGGGCTCAGTTTGAGAATCCATGTTCTCATCTTTGGGCTTAGCTATTTAAGGGGTCACTCTTGAAGCATCGGGACCACTGTGACCCCAGTGACCTGCTTCCCAATGTAGCAGTACCTCCCTGGGTAACCAAGGAGGCGCAAGTCTGGGACAGTGGTGCCTGAGCAGCTCCAGTTACCACCGCATTAGGTTTGTGGGACCCCTGCTGGCCAAGCAATGCTGAAGCCCTGAGCGCATGGTGGGCCTGGCAGGCTGGCCTTTGTACTTACTCCTGCCTGGCCTGCCCAGTATGGGCCTGGGGGACAGGTGGGCTCTCAGGGGCCCTGGGTGAGAGGGGCGAGAGGAAGAGATGATAATTGTGGCGTTGTTGCACGCCAAAGCCCAGCTGCCCACACTCACACAGAGCTGGGCAGTGATACCAGGGATTCCTTCCCAGCCACGGTGGGAAGAGGAAGGGGCGGGGAGTCATGATATAAGAACACTGGAGATGGACAGACTGACATGAAGCAGGGCAGGGTGAAGTGAGTGCCAAAGACAGGGCAGAACGAGTCAGTGACCGAGAAACAGGAAGACAGATGGCAGGAGGGAGACGAATGGCAAGTGGCGAAGACAGGACAGAAAGGTGAAGTCTCAGGAGGATGAGGTCCGTTCAGAGCTGAGCCAGCCCTCCAGCAGTCACTTACCAAACAGGAGCAGTTTGGTGAAGTCTGGAAAGAAAGAAAGAGAAAGCACGCGTTTGGGCAGAGGAGTTGGGCAGAGAAGGGCCGGTGAAGGGGCCGAGTGGAGGGACAGCTGGCAAGAAGGCTGTGGGGAGGCCTCGAGCTCACAACTCACTTGTAGACGCTCCTCTCGCAGCTGTCCGCCGCCGAGGGCGCCACTGAGAGGGTCGGAAAGACGCTCAGCGAGGGGCGGAGGCCGGAGCTGGGGCTCACAGGGCTGGAGGCGGGGCTCGTGGGCCGGGCTGGCCTGCCGGGGGTGGGGCTGATCGGGGAGGCGGGACTGGAGGCGGGGGCTGCCGGCCAGGTGGGGCTCGCAGAGGCGGGGCCCGTCGGTGAGGCAGGTCCCGCGGGGCTGGAGGCAGGTCCTGCGGGGCTGGAGACAGGGCCTGTCAGGGGACAAGGCTCAGCTGGCGGATCCACTCTCCGGATCTGCTTACGGCCTTCGTTATTCTCACCTAGGCTCCGGGGTACGCACGGGGCAGCCCCCGCCTTCTAGAGATCGGCGGCTCCTTTTGCCCTCCTCTGAAGAAGGCTTTCGGCGCTCCCGCCGCCCGCCTGCTGCAGCTTCTTCAATGTCTCCATCCTCCAACCGAAGGGCGCTCTGGCAGGGGCGGGCCAGATGGGAGCCTCTGAGGCCCAGGTCGGTGGGGGTGGCGCGGTGGGGAACCTCGCTCCGTCCCTACCCACCGCGCAGCCCGAAGGGCCCAGCCCACCTCATAGAGCACGAGCTGCGCTCGCAGGTCTATGTCCACGCCCAGGGCGCTCAAGTGGCGCTGCACCAGGGTCTCCATGCCCTGCTGCTCCAGGGCATCTGTCACATCGTAGAAGGAGTCCTGGTCCGGAAGAGCCGCCAGGGTCTGGTGGACGGGTATAGGAGGGCAAGGGTGAGGTTGGCGGGGTTCAGCAGTCAGGAGCCTGAGGGGTCCACGATTGGTACTTGGCTCCCCTACCCCTGCCCACACACCTTGTTGATGAGGGTGACCGTGTACACCAGCAACTCAGGGTCAGCGCCGTTCTTCTCCTCCAGGATGGACACCAGATTGGCCCACGGAAGAGCACCTGCCGCACAGGAAGGGACGCAGTCACACAGGGTCAGGTAGGGGACAGGGCTCGGAATGGCGGGGAAGGGACGGGCAGCAACTGACCAGTGGTGCTGGCCACAGAGTTGACTGCACGGATGAAGAGCGGTGCGTTGTTCTCCGAGTATTCCACAAACACCAGCAGCAGCTTCAGGGCTGTCTTCACCACCAAGCGGGACTAGGGAAAGGAGTGAGCACACGAGTGGGGCTTGGCCCAGACTTGTGCCAGCTCCTGGTGTGTGTGGGGGAAAGGGTGGCTGGGGTTGCCCAGAGAGGAGAGTCTGGGCAGAAAGACTGGCTCCAGTCCCAGCCACTGAGTGCTCCCGAGGCTTAGAGGGGCCTCAGACCCGCTCCATTCCAGCCTATTCGCCGAAGACGGTCCAGTGACAGGCAGTAGGTAAAGGGTGCATGGCTGGGTGGAGGCCACTTACCAGACTGGCGCACAGCGTATACAGCCATTGCACAGTCTCACTGTGGGCCACCACTCCCAGCATCCCGTCCACAAAAAGCATCAGCTGGCCTAGTGCTGGGGTCACAAGGACAAGAGGAGGTCAGTTAGGGGCCACTGAGGGCAGGGATGGTGGGGCTGGGCAGGGGTGGGGCTGACCTCTCAGGATGTAAGTCTGGTAGTTGTGATCGGCAGCAGCGCCCACACGGATGAGGCAACTCAGCCCCTCTGAGTGTACGAATTCAGGCACTAGATCCTTGTCCTCCTGGAGGCACGGAGGAGGCACCGGGGGGAGTTTAGGGGGAACAGGGCTGCACACCCGACCCCAGCCCACCTCTGGGCCTCACCTGGAAGATCTGTTTTAGTGAGAAGAGGGAGCGACGGAGCTCTGGGCCACTGCAGCCATACAACTTTTCTGCAAAGGACGGGTGGGCATGGAGCCTCAGGGAGACACAGATACCCTGATCTCCTGTGACACAACCACAGCCCCCCTTCAAGAAATAGCCTTTCCCTGAACCGCCCACCTCCTCCTCCACTCCCTGACTCTGGCCAACCACCGCAGTCAGGCTGCAGCATTTGCCCTGGCCCTGGAGAGAGAGGTCAGGATAGGAATGAGGAGGGGTCATGTATCCTGCCTCTCACGCGCCCTGTCCACTGTCCAGCACTGACCTGAAAGAAACTGAGCCAGCTGGGCTGTGGGGGTTGTTGGACATGGAGGCCCTCACACACTCACCCAAGATGGCATTGACCCTCACAGAGAGTTGGGTCCGCAGAATCAGTGTAGGCTTCCGCCCTTTGCTGGAATCAAGCAGCTTAGTCAGCAGCTCCAAGACCATTCCTCAGGGCCCCAACCCCCACACCAAGGCAGCCAGAGACCTCCCTGCATGCCAGCCCTGGCTCAGCTCCTTCCTCCCCAGGCCCCAGGGTTGTCCGGACAGGAGGGTTTGTGCAAACACAGGTATCTCAGTTATGTAGGAGAGCTCCTCTCCCCCACTCCCACCCCAGGCAGCCGGTCACACCGGCCAGGCCTTGAGATTCCCCTGGCATTGTTCCCCAGGGCAGTAGGAAGTGACCCACGGCTCAGGCTAGAGATTAGGTGTCTGGGCTGCTGACACCCAAGCCAGCCCCTGGTGAGGGCAAGGGTGGTGCCCGCCTTCCCCTCCACCAGCTCTGACCTGATCTCTTCATAGAAGCCCTCCAGCATCTCCCGCTGTTCTTCAAGGGACAGCTCAGGGTCCAGGTAAAATCCAGAAGGAGACACTTGCAGGGCGCAGTCCTCCAGCTGGGGGCAAAGGGAACAGCTATTAGGGTGGGGGAAGAGGTGGCAAGGATATGAATGGATACCCCATGATGTCCTGTCTCCCACTTGGGGTGATGGCAGAGAGGCACAGTGCCGGGGGGCCACGCTGCGGTCACGTGTTCCTTCAACAGCCATTACTCCTGTACCGAACGTGTGCAAAAGTCCACTAATCTCGGGTGCCAGGCCTTCTTGCTCTTTGTTCGGACTGTTTTCTCCTGGCTAACACCTACCCATTCTCTGGGTTCACACTTGATAACATCTTTTGGAATGCCATTCTGGACTCCTCTAGCCAGTGCTGGGCGGCCCACTCCACCCTGCGTGGGACCCCTTCTGCGGCTTTCTGAGCAGCGTCACCATAGCCTTGACGCCAGTCCCCTTCCCCCCGCACAGAGGCTGACTGGGCTCAGGCACCGGGTCTGTGGTGCTCCGTGCTCGATATGCAGAGCCTGCACGGCACTTGGCACATGGTAAGTGCTTACTAAATGCCTGCTGAGCTAATGAACACGAATGAGGAAGGGGAATGGAGAGAAGATGGGAGGAAGTTCCTGCCTTCGAGGAAGTTCACAGCCCTGTGGGGTGATAAGCTGTGACCACAAAGCATTCAAGCCCAAGGGGAAAGTGTGAAGAATGTCGGGAGGTGCAATCCAGCTGGGAGCTGGGGGGGTGTGTGTGAATAGAACCGTGAGGAGTAGGGGCTAATTCATAGGTTCCCCATTCCTCCAGGACTCAGGGTCTTTGCCCTGCACCCAAAAGGGCTACAATTACAGCCGTCCTAACTGGTCCCCAGAGGCCACCGAGGGCCTATTGAAAACCAAATTTCAGGGTCTGACTCAGTCACTCTACAGAAGGACCCTGAAACCAGCCTTTGTAACAAAAAGGTCCATGCTCCATCCATGTGTCTGCTGCCCGCGTCTCCCTCCCCTGCTGGTCTGGCTCCCCTCCACCACCGTGGGTGTGACACTTGGCCCTCTGAGGAGTGTCTGCAGAGAGGCCTGGAGGTGACTGGAGTCTGAGAGCCGCATGGTGCCTCTCCTGGACACCTTCCCCGGGGCACAGTGCTAGTATACAGGGCTCAGCAAAGTCTCCTTGATATGAGTGGTCCCACCCCTTGAGCTATCAGGGCCCAAGGAGAGCCCCCGCTAGAGAGGCAGGGGTCTTCTGGTCGCCATCTCACTGGGAAAATCAACCTCAGCAATTCTCCTGCTGGTCCACCAGCCCACCCTGTTCTGGACCCTGTCCAAGAGTTTCCACCTATGTGACCACCCCGCAACGCCCCACCACCCGGTCGCCTGAGTGAGGAGAGGGAGTCCGCTCCTGCCCCAGCCCTGTCTCTGCTTAGCACCCCTGCTCATCCTGAGAACCTGACCCAGTTCCTTCCTGGCAGTTCAGCATGTGGGCCCTTGGGTGACACCTCCCCCCAACACCTCCCCACCCCCGCCTGGGACATGGGACATAGGACAAACACTCCAGCCTGTTCTCTGTCCCACTTCCTGCCTGGCTGCCTGCCCTCCCCCTGGGCGCCTTGGGCGGGCCTGGGCCTCGCTCCCTTCCCAGGGAGCAGAGTCATCTTCTCCAGGGCCTGCTGGGATCAGGTTTGAGAGGAGGTGGCCAGGCCCCAGGGCTAGGGTACTTCTTCCGGGACTAGCTCAGTTGAGGGCAACCCACATTCCTCTGATCCCTCTGATTCCATGCATGACTCAGCAATCTCATCCGCACCCCACACACACACACCCCCGCCCCCGGCACCGAGGAATCTACCTTGGCCTGGAGGATTCCCAGACCCTAGAGAAACATCTCCCCCACAACCATACAGCCCCCCAATGGCCCCCAAAGCAAACACATAGAATAGCTCATTCATTCAAGCATTCACAAATCAGGCTGGCTTTAGATGCTGAGGGGAGAACAGGGAATAAGACACTGCTTCTGCCTTGCCTTCCTTCGAGCCCAGTGGGGGAGGCAGACAGACTTAACTCAGAAAAAGTCCACAAATAAGAGTACAGTCCCCACCGCCAAGGGTGCTGAGAAAAGGGAGGGGCGGCGTGCTGTAAAGATGAACGCTGGAGGGTGATCAGATTATACCTGGTGACTTCTTACTCATCTGGGTATATGACCTGATAAACAGATGTTTATGTGCACACACCCGTACGCACACACACACATGCATGCGCACACACACACATGCCTGTACTGGCCCCTGCAGCGCACCTACAGAAAGCTCAGGCCCAGCATGCTCTCCCTTCCTGCATGCACATTTGTAGTTCTAATCCCTGCCAAGTAGGGCACGGCCCTCTCCATGCAGGCCCCGGGGACACCTGCTTCCACTCGGTTCTTAAGATGAGTCCTCCACCACCCCTAGCCACCTCGGAGGAGCAGGGTCCCTCCATGCTGGTAGCTGTGAACCCCTCACACTTCACCTGCCTGATCCAGCCAGGGCCTCGTTGCTGGGAGTTGGTTCAGGACAGGGCCCCCACTCTGAGATCCCTGTCCTGGATGGGAGGCAGGGGTAGTAGTGGGTAGGGTGAGGCAGGCAGCAAAGAGCAGAGTTTCAGCTGGGTGGTGCTTATCCCTCACACCTCTGGCCCCTTCCTTGGGGTCACCATTGTGAGAGCCAAACCTCTGGGCCTTGTTTCTCACACCCTGGGGCAGGGCCAGGCTGGAGTTAGCCCAGACCCGGGCCCCTGCAGACAGACAGCACTGAGGGTCAGCACAGAGTGAGGGCCCACATGCTTGACTCCCTCCTGGCTCTTGTCTCCCACACTTCCCTGCTGTCTGTCTTAGGGCGAAGTCCTTCCTCATCCTTCTTCAGAACCCCCCGACTGCAGCCTCTAGCCCACTTTTCTCTTGTTCTCTGAACTCAGGCTTTTCTAGCAGCTGAAACCAACTGGTTACATATGGTTTTAGATGCAGGGCCAAGTTCAGGAGACCGTAGTGTCTGCCTCCCAACATTTTTTTTTTAAGATTTATTTATTTATTTATGCAAGCACTGGGTACAGTCAGAAGCGCGGGAGGGTGAGAGAATTCACCAGAGCCAGAGCGGGGAGCAGAGCAGGCAGAAGGACCGAAGGACACTGCTGAGGGGAGCAGCGGGCGGCAGGAGAGGTTTGCGCACCATGTGGGACCCTCCTTTGGTGGCTGGGGAGCAGCCGGGGATTGAACCGGTGCTGCAGAGGCTGCGGGCAGCTTCGCAACCCAGCGCTCAACCGCTGTGCCACCGGGGAGGCCCCACTCCCCAGCATTTTTTATAACAGTATTACCAAGTGAGAATGAACGGGTCCAGGCCAGGGTATCTTACCGAACGCCAGCCTCAGTTTCCCTCAACTAATAAAAGGAAACATCAGGTACAAGAAAGGTGGAGAAGAGGGTAGAATTATATGCTGAAGGATTCCTGTTGTAGGAAGTAACTTGTCAACTGCCTTTTTCTTCTCCTTTCCTATAAACACTAGACCATGTGCTCTGAAGACCTTGTTATCTTGGGTCTCCAACTAGACTGTGACTTTCTGGATGACATGACGCGATGGTCCTTGAGGGAAACCCACATTTGCCACCTTTGTGCATACATCATTTGATTTTCCTGATAAACCCATTACAGGTGAGGAAACCAAGGCTCAGAAAGTCAGTGAATCTGCCCCAGGCTGCACAACTGGGAATGGAGCTGGGCAAACTGACCTGGATCTTGGGCAGGTGGACTCTGGAAATCCTCCAGGGGATAAGGTATGAGGCTCGGGCCCGGAGGGTTGCCAAAGGCTAGAGATGGCCCCTCAGCCTTCTGGACTCTACAAATACCCCAAACAGGTTCTCCCAGTTCCAGCAAGGGAACATGAATGAACACACAGACATCATACATGCTGGAGTAATAGTGCCAACTTCTGCCCAAACCTAGGTCCTGGCATCCTTCACTAGGCTGCAGCCCAGGATCCCTAGCCCAGGATGACCAGCAAGTTGGATATGCCAGCTCCAAGGAAAGCTGGGAGAAGGCCATGACTCATGCCCACATCCCAGTCTTCTCTAGTCTCCCAAGAGACCGCCATATCAGGGTACTAAAGGACTCAGTTCATCCCCAGTTTCCTGTATTACCCTTAACAATACTCTGGGGCCCCTCTTGGTCTCTGTCCTAGTAACTCAGGTTCGCAGTTTAGCCCCCTAACCACAAATGCTTCTGAGGGGCAAACTGAGGCTGGAGAGGGAAGGGCGAGTGTCATTTAGGACAGTGTCATCCCTGCCCTACCCTGATCTTTTGCCACAGCTGGGGAAACAGTTACTGGTAATGAGCAGATTTCTAGGGTTATCCCTGCCGCCAGGAGTAGAGGGACCCTCTGCCCTTTTGCATCAGGGTCAGAGTATCCAGGGTTCCTCTGTCTGGGGCCCAGGCAAAAGTTAGTACTTTTCCAGATGTGGAAGGGCATTTGGGTAGCAGGGAGCAGCTCCTGAGGCACTGCCCATAAGGGCAAAGAAACCTGGAGGCCAGGACTGGGCCACTCTGAGTAAGGAAGCACAGATGGCGAGGCCAGAGAGTAGTTTCCTCCCACTGTGGCCAGACGCAGATCTCTGGACTGGGTGAGGCTCCTACACAGAAGGGAGATATTCCTAGTTCCCTTGAGGACACCAGGCAGGGCCAGGGCACTGCCAGGACCCTCCCCCCCAGGGTCAGGAGATGAGTCAGAAACTGTGGTCAGGAGCTTCCTCCTAGACTGGGAGGAAATGAGCAAGGCCTTCTCAGGCCTGTAAGCTCTGAATCCTTTAAAAAGGAAGCCCCTATGGGAATTCTAGAGGCTAAGTCCAGACCACTGGGATGTGTGGGGTGGAACCCCAAAGTGGGCCGGGCCTCTGTACATCCCCAGGGAAGGCCAGGGCCTGCAGGGGTGATAGGAGGCAGTACCCAGAGTGGGCGGGCAGAAGACACTGGGCTGTGTCTCATTCCTCTTCTGGACAACTGTCCACAGGGCCAAGCAGTCAGTAGAGGAAACCCCCTCCTCTTATTTCTGCCTGAGAGGGAGACACTTGGGTTTCTGGGTCACCTCTCCCCTCTAAAGGGCTGTCAGGCAGGCCTGAGTCATGTCTGTGCCCCTGGGGCACCCACTCACGGGACTTAGGGAGGAACCAGCTGTTGACATTTCCTGCAAGGAGGAGCTCTGCTCCCCCTCCCTCAGCTCTCTGATATCCCTGCCCCTACCCTATTCTCAGCCCTTCTTCCTCCAGCCTTCTATTCTGGGGCTGTGGTCACAGTTTATATTTGGGATGAGCACAACACTGCATCTGACCATTCCTGGCGGAACTGCCAGCACCGGGGAGTCCTGGCTCCAATCACCTTGTCACCCAGTATGCCCACCCCCATATGCTGCCTGTGGGTATGTGACAGTTCTCAGATACAGGAGGCGGGAGATCCCAAAAGTGGGGAGACCAGGAAGGACTGAGTTGGGGGTGGAGGATTTAACAGTCTCTGAGCTCAGCAGCGTGCTCAGCTGGAGACAGAGGGAGAGCAATGGTGGGGTAGGGGGTGAGCAGAGAATTAGGGGTGGTTCTGATGCTCTTTCTTGCAGTCGACCTCCCAAGCCTACCCCTAATTGGGAAGAGGGGTGTCAGGGCTAGGTCCTGTCCCAGAGCGGGGGTGGGGGGTGGAGGTATACATTTTTCTCTCTCTCCAGTGCTCTTCGGGCCAGGACTTCCAGGAGCCCTGAGGCAAGAACTCCTCTCTCCCCAGCCCGCCATCCTGAATGGGAGGTGGCCCCTGGGAGCTTCTTCCAGGCCCACCTCAGTTTCCCCCTGCGAACAGGGCAGAGCAAGGGAAGGGTGTGTGTTTGCCTCAAAACTCTGGAGTGGGCAGAGGGCTGCTGCCTTCATGCTTTGCCCCCACACGCGCCACTCCTCAAGCCACTATCCTCGCCACCCTCTTCCCAGCCCTGGGAGGCGGGGCGGGCTCTCAGCGCGAGGAATGCAGGCTGGGGGCCCAGGGCGCATTCCAGGGGAGACCCCGGGCCTGAGGGGCAAGTTTGCGCAACTGGGCATCCAGCCACGGCCGGGAGCAAAAGGAGGGCACCCCATCAATTCTCTCTTCCTCCTCGCCACTCGGTGCAGACCGCCTGGCGGAGAATAGGGGGTGGGGTGATTGAATGGGGGGTGATTGTCTGCCTCCCAGAGTCCCGGCCCGGAAACCCCGCGCGCCGGAAAGGGATGCCTGAGGGGGGCTGAGCGGGAAGGGAGGTCGGGCCGGCCATCTGGAAAAGGGCCTCTCCCGGCGCTGTGCGCTAGTCGACTGCGGGGCGCAGGCAAACCAGGGCAGGCCCGCGGTTTAAAATTAGCCGGGCCCGCCCTCCCCTCCCGGCAGCGCGGGGGGACGGGATGGTGGCGCGGTGACTCAAAGGGCTTTTCCAGCAGCGCAGCCACTCGTGCTCCGCGGGTGCCGGGCCCGGCCGCTTCCCGGGGACTCCCCTCTCCCGGAGACATCTCCCCTCGGCGGGCACTCCCAGGCCGGGCCCCACCTACAGAGGCACTGCTATCTCACAAGGCCCAATCCAGCCCTCGCCACCTCCAGGGGCCCGCCCCAGGCCCGCCCCTCCTCCTGGGCCCGCCCCCCGCTTACCTGAGCAGGTGGAAACTGGTGGCTCCCCAGCTCGGCCCCTGGATCCGCTACTACCCAGACGCCTACGGCCACCCTCTCCCGGGCAGACAGGCAGCCAGTGGACCCCAAGCTCATCCCCAGGTGGGCCTCGCTGCACGGGGCAGCTCGGCTGGCGCAGACCACAAGCGCCCCTGTTCCTCCCTGAGCTTCCCCTTAACTTAAGAGGCGTCGCTTGCAGGCAAGGCAGCGTGTACCCGGAGAAGCGACATTGCTCCAGCCTCTCTCCTCGAGGGGCACCTCCCAAAGGCTTTCATGGCGCCAACCCTGAACCCTCGATCGCCCCCAGCCTTTCTCCAGGCCCCCTCACCTTGAGCGGCGCCCCCAGCAGACGGTGCAGCGCCGGTATCTGCGCGCCCAGAGGCAGCGCCCCGTCCAGGCTGCAGGTGGGGGCCCGGCGAGGCTCTGGGAAGTTGGCACAGGCGAAGGGGTCGGTGTCCTCCAGGTACTGCACCCTCACGGTGACCACAGACACCGGCTCCCCTTCCCCGAGGTCTTCCCCGCCCGCCATGGCTTTGCCACTGGCCGGCGCCGCGCGCCCCCGCACCGCGTCGTTTACTCCTCGGACTGTGCGGTCTGGGCCGGGCCGGGCCCGACGCCGGGGTAGGAGGGCGGAGCAAGCCGGAGGCGGGGCCGGGGAGGGTGGGGCGAGCCGTGCCGGGGGCGGGCGATCCCGTTAGTTCACCGGCTGCGCGGGCGGGAAAATCCCAGCCCGCGCCCCGCCTCCCAGGCCTGGGAGGGCTTCTGTGCGCTCGCGAGTGGTGAGGCTGCGGTTTCTTTCAGAGATTGTGTTCGTTAGGGCAGGTGGGGCGGGATCCTCTTCGGATCGTGGCCTGCCAGGTTTCGCTCGGTTTAGGGTCCAGATGGCCCTAATCCTGTTTGAGGGTGCACGTGGAGGGGTTTCTCTTATTGGGGGAAAGCAGATGAGTCCCATTCAGTTTGGAGAGAGAAGTGAAACCAGATTTCATTTCCAGAAAAAGGTGGCATCTTTTCCCTTCCAGTTGGGGGAAGAAGAGACAGGTACCCCTCAGTTTTAGGAAATGGGTGGATGACTCAGTTTGCTGGGGGAGTTTGTGGACTGAAATAAGGATCCCAGTAATAGTGATAATTGGATAAAGAGATTATTGGATAATCAAAGAGAGGATGTGAAACTGGGAACAGCCTGAATGATTTCACTCTAAAAAACTACTTCACTAGCCACAAGGTTGGGTGAGATGATACGCCTTAGGAGAGAAAGGAGAGAAAGGAGTAGTTATTTTCTTACACCAAACGGTACAGTGATCAAACATTAACGTTTGACAGGATGTCTCGTTTTCATTCATAAATTTTGAAACCTCAGACTTTCCGGCTTGTTCTGACTCGGGGACTGGTCTCTTCAGCAAGGAGGCAAGATGTCAGGGTAGTTAGATTTTATCCTCACTGCTGGTGGGGACTGGCTCGGGGCTGGCTTTTTTGCTGCCTCTTGCTCAAGCAAAAGACATGCTTGATTTCATTTCCTCACAGGCATATGGAATTTTCTGCATGACAGCTTCCCAGGGCCGACTGGTTCTGGTTCTAGTATTCCAGGGCCTTTGAACTTCTTCCAGCGCGTCCGACCATGGAGACAGGACCCAACATACCCCTTCGGTTCTCAGGTAGGACATGTTCCCTTCAGCTTTGGGGCCGAAGTGGGATGAATGTCCCTCAGACTGAATGAAAGTAGGAGACAGTCGTCCTCAGTTTGAGGCGAAATAAGCCGAATGCCCTTCAGGGCTGGGTTGCTGGAGCCCACTTAGTTGTAAGAGAACCGAGACCTGGATTTTCCATAGTTTAGGGAAAGAAGATAGTTTCCTTCAGTTTTATAGAAAAGGCTCCGAGAAGAGTCCCCTGCAGTTTAAGGGAAAGGGAAGTCGGGTGCTCCTCGGCTCGGGATATAAGGAGGAGCAGCCTCCTTCTCGGCCTGGAATGAGCTGGGCCTGCTCCGGGCTTTGGGGTATCTGGGGACACTGGTGACAGCTTTGTCCCTCACGGCCCTCTGGGAGCGCCCACTGCGCGTGCGCAGCTCTGGTCCGGGCGGGGGCCCAGCGGGGGTCCCGGGCTCCGCGCGCGCGGACGGCGGCGCTGCACCGCCCCCTGCCGTCTGCGCGGGGCAGCGCCGGGGCGCGCGGCCTGGGGACCCCGCGCCCCGCCGCTCCCGCCCGCGGCTGCACGCGCGGTGGAGGAGCCGGGCCCCTCCCTCCTGGACCCCGCCCCCCCAGACCCCGCTCCTCCCGCGGGCGGCCGCGGGCCCCGAGCGCGGGGCTCGGCGGTGCTCCCGGGGGGCCGTGGCCTCTCCCAGCTCCGGATCCGGGGCGGGGAGGCTCGGGAAAGGTTTGGGGGAGCCGCCGGGAAGGAGTCGGTTGCGGGACTTGGGGGAGGGCCGCATCGGGGGATTTCCCGACCAGAGGCTGGTTCGGAGGCAGGAGTTGGGGTCCGGACACGGACTCCCCGGGCGGGGTCTCGCAGTCGGGACCCGGCTGGGGGGCATCGGAGCCGGGATTGGGGGAGCGCGCCCCACGTGCCTGTGACGCGGGGGCGGCCGGGAGGCGGCGGCGGCGACGCGGGGCCGGCGGCCGCGCGGGCGGGGAGGGCGGCGAGGCGGCCGGCAGGATGCTGCGCGCCGCGGGGCCGCTGCTCGGACTGGCCCTGGCGGGGGCGCGAGCGGCCGGGGGGCCCACCCCGGAGTCGGGGTCGCCGGGCGAGCCCCCCCCGGGGCTGGCGCTCTTCCGCTGGCAGTGGCACGAAGTGGAGGCACCTTACCTGGTCGCCCTGTGGATCCTGGTGGCCAGCCTGGCTAAAATAGGTGAGTGCGTGGGTGCGCCGCGCTAGGCCGGCGGCCGGCAGCGGAGCCGCCCCCCACCCCGGCCCCCAGATCCTGGCCGGCCCCCTGCACTGTGCCCTGACTTGGATTCCGAATCCACACATCCGGGCTGTCACCCAGTTCCTGTGCCGCCGTTTGTGGGTGTCTCGCCTCTCTCCTTTTCGCGTGGGCGCGCTGAGGATGTGCCTTCTCCAAGGGCTGCCCCAGCTCGCCCAGCCCCAGCCTTAGACTCCTTTACCCTCTTTGCCTCCTCGGTTCCCCTTGCAATGTGCCCTTCTGTCCGGCCTCTCCTCCTCCACCACTTCCCAGCCTCCTGGAAACCTCCTCAGGGGGGAGGACTTGTGGGGACGTTGAGTGGATGGTGTCCCTGGTCTCCAGGGAGCAGCCTTTCCTGGAGACCATGTCCAAGTGTATTTTCTCTTCGGATTTGAACTTGCCAGTTTTCCTCCAGCCCCCCTCTCTAGCCCCCCCCCCCCGTGTGCTAGCTTTGCCTCCCCACACCCCATTTCAGGCCTACGTTCTCACTTCAAGGTATAAGAAACTTCCAGTTGTCTATGTGCTGCCTGCACCAGCTGCTTTCATCCCTCCGACCTCCTTCTGCCTGCACAACACTGAAGGCAGAGCTTGAAGAGATTCCTTTCCTTGAATAGTTACTTTTTCTTGTTCTGCCCCTTCCTCCCCACTGCTCAGCAGCCAGTGGTCCCTCCTCCTACTGAGACCCCCCTCCTTCTCCCTGTTGTGCAGGCTCCGCTGTGGGGGTGACTAATTATAGCTGAGCGTTGCTACTCACTCCCATCTATGCTGGCACAGCCTGTACTCCCATTCTCGCCAATACAGTCTTCATGTGGGAATCACACAGCCTAGAATTTGCCCCCTCTCTCCCCCAGGGACGCTGCTGGGGGGCAGTGGTGGCTTGGCATGAACGTAAGTCTCCACTCCTCGGTGGCAGACCATTAATAGCAGAAAATGGGGCTTGAAATGCCTTCGGGAAGCCTGGTTGTGCCAGAGTACAGGCTTTTGTGATGGGTTTTCGACTGCAGTGCTAGGTTGATGCAGGCTTTCGAGGTGAGGATGGAATAGGGTCCCTGTAGCAGAAGATGGGGTGCCCAAGGTAAGGATGAGTGTGGCTGGGCTTACCTTAGAGCCTAGTAGCAATGAGAGCAAGGTGGGAGGAGCCTTAGATTTGAGAACCAAGAATTGGGCTTGCGGAGAAGTCTGTGAGTTGTAGGAGAGTTCTTATTATTTAGGGTTTATAGCAATGAGTGTAGTTTCTCCAAAAATCATAGTGCTTTTCCTACTTTGAATGACATCTGTTATGGGGGTAGGAGAAGAGAGCCTCCTCATCAGCTAAAAAAAAATATATATCCTCAAGAAAGGAAGAGAAAAATTTATAGAATGTTCAGGGATACCTTCCCCCAGCTTCATTGCTAAGGGATTTTTTTTTCCTTTTTATTCAACAAGTATTTATCCTTACCCACTATGTGCCAGGTCCACTATGTGCCAGCTTCCAAAGGGCATGGTCTTGCATTGGGTGTTACACAAGCTAACATGGAGACCTTGCCTACTACCCATCACTCCAAGTTTGTGCAGGGGTAGAAGACGTTCATTCATGGTCACAGGCCCCGAGGGAGAGTAGAAACAGTTTATTTTAGGGGAGAAATGTAGGAGTGGCAATAGTGCCAGAGACCCATTTCATAACCCCTCCTCTTTTCTTTTCTTTTCTTTTCTTTTCTTTTTTTAAAGATTTATTTATTTATGCATACAAGTGCTGGGTGCAGGCCAGAGGTGTGGGGGTGAGAGAATTCACCAGAGACAGAATGGGGAACAGAACAGGCAGACTGACTGAAATACACTGCTGAGGGGAGCAGCGGGCAAGGCAGGAGAGGTCTGCTGCGCCATGTGGGTTGCTCCCTGGCTGGCTGGGGATCAAACTCATGCTGCAGTGGCTATGGCTAGCTTCATAGGTTGCGTCTTCACCCCTTGTGCCACCAGGGAGGCGCCCCCTCCTTTTTTCTTTGGCACAGATCTGTTGTCATTTCCCCCAGTCACATTTAATTAACATTTGTTGAGGACATACAATGTGCCTGACATTCCACTAGACACACTTGCACTCTATCATTTTATTCTCACCCTTTGTGATGAGTGTTTTTCCCATATTACAGGGGAAGAAATCAAAATTCAAGTAAATTAAACGATTTCCTCAAGATCACATAGTTGGAATGTGATGGAGTCAGAAGAAGAATTGGAGAGCTTCTGACTACTAGACTCAAGGCTTTTCAAACTACTGAGTCCTTAGTGAGCCATGTAATGAAAAGCATGCTGGGCTAGGAGGTCTCCCACACTCCTAGGAGGTGTAACATATGTCATGGTCCAGTTAGGGAGGCATGATGAAATAATATAATAATAGATATTTATTGAGTGCTTATAATGAAACACTATGCTGAGTGCTCTTGAGTACACGGTTCTATTTAAACCTCACAACAATCCTCTGAGACCATCACTATTTTTATTCCCATTTTGCTGATAAGAAACAGATTCAGAGAGGTGAAGCTACTGGTTCCAAGGTCACATAACTGGTAAATTAGAAAACTAGGCTTTGCACTCAGACAGTCTGACTCCAGAGGCCCTGATTTTTTACAGCTATGGTATGCATAAAAATATACCGGGTAGCATTTGCTGAAGTTCAGATAATATCTATGGATAAGGGAGATCAG